TGATATTGAACTTCGCAGAACTAGCAACCTTGTCTTCAGGCTCTAGAACCCGAAGGCTGAAATGTGTTCCTTCTTTGGCTACAGTAGCAAGATTCAGAAGTCATTAATGCGCCCAACGCCACATCAACATTCATTCACTCCCTGGCCAAGTTTGGCCGACGAGTTAACACCCTCTGCATTCAACCGAATGACGTAATTAGCTTATTAGCTATTCAGCTTGTGTGCCACATAGGCTAAGTAGTTTTTAAGGTCAACAATGCTATATCATCTTATACACTCTCCTAGAGGCTGGAGTCTGTCTGTTTGTCTATGTCATATATTTTACAAACCTAGTTGTCTATTGTGGATTAAATTTGATTTTAATTGTTAATCTGATGATGAGAGGGGTAAGTGGTGGATATTCTATCAGACACATGGTAATCCACACCCTCCATTTTTGTTCTTAAACCTCTTTTTACCTTTATTTACTTGTCGGTTTTGAATTAATCCTGTAGTTTTTTGCACTGGACCATTGTTTTTATAATCATTGCCGAACACGAGAATTCCCTCGCCTTCTTGCCGATTTGGTTTCCTAGTTTATATAACTTTCCATTTGTTTTCTAAGGGATTCAAATAATTCAACCTTTATACACATTGTATAGTATGCCCCCATACAAATTCTGGACCACTTGTGGACGAGTTTTTTGTCCTCAATTTGGGTTTTGAGTATTTCTTATTCCTCTTTCGGACTAGCAGAACGACACAAAAAACCACAACCTTTATACCTGACATAACCGCTAGTTTACATGTGAGGTTGAGGAGAAGGCTATATCTACTACATTGGTAGAGCAACCACAAATACGAAGGCTCTCATCAAGTAGTAGGTCATATCTGCTACATCGGCATAGTGACCACAAATATAAAGGCTCTCATCGACAAAGCGATAGAGAGACCACACCCATTAGCCAGTAGATATAAATGGTTAAAAGATGTGAGAAACATGGAGGGGAAAAAAGGGAAATGATGAAAAAAGGCAGGCATTAGAGGGTTTTTCTCGTCTCCGAAGAAGAAGAAAAAAAAAAATCAAATATTCATCAAATCTTAATCAATATATGTTGAGAATTATGCTTCTCACAAACTTGAAATCAACCTGCAGATGAAAAATCCTACAAATGAACTTGAAGAAATCAAAGATGATGGAAGTTTCTATTTTTAGTATTAGCCGTTATATTTAAATGTCCAACGGCTAGTAAAGTTACTATTTCGGGAAAGATGAACAGCTGTGATTGTTCTTATCCCTTGAATGTACTGTGTTGCTGGATCCATTCCCAAGTGGAAGGATCATAGCTCCTAATGCTCTAGAGGGCTGAGATTGATCCTGAAAAATAGGATCTCTCCAAGCCTTATATATGCTAGGGTTTTGGATGTATGAATTACAATGAAAAAAAATTACTCTCTCACTTCTACCTCTCTACATTTCTTATTCTTCGAATCCCTAGTTCTTGAAAGCTAAAACCTTTAAGAAATTAAACAAAAAGATCATGGCCTGGTACCATTTCAACATGGCATCAGAGCTGTAGGTCTGATTCCGAAGAAGGGCGTGATACTGTGAGTGAAATCCATCGTCGAAGGAAACCCAAAAAACCCTTAAAGGTGGTTCCTTTATTGTGGTTCTTACTTCTTGCATTAAAGGAAATGGTTGGATTGAGTTCATCAGGTGGAGATTTAAGAAATCCACAGTTTCATGGCACCAACTACAATTTCATGGCTGTTAAAATGGAAACCATTTTCATAGCACATGATTTATGGGATGTGGTCAAGCTTTGCGCTCATGCACAACTTGTTCGTGGCAATGAAACCTCAGAAGATGATGAAGATGAAACTGTTCAAATCCCAGTGGAGGCACCAGCCATCTCAAAGGAAGATAAAATAAAAAATGCCAAGGTCAATGTCTCATTGAAGTGGCAATTTCTTATGAGTTGTTTCCTCATATTAGGAATGAGAAGACAGCAAAAGAAGCTTGGGAAATTCTGAGGAAGGAGTTCAGAGGAGACAAAAAGGTAAGAGCTATTAAACTTCAAGCCATTGGAGATGAGTTTGAATACTTGATAATGCAAGATAGTGAAATTTTAGATGACTAATTGGCTAGGTTTTTGAAATAGTGAATAACCTAAAATCACTAGGAGAAGATGTGCATGAGAAAAGAATTGTGTAGAAGTTTTTGATGAGTCTAAGTAGAAGATACAAATCTATAGTGTCTATAATAGAGGAGACTATAGACCTTGATGTTATAAGAATTAAGGAAGTGCTGGCCTCTGTCAAAGTTTATGACACAATAGAGGATTTACATGATGAAAGAGACAAGTTCTCTAGGACTGAGAGAGCATTTAGTAGTTTGAAAATTGGAGGAAATAACAACAACAATGCTAGTGGAGGTTATAAAGTGCACAGGGCAAACATAAGCAAAAATGGCAACAAAAAAGGAAAAAGAAGAGCTAGTCACCAAGCATCAACTGGAATAGTAGTGGTAACTCTGGTTGGAACAACCAAAGCAGTGGAAATTAGAACAATAACATCACATTTCAAAACAAGCAGGGTAGTAGCAGTCAAGGAACAATAAAACCACAGTGTCAAATTTGTGACAAATGTCACTTTGCCATATGCAGGTACAAGGGTAAACCAATATGTGGTAAGTGTAATAGATTTGGGCATATTGCAAAGGACTATGACAATAACAAGCAAGTTGCTAACTATGCAAATGAGGAAGATGTAATCACAGGTACAATGTTTTATGCTTGTCACTCAGCCTTAATCACTCAAGATAGGTCAGTGTTGTTTGTTGACAGTGCTTGTAGCAACTACATGACATCTCAAGAGTCCCTTATTGTTGAATCTTGATAGATCAGTTACTTGCAAAGTTAAAATGGGAATTGCTGATTTGGTACAAGCAACATAGAGGGGAACACTAGTAGTGGATACAAAGCATAGGAAAAGATTCATAAATGAAGTTATGTTGGTTCAAGGGCTAGATGAATTATTGAGTGTTGGTTAAATGATGGAACATGGTTACTATGTATTGTTTGGTGGTAATCTTTGATGACTGCAACCTTGAGAATGTGGTAGCCAAGGTAATTATGCCAGGAACTAGATGTTTTCCATTGTTTCTAGAATCCATAACTTCAGTGGCAAGAAAAGCATCAATTGAAGAAGAATATGGATATGACATAAAAGGCTTGGTAACTTGAGCTTTGGTAATCTAAAAAAGGATGCAAAGAGAGGGAATGTTGCTTGGTCTACCTGAACTATACTGAAATGAAAGAAGTATGTGAAATCTATGTTTCTAGAAAAATGCATAGAGAACCATTTGATAAAGAGAAAGCATGAAGAACAAGTCATCCACTAGAGCTTATGTACACAGATGTGTGTAGACCAATGCAGAATGAATCTATTGGTGGCAACAGGTACTTCATCACAGTCATTAATGATTTTTCAAGAATGTGTAGGGTGTATTTTCTTAGAAACAAGTCTGAAGTGTTCAATATGTCTAAAAAATTTAAAGCATTTGTGGAGTTGCAAAGTGGGTTCAATCTAAAGAAATTTATGAAGCGACAGAGGAGGTGAATACATTTCTCATGAGTTTTTAGGATTTTTGTTCTAACATAGGAATGGAGAGGCAATTAACTTTTGCCTACTCACCTCAGTAGAATGGAGTTGTTAAGAGAAGAAATATAACCATTGGAGAAATTGCAAGATCAATGATGGATGAGAAGAACATTCTTATGAGATTTTGGGCTGAAGCAGTTAGGACTGCAATGTATTTGCAGAATAGATGTCTTCCAACTGCAGCGAAAGACAAAACCCCATTTGAAGCTTTCACATGTAGAAAACCTAGCATAAAGCATTTGAAAGTGTTTGGTTGCATATGTTACACATATATTCCTTCACAACTAAGGCATAAATTTGATGAAAAGGCAAGCAACGACATTTTCATGTGATATGACTGCTATGAGAAAGGCTATAGAGTTTATGACTTTCAATCCAAGAAAATTATCCTCTTCAGAAGTGTGGTGTTCAATGAAGATCGGTCTTGGAATTGGGAATGCAAGCAAGTTGAAATACTCTCAATACCTTTTATCTTGGGAGATGATGTGTATGGTACTGATATGTAGGAAAATTCAAATTATGAAACTCAAGTTGAAACTACTTAGAGTCCCTAACGAATTTTAAGTTATGCCAGTTCATCCACTAGCATGAGTGAAACTCAAGGTGAAAATTCAAGAGTGAAACTCAAAGTCGAAATTCAACTCCTAGTTCAACACATGTGAAGATGAAAAGCTTGGATGAAATATATGCAAGATGTCACATGTGCGTTGTTGAACCAGAAAACTATTAAGAAGCAGCACATGATCAAGCTTGGCAAGAGGCTATGAATGCTGAGATTGAAATGATTGAGAAAAATGACACATGGCAGCTAATAGATAGACTTACTGATAAGGCTATCATAGAAGTTAAATGGGTGTTTAAAACCAAGTTGAATTTGGATGGAACTGTCTAAAGGCACAAGGCTAGACTTGTTGCAAAAGGTTATGCTTAAAAGCCTGGTAGTGACTATAATGAAGCCTTTGCCCCAGTGGCAAAAGTTAGACACAATTCGAACTCTCATTGCCCTTGCAGCACAAAAATGGTAAAAGCTATTTCAGTTAGATGTCAAATCAGCATTCCTAAATGGAGTGCTTGAAGAAGTGTACACTGAGCAACCTAAAGGCTTTGAATTAAAGAATGCTAGCCATAAGATTTACATGCTAAGGAAAACATTATATGGTTTAAAATAGGCTCACAGAGCCTAATATAGTGAGATTGATACTTACTTGATTAATTGTAAGTTCAAGAGAAGCACTAGTGAGGCTACACTATATACAAGATCTGATGAAGAATGAGGATTGCTCATTGTGTCATTGTATATTGATGATATTGTATACACTGGAAGTAGTGAGAGATTACTCAGTGAGTTCAAAAGAGAAATGATGCTGAGATATGAGATGTCTGATTTGGGGCTACTTCACCATTTCTTGGGAATGGGAATACTAAAAATTGATAAGGGTGTATTCATTCATCAAAGTGAGTACACAAAGTCACTCCTGGTGAAATTTGGTCTTGAAGACTGCAAGCTTGTGTCAATTCCATTACCTATAGGAGAAAAACTCAAGAATGTGGATGGAAGTGAGTTGGTAGATGAAAACATGTATAGAAAGATTGTAGATAGCTTGTTGTATTTGATAGCAACTAGACCAGATTTGATGTATGCTGCTAGTCTACTATCAAGGTTTATGAAATGTCCTACAAAGAAGCATTTTGGAGTAGCAAAGAGAATCTTGAGATATGTGCAGGGTACAATAAATTATGGAATTGAATATGTGAAAGACAAGACAACAATTCTTGTTGGCTTCTGTTATGCTGATTGGGCAAGAAGTGAAGTTGATAGCAAAAGCACCTATGGATATGCATTTAGCTTTGGGAGTGGAGTGTTTTCATGGGCCTCTGTGAAGCAAAACACAATTGCTCTATCAATTGCTGAAGCTGATTATGTGTTAGCAATAGAAGCAACTGCTCAATCAATTTGGCTGAGATTTGTTCCTGATGATTTTGGGGAAATGCAAACTGATGCAACACCTTTATTTTGTGATAACATGTGTACAATTTCTATGGTGAAGAACCTTGTCTTCAACTAGAAAACTAGACACATAAATAGGAAGTTTCACTTCATAAGAGAAACATTACAAGAAGGGGTGATTGATGTGAAGTTTCGTAGAAGTGAGTAACAACTCGCAAATATTTTTACTACGGCACTGCCTAGAGAAAGATTCAATTACTTGAGGCACAAGCTTGGAGTGAAGCCAGTGAGCAACTTAGGAGAGGCTGTTGAGAATTAAGCTTCTCATAGACTTGAAATCAACCTACGGATGACAAATCCTGCAGATGAACTTGAAGAAAACGAAGATGATGGAAGTTTCTATTTTTAATATTAGCCGTTATGTTTAAATATCCAACGGCTAGTAGAGTTACAATTTCAAGAAAGATGAACAGCTGTTTTTGTTCTCATCCCTTGAATGTATTGTGTTGCTAGATCCATTCCCAAGTGAAAGGATCACAACTCCTGATGCTCTAGAGGACTGAGATTGATCCCTGAAAAATAGGACCACTCCAAGCCTTCTATATGCTAGGGTTTTGGATGTATGAATTACAATGAAAAAAAATTACTCTCTCACTTCTGCCTCTCTGCATTTCTTATTCTTCAAATCCCCAATTCTTGAAAGCTAAAACCTTCAAGAAATTAAACAAAAAGATCATGGCCTAGTACCATTTCAACAGTATATGGAGAAGAAACTTAGGGAAATCCAAGACAGTGGAATGATGCAATATCTCATACAAACACCAAATGAGAAACAGGGAAGAATAAACCATACAAATCACACACAGGACATTTGCTCCAATACTTATTGTGGAAAGAGAGCTCTCAATTCTGAGGTCTGTGGAGCCAATTCAGGTTGAATTCTTCTTTAGCCACCGTTATTTTGTCGAGATTTGATAAGACAGATTCCCACAAATTTCTTGCGCCTTCGTCACATGTCACTTTCTCTAATTGCTGATCAAGATCATACACTGACACAGGCAGCTCATTCAATCTTGAACATTGTGCCATGTTGATTTTTCTTAAACCATTCATATTACCAATGCTTTCGGGCAAATCCTTAATGCGGGAACAATTATATATGTAAGAAAGCACAACTTATTGAGTTTCTCAATCGAGCCTGGAAGCTTTTTCAAGTCTGCGCAGGACCTTAGCCTCAACACTTCCAAATTCTCCAGCTTTCCGATGTCTTCAGGCAAGACAGATAGCTTATGACAGTTGGTGATGCTGAGAACTTTTAGGCGGATAAGATCACATAGCTTGGTAGGCAATTTCTCCAAATCGTTACAATAGTCGATGTGCAACTCCTCTAGGTATGGGAATGTCTCAAAAATTTGGATGGAAGAGTTTCCAAATGCTTCTCTGACGTTACACATGAATAAATGCCAGTCTCAAGTACAAATGCTTACTTGAGTAATATGAAAAGCCTGCTCAAGTCGCTGAATTTGAATCCATTGTTCAGTAACAATGTCGTTCATCTGCAATCAAAGACAAAGAAGCCAATTGCAAAATGACACCATACTCATAGTCTAGACCGAAGATTGTAGGAAGCATATCAGCATAAAGTATACGACCTTTTGAGCCTGCAAGGCAACTGTTTCAAGTCGATACTTAGCATCCTATGCTTTCGACTCTTAAACATGAAGATCAAAGTTGAACTTTCTAGACGCCTCCCATAAAATCCATACCTAAAAAGCAATTCCAAAAGTTATGTCTCAAAGTCCAACACTGGATTGAAAAATTGCAAAAACAAATTGGAAAATTCGAAACAATTTATAAGGCAGTGGGATGTTGTACAGGGTTGGTACCTGGAGCTTGAGAAATCAAAGAGCTTGCCAGTTTGGGAAAAGATGATAACAACAGCTTCAGATTCACACAGAATCGACAGCTCTCCAGCTTTCTTCAAATCCCATCTTCTCCTCTTTGAGAAGGTCACCTGCCTTGCTGGCAAGTAGTCAATCTTCCTGATCTTGATCTTCTCCCTCATCATTTTCTCCAATTCTTCCTACCCCCTTCAGAAACAATAATTCAAGTAAAATAAAATAAACCAACCACTTCGAATTTCCACATATATATAAATGTCCACAAACTCCAAAACCACCTTATATTTTCTGGGTTTCTGATAATTTTAAGGATTATTGACCACAAACCCTAGCATTTCAAATCTAAATAAGTAAAACAAAACCCAGATCAACCCACCAACCACAATCAACTGTCCAATATTTCGTATTTACCAAATTTGATTAACACCCAAAAAAAAAAAAAAAAAGCGAAACTCCCTAATTTTACAAAATACAATCAAATCAATAAAACCTAGATGATTTTATGAAGCAAAAAACAAATTCAATCAGAGGCAGAACCATATAAACCCAGAAAGAAATTCAAACATTCCAAATTTCTGAAACAACATATGACCATAGAGATTGAGCGGAGAAGACCAAACAAAACTCTAAAATCTTGAAATCACTCACCTTAAATAGACAGAGATTTGAAGGCTGCAAACTAAAGCCCCAAATCCGAAGAACCATGATTTCCTAAAGCCAAAAATAAAACAAAATTAAACACCATGATGGGGAATCCAAAGCTATAAACAAAATCCCCAAAATCATACCAGGTCACCAAGTCCTTGTCTATGGAATCCGACGGAACCCACGCTGGTGAACGCCCTTGATTTTCTTTTGCTAAGCGGGAGAAATGGAGGGTGAATCGATGTTGTAGCGGTTGCGAGATAGAAATAGAGAAGTCGATGGAAAATAAGGTAAAAAAGAGTCCAGAAAAGGAAGAGCGAGAGAACCATGTTTTTTTTTTTAAATACATACTAAAATTTGCCTACACACTTTGTGTGTATGAACATGTTTTTTTTTTTTCAAATGAGAAAGAGAGAGGGAGAGAGAGAGAGAGAACGTGAGGAGAGTGGAAGGTTTTTGTTTATGTCTTTTTTTTTATTTTTAAATATTAAAAGTATTTTAACATCACCTATAGGTGGGGTTTCAATAAAATATAGTAAAATTTGGACCAGTGAAATTACATTATTGTCCAACAGTTTTTTATGATAGAAGAATAATTTGTCTTTTCACCCTCTTTTGGTTGACAAAGAGGGTTTCATTAATTAGTAGAGATATATATATATTCCTCATACAGGTAACCCTAGCTATGTGGATGTGGGCCTAAGGATGGGGCTGTTACAACCTGACTATAGAAGAATAAGTGTTGGGCTCGGGCTCAAGTAGGTGGGCTTAACAACTCATCCCCCTTAAGAACAGGCTTGTCCTCAGGCCGTGAAATTCAGGTAACGGGCCAAGATGTCATCCACTACCTCCCAAGTGGCGTCTTCGGTGGGTAGGCCAGCCCACTTGATCAACCATTTTGTCACAACTCTATTTTTCTTCTTGAACATGCCACGGTCCAGCACTGCTTCTGGGTGCCATTGAGTCAATAGGAGGCAATTCAGAGAGAGGGGGAGAAACACTGCTGAGTTTTGGTTTGAGGAGAGAGACATGGAACACTAGGTGGATTTTGGAGTCTGGAAAGCAGAGTTGGCATGTGACCGAGTCGATGCGCTTTGTGATCTGGAATGACCCATAAAACTTAGGTGAGAGCTTGTTTGGCGTTCGAGTTGCCACCAAGTGCTGGCGATATGGCTGAAGCTTCAAATAAACCTAATAACCGACGATAAACTCTCGCTCAGTCCGTTTAGCATCATAGACATGTTTCATTCTGTTCTGGGCAAGTTGAAGATTGGTGCACAGAAGGCTTAATAACTTGTCCCGCTCCTGGAGTGCAGTATTAACTGAGTGGACTACTGTGGAACCGGGCATATACATGCGAATGGTTGGTGGTTCACTGCCATAAGTGGCCTGGTACGAAGGCATTTTAATAGCAGAGTGAAAGCTTGTGTTATACCACCATTTAGCCCAAGGAATGAGGGAAGACCATTTGGTGGGTTTATCTGTTGAGAAGCATCTAAGGTAATGTTCCAAGGTTCGATTAAGGACTTCCGTTTGGGGGTGATAAGCTAAACTAGTGCAAAGGCTACTACCTTGAAGTTTAAAAAACTCTTGCCAAAAGTTGCTGGTGAAAATTGGGTCACGGTTGGACACGATCGACTTGGGCATGCTGTGGAGTTTGAAAACCTCCTTAATGAAAGTGGCAACAACCGAGGCAGCTGTGTAAGGGTGTTTGAGGGGAAGGAAGTGGCCATACTTTAAGAGCCTATCAACCACCACAAGAATCATGGTGTATCCGTTGGAAGATGGCAGCCCTTCTACAAAATTCATGGCTATGTCTTGCCATATACCTGTGGGAATGAGCAAGGGTTGTAAGAAGCCCGGAGGGTGTATGTTCTCAATATTTTGACGTTGGCACTCTAAGTAATTAGCCATAAATTGCTTTGTGTCCTTTCATATGCCTGGCCATAAAAATTTTCTGGAGAGTCGTTTGTACGTATAAAGTAATCCAGAGTGACCCCCTTGAAGAGATGCATGGAATTCGGCCAAAAGCTTGGGTCGCCATTGAGATGTGATTGGAACAAAAATCCTTTATTTATAGTGCAGCACTCCATTGACATGGGAAAAGCCTCTTATTGGTGTATTTGTTGCTGAAGGTAGAAAATGACAAACTTTTTGCACTTTCGGGTCCTGAGCATATTCTTGTTGCAACTACGGTATACAATCAAATATGGGAGCTGAGAATCCCATTAAAAGCAGGAGGTCATGTTGGCATGAGAGGGCATTGGGAGTCTTATTTATAGAACCCGGCCGGTACTCTACGACGTAATTGTACCCGAGCAGTTTCACCAACCATTGGTGCTGTTATGGAGTGGTAATTCTCTACTTCACGAAGTGTTCGGTTGGTTGATGATCCGTGACTATGCGGAAGTGTTGCCCCAGTAGGTATGGTCACCAATGTTGCACTGCGAAGACTATTGCTAGCATTTCTTTGTCATAAGTTGGCAACCCAAGGGTACGCCCTGAAAGTGCTTTGCTAAGGTGTGCAATTGGATGACCCTTTTGGCTTAGAACAGCCCCAATACCGGTGCCTGATGCGTTCGTTTTGACTACGAACTATTTGGAAAAATCTGGTAGTGCGAGCACCGGGATGGTTGCTAACATATTCTTCAATGCTTCAAAAGTCTTTATGGAATCTATGGACCATGAGAAGTTGCCATGTTTTAACATGTTCGTTAAGGGCTTGGCAATGAAGCCATAATGCTTAACGAATTTTCTTTAGTAACCCGTTAATCCAAGGAAACCACAAAGGCCCTTTAGCGATGTTGGTTGTGGCCAGTCGGTGATGGCCTTGATCTTTGAAGGATCTACGGCAACACCCCTTCTCAAGATTGTATGTCCCAAGTAGTCAACTTGCTCCTTGCTGAATGAGCACTTGCTGAGCTTAACCTTTAAGCTGTGAGTAGAAAGAATCTTGAAAATTATCTCCAAATGAGAGATGTGAGATGTTACTTAAGGACTATACACAAGTATGTCATAAAAAAAAACTAAGATAAATTTCCTTAAGTAAGGGCGGAATATAGAATTCATTAAAGATTGAAATGTGGCAGATGCATTTGATAAGCCAAATGGCATTACCGTGAACTCGTAATGGCCTTCATGGGTGCGGAAAGCTGTCTTTGCAATGTCGGCGACATTCATTCATATTTGATGGTAGCCAGATCGAAGGTCGAGCTTTGAAAAGATTGTTGCTCCATGTAATTCATCAAGAAGTTCCTCCACGACAGGTATCGGGAAATGATCTTTGATAGTTTCTGCATTCAAGGCTCTATAATCAATGTAGAGATGCCATGTATCATCTTTCTTCTTGACAAGAAGAACTGGGGAAGAGAAAAGACTTGAACTTGGGCGGATGACACCCGAGTTTAAAAATTCTTGCACTTGTTTTTCTATCTCAGCTTTTTGGCAGTGGGGGTACCTGTATAGCCTAACATTGATGGGGTTGGTGTTTAGTAGTAGGGGGATTTTGTGGTCGATGGGTTGTTTGAGTGGAAGGCCAAAACGTGTTGTGAAAATGTGTTGGTATTGATGGATTAGTGAGGCAATGGCAGGGTGGGTATCTGTGGGTGGGCTAAGGTGAGTAAGGTGAGTGGGTATGGAGGCTAAGAAATTGTATGGACTGTTCAATAATTGGTCCATTGGGTGGCACGCTGGGAACACAGAGGCCGACGGTGTCAACCCTTGGAATGTGTAGGTTTTTCCATCAACTGAAAACACCATTGTTTTTTGTTTGAAGTGCCATCCAATAAATCCTAAAGATTCTAACCATTCGGCTCCCAAAATAAGATCACATCCTAGCACGTCTAACAAGAGCAAGGACCCATGAAATGTGTAGTCTTGTATTTGAAGTTCTACACCTGCGACACGTTTGGAGGAATAATGGTCTTGTGAAGCCGTTGTGGATTTGACAGCTAGAATAGTTTGTACAGTGAGGCCTAGCTGGTCAGCCATGTGCGGGTGCAGAAAATTGCATGTGGCCTCAAAGTCAATTATGATGGTGATGGGCTAAGATGAAATAGAGCCGTGTAGTCTCATTGGTTTGCCAATACTGAGACCTGGAATCGAGAACAATTCCAGCATATGACATGTAGGGTCTTTATCAGAACTAGGGCCCTCTTGACAGTCGTGATATTTCGAGGAATCCTCCTCTATTTGAGTGGTGTCCAGCAAGAACAAGATGGGTGTTTGACATTTCTGGGTAGGGGTATAGGGCTCATTACAACTAAAACACTCATTTTTCCATCTTTTGTCTTGCACTTCTGCTGGAGTTAGGCGTTTGAAGGGTGCGTTGGGCTGTGGCGGGGGTCTTGTTGTGGGTGTTCGAGAAGAAAGATGGTTGAAGGTGTGTGGGTTGTTGTTAGTACTTGGGTAAAGGCGTGGAAAATTAGGTCTAGTGGAACGTTTGGCTTGAAGTTTGGTTTCAAAGATTTTGGCCAATTTTGAGCGTGGTGTAATGAGTCCAGTTCAAGGGCCAAGACATCGTGGCGAATGTCCTCTTTCAGACCGCTGACGAACACATGTTTCAATTGGTTTTCCGTCCAATATGTTACCTGGTAAGATAGCCGTGTGAAATCTGCCAAATAATCTTCCACTGAGGACTTTTGCTGGATGTCTGTGAGCTGGGATTCTATGTTTGCACGATCACCGCCCCCAAAACGTTGGAGCAACATATCCACAAAGAGGCTCCAGTTGTCTCGATCGTATCGTTGCTCAAATCCTCTCATCCAAATGGAGGCATCTGCTTCAAAATTGCAAGCACCCACGAGAACCCATTGATTTGGGGGTACCTCATAGTAGTCGAGGTAAGGTTCTGCTATGGCTAACCAGCTGTAGGGATCTTCGCCATTAAATCATGGCAATTCCATCTTTATGGATTTAAGGTGGGAATGGGGACGATGGGTAGGTGAGCTAGGTAGAATGTGAGGGGTTGGAGGTAAGGGACCTGTGGTCGTGGATGGGCTTAAATGGAAGGACTGTGAGTGCGCGGAGAAAGAAGAAGGGGTGCGTGGTGTGAAAAGGGAAGAAGAACCATAATGATAGGGGTTGGAGCAGGTGGGTATGGTGGTTGGAATGGGAGTGGGTAAAGTGGTGGTGGTGTAGGTGGGAAAATGGGTGAGGCTCGGGGCTGGAGGGTAAGAAAGGCCGAGGCTTGAAGACTGAGCACTCGAAAGGGCGAATAAGGACCTAAATGAAGGGGGTGGAGTGGGGTTTGAGGTTCGGCTGGTGGCAAAAGAGGTTGGCTAAGGATGAAGGTGAAGATGGGTGGACGACGGGTTGGGTGGGTGTGAAGTGGCGGTGTGGGGGACAGGTTAGGCAGGTGGAAATCCCAATTTAATGAGGTGGAGCTCTTCGAGCATGAGTGATTGGAAAGCTGCAAATTGTGAGGTCATATTATTTTGAAAGGTGGTGTTGGAGGTGTTTAGTGATTTCAGAGATTTTTGCAGGTTGCTGTGTTGGGATTCCAGTGTGGTGACGGAGTCACCCAAGTCGTCGACTTGCGTTTGTAGGTGCTCTTGACGCACATCAGCCGTAGCAGCGACGGCGTCAGGGTCGGAGGTGGCGGTGTGCGGGGTTTTGCCCATCGAGTCGATGGGCTCTAATACCAGTTGGTATGCCCAGTAGACTCAGGTGGCTCAAAAAGGGTAGCTTTAATAGAAAATAGTGCAGAAATTGAAGGAGAAAGGAAAGTAGAATAGAGGAAAAAGAGGTAAGTTTCATCAATCATATATAAGTCCTTTAGCTTTCTTTATTACATATATATATATATATATATATATATATATATGTATTCCTCATACAGGTAACCCTAGCTATGTGGATGTGGGCCTAAGGATGGGGCTACTATGACTTGACTGTAAGAGAAGAAGTGTTGGGCTCGAGCTCAAGTAGGTGGGCTCAACAAAGAGAAGAGCAAGGAAGCTGGTGGAACACGAACACCCATCCCAGCCTTTTCAGCCTGCTTCCATTTCACCGATGACAAACACGTGTAAAACATGGCGCAATTGAAATTAAACAGACCAAGCATGGGCAAATTCACCATTTCACTATTGATGAACAGTGCTCTGTCTCACATGATGAACAATGTTTTTTTTTTCTGCTGAGCTTTAGTATATATAAATATAATTTCCCTACAAAAAATTCACAATTTGGAAAATTTCTTAAAGTTGTCAGAATACTGCCCAGTTAACTACAATGATTTTACCCTGCAATATCTCACACTACTATTTACGAAACAAAAGGCGAAAACTGAAAAGGTGAGGGAAGATAATGTAACACAAGTCACAGAGGTTAAAGAGAAACATTCACTGAACTGAGTCTTGTGGAGCCAATTTAGGTTGATATTCTCTTTGGCCACAGTTATCCTTATGTTGTTGAGACACGACAAGGCATCTCTTTCTCTTCATCACAAACCACTTCCTCTAACTGCTCAAGATCCATGACTCATATGGAGGCAGCTCTTGCAACCTTGAGCATTGTCTCATGTTGATCTTCTTTAAACTATTCATTTCACCTATGTCTTAGGGCAACATCTTGATGCTGAAGCAATCAGATATGTCGAGAAAGTTTCCCTTTCCAAGGTTCTTCATCGAGGTTGGAAGCTTTGACAGTTCTGTGCAGGATCTTGGCCTCAACATTTCTAAATTTTCCAACTTTCCAATCCCTTCAGGTAAGGCAGATAGCTTATGACAGTGACATTGAGCTTCTTTAGTTTCCTAAGATCACAAAGCTGAGCAGGCAATTCAATTAAATCACTGCAATAGTAGATGTTCATTTCCTCTAGATTCGGGAATGCTGATGAGATTGAGATGGAACAGTTGATGAAAGTTTGACCGATGTTACACATGAACAACGATATTTTTCTGGTTCTTGGTTATGGAAGAAATTGAGATGAGTCCTAATCTGATTCTCTTAAGATTTGGTAACGAACTCAAAAGTTGGAAGTTTCTCAATTCAGGAAATCATAATTTGTGATATCACAACCTTCAATTCATCCATGTTCACTACGGATTTGGGTAAGGCATAAATCTGTGTCTTAAAATTCAAGACTAAAACCTCAGCTGCTGGCATTTGCATGTTGTGCCATTTTGTTGACAACCCTTCATCTGCAAAGTAACAACTGTGAGCATGGGTAGGAGAAACTAAAATGAAAGTACTATTAAGACTTAATGTGCATGCATGTGCGTGTGTGCGCAAGAATGACTATATATTTGTGCATGTCTACATAATTGCTAAACAGAAAAGGGGAAGATGGAACAACCAGTTGTTATGGATAATAAGCGGGCCTTCATCGGCTGATGTTTCTGTTCTCACCACTATTTTGGAAGATCGTCTCCACATATGTCAATAGTCAGTCTTTTTCTTTGTTCTACCAATCCTTTTTTTTTGTGTTGTAGATAGCCAGTTCCCTAAGAACAGCAAGCTGGGTAACAAAGTGTTCACTATGGTATCGTTTGGTATGCAGACGGGACGGGACGGAACGGAATAGGACGGGACGGGATGAGACAGGACGGAACGGAACGGAGCGGGAGCAAAGATGCCCTCGGATGGAAACAAGGAGTAAGAAGGAGACGGAGAGGTTATAATTTTGTGTTCCACGGATGTGGAACGAGTCGTTCCAGGGGGGTGAGGTGGAACGAAAATTCACCCAAAACTCGTCCCGTGGAACAGCTCGTTCCACCCGTTTTAGGCGCACCAAACGTGGGACGGAACGCCTTGTCCCACTCTGTTCCGTCCCGTCCCACGTACCAAACAGTACCTATAGTAACCCTCCCCATCCAACTTGTCCTTCCTACTGATGATCAAAACTAAGTTTCTTAGAAGAGATTTCTTCATCCAACGTATTGCAATAACAAGTTATTAGCAGCAAGTAGTTGTGAATATAAAGGGGAAAATAGAGCGAAGATATCATACAAGAGAAAATAATAAGCACGCACACTTTGTTAGGAAAAGATTAGCTAGACTTCGTTTGGTGAGCTCGTAGAGGTTTGCAACGCACTCTATATCTGTATATGGATCATATAACTCTGCGAAGATATCAACAAGGGCAGCAGCAAGGATTCTTTGGTCTTCCGGAAATGAACCTTAGTCTAAAAAACTTTCCATGATGGCAACCATTTCCTTATCCAAGGTATCCAAGCTTCGTTCAAGGCAAAAAAGAAATTCAGTTTCTGAATCCAGAATAGAAAAACCTTTAGACCATTCAAGCACTCTTTTTTCCCTTATCTCTATAGCCTGCCCGAAAAGCAATCTCCCCACACTTAATAGCAAGAGGATATTCCTTGAAATGCTCAACTATCTGCAGGAAATTTTTCCAAAACGAAGTCAACTACCTTTTAAGTTGCAGAGCCAAAATTCAAGTTACCAATATGAGAATGGTAACTATCTACATTTCTTTATTCTAATTTTAGTTTTAGTTCACAAGTATGCATGCAGCTAAAATATCAGCATTGAGGAGTATCATCTTCAAATCCCTCAAAGGCCCATCCAATGTAACTGCAAAATGTGGGGGTTCTGGAACTGAACCCAAATCAATGAAATTTTTCTTGCTTTTGTATCACAATATTCTCTCTGTTTCCTACCAAACCATTTTTCTGGACAGCAGCCAAGGCCTCCATTGAGATGGCCAAGTTCTCCCTCGAAATAGCCAAGTTCTCAAACCCGTTCCTTACTCCCTCCCCATTCAGTATCTTCAGCAACCTGTTTAGACCTTTATCCAGATCGAGAAGTTGTTTGGCGTATTTATACTTTTTGAAGCCTTTCCACGGGCTATGCTTGGAGCACTTGAGAACCAGCTCTTCCCCATTCGCTTTTTTTCTCACAATCTTTTCCACTTCCTTGTTTGATTGATCCATTACCTCTTTTGATAAGCGGATTTAACGTTTCTAGCGTGGAATCGAGACCTCCGAGCGGAGCTCTTTAAACATCATGGTCTTGTCTTTGACATCCTTAACAACCTCATACAGCACAGTAAACAATGCTCCTACAGCAGCACCTCCAAAAAGCTCCCCATATAAGTTGAATGTAATCCTAGACATGACAAATCCCTTATAAATTGTAAATAAAGCTCAAAATTGAGTTATATGACAAAATAAGTTCTAAAAAGAATCTATAACGTCAGAGTACCCAATCCAACTGTAAGAATGGAGGTTCATGTACTGCAGTACCTTCCATTTCACTTTGCTTCCGTACCACGTCACTCCGTTCAATTTTCTCAGCAACCGGTTTTTTATTCCTGACGAGAAGCAACGCCTCGTTCACATCGCTTGTCCCCTGCACATTCAGCATGTCTAATCCAGCTCTAGGTGATAAAGTTCAGGTAATGCATTCCGACCTCTAGTTTGAATTTGATCATGAAGGACACTACTTTCTTCAATTTTGCTTGATCACCGCCTCAATATGTTGCACTGAAGCAAAGTCTGCTTCACATCTCTTGCTACTTGCACTTTCAGTATATTTCACAGTTTTGAAGCGATTCACCCAATCTGAGAAGCAAAAACTAGAAATATTAGTATTTGATTTTCAACTTAATCGATACAGTGACGAATTGGGTGGCTCCGCTTGCTCAGGAAGGAGAAGGCGCCGTAATAGTGGGAGAGGCCAGACCCCCTCCTCCCTGAGTCAAAGGTCAACCGCTGAAGATTCAAAGTCCAACTGCCCCTATTGTCAAAAAGTCGTATGACTCGTTTTTTTTTTTTTTTTTTTTTTTTTTTTTTTTTTTTTTTTGCGTGAAAGCAGCTGCCTCGGTTTCATTTTCTATTTGGACTCTCCTCTTTTTGGGCCCCTAGCCTCCGAGTTGATTTAATTCCTAAAATTAAAATTTTAGGTCTTTGATTACAGAGTTCAACAAAGAACGAAACTCACACTTTCCTGATTCTCTATGTAGTAAACACATAAAATGTTACAAAGTGAAATAATTCTTACTCATAAATTCATAAATAAAGTAAATGTAGAAAACTCAAGAAATTGGTTTAACAAAACTATCTACTGTTTTCCAAACTTTCAAAATAACGGTTCTGTAAAGATTCTGCTGGTAGGACTAATTTGAAGATTTGGTAGAATGGAGGCAAAAATTACTCCCACTTCATGTCAGACCGGTTTCAAAGGATCAGCCGCACTTGGGGAAGGTTCACTTTTCTGAAGCTGCTCCAATGTTTTTACCACGTCGTTCATGTTTGGCCTAGACCTGGGGTCTGCTGCTAAGCATCGAATTGCTAGTTTACCAACTTTGCGAGCGTCACTCAAAGAGTACTGTCCTTTAATACGAGCATCAAAAATTTTGAAAACTTCGCGTTTGCTGGCAAGGTAAGGCTTGGCCCATTCAACTAAATTGTGTTCTTTGGATGGCCGATTCTTGTCCAAAACTGGTCTGCCAGACACCATTTCGAGCAGAACAACCCCAAAAGAATACACATTACTTTTGGCAGTTAATTGACCTAAAAAAACAAAAATACAGAAGAAGAAAAAAGGATTAGAAGGGAGTGATCATGCATTGTAGATCAAATCTAAGATAAAAATAACGCATTGTGGTAGCTGCAACACTGGTGAAGGTGAAGAGTGGTGGAGACGAAGCCTCTTAGAAGTATAATCTAAGTAGAACAATTTGTCCCTACACAATTTTAACCTACAACACTCATCAGTAATGCAAATAAAGGATGGAGAATGTCCTAGTCCATGAAACGTAGCTCTTGTTTTCAGCTGCAAATATTTGGGATGTTGTTTTAAGTGATCAAATTGAACTGAACTGATTAATAATACATGAAGTTGATGGCGCAAACACAGAATATTGCAAGAAACAGAACGTGGCCATTCAAAACGTACACATGTTGTCCCCCTTTTCGGGGTAGTTTGCTTTTGTAAGTGAACTCAATACTGTAAACTAAAGTACCTGTGGCTATATACTCAGGAGCTGCATACCCATATCTCCTCCCCATGACCCTTGTTCTGGCCAGATCAAAATTTGTAAGTTTAGCATTGTTCATCTGTTGTTTTTCAATAAAAATTTGATGTGTGAGCAAATCTACACTAACTCTTCCAGAAGGAAAAAAAAACAATAGTTAAAGGGTTTTTATCACGGTTGGTTCCCGAAAATTGTACATTTCAATCAAAATCGTCACTGAAATAAAAAAAATCAATCAATTTGGTCCCTAAAAATAGATCTCCCAAATCAATTTAGTCCTTCCGTTGTCTTTCCGTCAAATTTTCTGTTAGTGTAGTGATGTAGCACCGAGTAGGTCCTATCTAATCATATGGCTGATAGAATTTCTGATCTCTATTGATAATTCACACACCTTCAGGCCTTATGGGAAGGCTCTGTTATATACATTACAATATACAAACTTTACACTTTAAAAAATACAAAGGCTGCACGCCACACATGCAGCAGCACAGCAACAACACATCACTGCACTCGGAGCAATAGCACAGCAATAATAAACTGTCCTTCCTGCTGTCCATGAGTCAGCAACCACATGTCCACTATAGTTGTAATGATGGCAGGCACTTTAGAGTTTAAACATGAGCTGGATGACTTGGTCTTACAGCCCCCCGCAAGCTGACAGGCCGAGAAACAACTGGAAGCTTGGACACCAAAAGCTTGAAACGCGAGGAAGACAAGCCCTTTGTAAACAAATCAGCGAGTTGATCTTGAGAACAAATAAAATGTATCAGAAGCTGCTTTCGAACCACCTTCTCACGGACATAGTGATAATCGACCTCTAAGTGTTTTGTTCGCGAATGAAAAACTGGATTGGAAGCTAAGGCTATGGAAGATACATTATCGCACCATATGTGGGGAAGAAGAAGATGCAGATGAAGGTCTTTGAATAATGACCTGAACCAAGATAGCTCAGCAGCCGTGTAGGCTAGTTGCCTATATTCAGCTTCTGTACTTGACCGAGAGACAGTCTTCTGTTTCTTTGAGCTCCAAGACACCAGATTGGACCCCAAATAAATACAAAAACCTCCTGTAGAGTGACGGGTATCAGGATTGCCCGCATAGTCGGCATCCGAAAAAGCATGCAGTTGCATATCTCCAGGTTTATAAACAAGACCATGATCATACGTGGCCTTTAAATATCGCAGGATACGTTTCACTGCCATCCAATGAGTGTCCTTGGGGGAGTGCATAAATTGGCACACCTGGTTAACAGCATATGAGAGATCCGGTCTCGTGATGGTTAAATATTGCAACGCACCAACAACACTACGATATTGCTCAGGATGTTTGTAGGGTTCACCAACATAAGCACTCAATTTTTGGCCTGTAGAAACTGGAGTGGAGATTGGCTTGGCATCTTTAAACTTCGTTCGCTCAAGCAAGTCCAGAGCATACTTGGATTGAGTCAAATGCAGGTTGTGACCAACGTGAGTGGCTTCAACGCCCAAGAAATAACTAAGGGGACCCAAGTCTTTCATGGAAAACAAAGTGCTAAGCTTTGTGATCAACCATGCCATTTGAGTAGTGTTGTTTCCTGTGAGCAATATGTCATCCACATAAATAAGCAAAATCAAATAAACTCCTCTGTGATTAAAAACAAACAAGGAGTAGTCACACATGGATTCTTGGAACCCTAACTGAAGGAGAAACTCAGAAAATCGTTGAAACCAGGCCCTAGGCGCCTGTTTTAAACCATATAAACTACGTTGCAGTTTACAAACATAGTTAGGATACTGGTTATCAACAAAACCTGGTGGTTGCTTCATGTACACATCCTCATTCAAATACCCATGCAAAAATGCATTCTGAACGTCCAATTGTCGAACATGCCACCTCTGTGAAACTGCCAGACTCAACACAAGTCTAATGGTACTATGCTTGACAACTGGACTAAAGGTCTCCGTATAGTCGATCCCGGATTGTTGATGAAAGCCATTAGCCACAAGTCTAGCCTTATGACGCTCAATCGAGCCATCTGCATGCCGTTTAATCTTGAAAACCCACTTGTTTGGCAATAAGTTCATGGCACGATGGTAAGGCACAAGAGTCCACGTACCACAGCGCTGCAAGGCACTGAATTCTTGAGCCATTGCATTCCTCCATTCTTTATGCTTTATGGCCTGACTAAAACATGTTGGTTCTGCCACCAGAGTGTCAGTATTAACATACAAAGCATATTTTGGGTTTGGCTTTTGTATTCCAGCTTTAGACCGAGTGGTCATAGGATGGATGAGAGGGGGGTCAGGAATCAGCACGGGATCACAGGATTGTGACGGAGTCGGGTTCACATGGACATCAGCAACTATTTCTTGCTCATCTTGGTTTGGGAGAGGTTCACGAGAACTGGAAATGGGGGCAAGATTGGGAGTAGGAGCAGGTGGTTCATTTAGTGGTGGAGTAGCTGGGAAACTAGTTGTAGTGGCGGGTTGGACATTAGGTGGGGCTAGACTGTGGTTAGTTGGTGTACCAGGGAGAGGATCTGAAAAATGAAAAAGAAGCTCAGAGGGTGGAGAGATACCTTTTGTGCAGACGTTTTCCTTGAGAGATGTGAGTTCCTGGAAGGGAAAGGAATCCTCATCGAATAATACATGGCGAGACAAATACACTCGTCTCGTGGATAAATCCAAACACTTGTATCCTTGGTGATTCAACGAATATCCTAAGAAAACACATGACTTAGACTTGGGTTGAAGTTTATGTTTGGCATAGGGTGTCAACCAAGGAAAACATTTACACCCAAACACTTTAAAGGATACATAAATCGGTGTTCGATGAAATAACTTTTCATATGGAGATTTGTTTGACAAAACCTTAGTTGGTAACCTATTAATTAGATATGTGGCTGTCAAACAGGCATCAAACCAATATTTGTCAGGAATGTGGGCATGGGAAAGCATGACAACACTAGTTTCGACTATGTGGCGATGTTTTCGTTCCGCCATTCCATTTTGCTCAGGATGTTTAGGGCATGAAAACCGTTGGGAAATACCTTGAGTCGCAAGAAACTGTTGAAAGGCTTGACTCTTATACTCACCACCTTCATCACATTGAAGGGTTTTAATGAATGTGTTAAACATTTTTTCAACCTGCGCCTTAAATGTGACAAAAATACCAAATACTTCAGATTTGTGTTTCATGGGAAAAATCCAAGAATAGCGAGAATAATCATCGACAAACAAAACATAATAACGAAAACCTTCAATTGATATAACTGGTGAACACCACACGTCAGAATGCAAAAGTTCCAAAGGAGAGTGAGACACAGACTCGGACTTGCTAAAGGGAAGTTTGGTACTCTTGCCCAAAGGACAAGAATCACAAAACGTTACATCGGCAGTACCATGACTTGGTACTTGATTATTTGAAATTAAAAACTTAATAATTGAAGACGCAGGATGACCAAGACGAGAATGCCATTTTTTGGCTGAGACTCTAGCACCTAAGAAAGTTGAAATAGGATACTTGGTTAATCCACCGCCACCTGGAAATGGGTATAACCCATTCTCACATCTCCCTCGGAAAAGCGTCTTCTGGGTCTTGAGGTCCTTGACAAGGAAAAAATGAGGAAATATTAGTAGGTAGCAATGGTTATCAAGAGTGAATTTATGGGCAGAGATAAGGCTAGTGGAGGCGGATGGACAATGAAGGATATTGTTTAGTTCAAATGAGCAAGCCTTAGTACTGATTTTATTCGAACCATAATGTTTAATGGAAAGGCCAGTATCATTACCTACACCACCGATATTCTCATTACCATTGTACTCCTTCGGATTTACCAGATTTTGAATATCAGGAGTGACATGGGCATTAGCTCCTGTGTCCAGTAACCAGGTGGCATTTTGTTGTCGATTCAAAGTAATTGGTGAAGAGGCCATAGCAGTAAGACGTTTAGTTGGAATACGTCCTTCATACGCACCATTCATGCGCTGATAACAATCTAAAGCAGGATGGCCAGGCTTACCACAAATTTGACAAGTGATTCGCTCTCCACTTGTATTGAAGCGTTCCCCATTAACGGCAGGATTACGCTGATTAGTGTTGCGAGGAAAGAAACCTCGCTGGTTGATAGGGGAAGCACCACCTCGATTGGACGGAAAGCCACCACGTCCATTTCCACGAGAACGTCCACCACGTCCTCTTGCAGCTACAAAAGCATTGACTGGAGTAGCTTCCAGCACAGGTACAGTTTGTTCCATCATGCGCCTCTCCGTGGTCAAAAGGAGGGCTTCAAGGGTTGGGTACGTGATCGGAGTATCATGTGCCTGAGCTGCATTGACAGTCATCTCGAATGCAGGTCCAAGGTTATTAAGAATAATTTGAACCAGTTCATTATCACTTACTGGTTGTCCGGCGAGGGCAAGATTATCGGAAATAGCATTGACACGATCCAAGTAATCAGCTACTGAGAGATCACCTTTTTTGGTCAGGAGCAATTCATTTCGCAGAAAGAGAATGCGATTCTGAGAAGTGGATGCGTAACGCTGCTCAAGAGCCTCCCATGTCGCACGAGATGTGCGTTTGCTGGCAACAGTTGCTAGAACGGAAGCAGTCAGCGAGCCATTGATCCAACTCAGAACCATTTGATCGCGTTGCACCCATGTAACATACTCCGGATTGACAGCAGTGTTTCCAGCCAATTGTTTCGGAGGACAGTCCAGAGAGCCGTCGACGTAACTCATCAGGTCACGACTCTTCAGTATTGGCAAAATCTGCGCCAACCATAGAGGATAGTTGGCACGATCAAGCTTAATATTCACTATGGTAGTCATGGAGGAGAAGAATGGATTGACGGATGAAGTTGCAGGAGGGGGAATAGTTTCAGCCATGGAAACAGTGATGCGGGGGAAAAAAAAAAAAACAAGGATCTTTTGTCTTTAGACAGAAAGGCTCAGTACCATGATAGAATTTCTGATCTCTATTGATAATTCACACACCTTCAGGCCTTATGGGAAGGCTCTGTTATATACATTACAATATACAAACTTTACACTTTAAAAAATACAAAGGCTGCACGCCACACATGCAGCAGCACAGCAACAACACATCACTGCACTCGGAGCAATAGCACAGCAATAATAAACTGTCCTTCCTGCTGTCCATGAGTCAGCAACCACATGTCCACTATAGTTGTAATGATGGCAGGCACTTTAGAGTTTAAACATGAGCTGGATGACTTGGTCTTACAATGGCACCATGTCAATAAACTATGTATTAAAACGGGTTTTTTTTTCTTTTTTTTTGAACTTAAAGTGTTAAAAAATAAAAATAAAAAGAACAATAACATTGTTGTCTTCATCTCACTCAGGTGGAGAATTGAAGATATTTTTCAAGCAATTCCAATCAATTAGATTTTCCCAGCAACCAAACAACTGGTAACAAGCTTGGGATCTCAAATTCATCGGCTAGGAGATTGGGCCTCAGCTTCATCGAGAGAGAGAGGAAAAAAAAAAAAAAGGGCCTTGTCTCGTCACTGTCGTGGTAGTTCACAATCTTCTCCTCATGTTGAATCTGCATCGACTTCATGTCCTCCCTTCTGTTGTCGGGTCCAATCGGCTATTACGGCTTTCTCACTGCCGTGTTCGTCATGGCAGCATTAATCTTGGCAACGGACGGCGGAGATGAATTGGGAGGCTGCGTGTGTCTCATTGAAGAAGACGATGTTTCTTTTTTTGTTTTTTTTTTTTTTGTCTTTTTAGTTTTGGTTTTAAATCTTTTAAAAAATTGGTTTTTATGATTGATCTACATGGCGCCATATGATTGGTTGGGTAAGATCCACCCGTGTGCCATATCAGCATACTAATAGAAACTTTGACGGAAAGACAACGGAATGACCAAATTGATTTGCAAAATCCATTATCAAGAACTAAATTGAATTTTCTATTTCATGGATCATTTTGATTGAAAGGTCTAATTTCAGAGACAACAGTGTTAAAAGTTTCACTTACCGAATCCAGCAGGATATTAGAAGTTTTGAAGTCATAACAAATCATTTGCAGATCACTGTTAAGAAATGCTAGACCCTTAGCAGCACCAAGGGCAATCCTCATACGAAGGCTCCACGGAAGTGGTTGGGAGGTAGAAGACTCTGTTCCACCAACAACATTTAAGTATCCAAATTATACTTTGTAGTGAAACGGTTGATCTCTTTAGCAACGGTAATGCTGATTTTAACGATCAAATGGCTAAAGAGTGAAGGAAGGTCATAACTCACTGCTAAATAGATGTCTATCCAAGCTTCCGTGAGGCATATATTCATACACCAAAAGTCGGTGGTCATCCTCTAAGCAGTAACCAATCAACCTCACAAGATTTTCATGATGCAGCTGCCCAAGGTAGTTGATTTCCGCCTAGTGTTCAAGAGGCTCCACAAAATTAATAAATGATTCTGTTGCTTTTCAAAGATTTTCTTGTATATGCATTGTAAAGATTACAAGAGAGTGAGAACACTCTTATAAGGAACTACAAACATATGCCACACGGGAGAAGCAAAACACAATCCCTTGGTTTCTGCCCTAGACCCGTGAGAAGCCATTAAAATAAGGACAAGGGACATGACAAGGTATGGTAAGACAAGAGTAGGGTTAAGACCATCACTTTAGCCCATAACTTTAGCTAAAGTGAGGATGACAACCCATCCTTGAAACCCTTACACCATACTTTGGGAAGTAATACCAACCCCATGAATTAAGGGTTTGACAACATGTCACTAAGACATCAACCTCAGTCACCGAAACCCTAGAATACACTAAACAAACAACTGCCAATACTCCCCCTCAAGCTGGATCCAGAAGGTTGATGGATCTGAGCTTGGAAAGACGACGCTGAAACTGATGAGAGGGTAAGGGCTTTGTAATGTCAGCCAGTTGTTCAGTGCTTCTGGTGTAATGTGTCTGGATTACTTGTGATTGTACCTGCTCACGAATGTAATGACAATCAACTTCAATGTGCTTCGTTCGTTCGTGGAACACAGGATTGGAGGCTATGTGCATGGCAGCTTGGTTGTCACAGAATAGAGACATAGGAAGAGTTGCAGAAAACCCCAAATCACTTAGAAGACCCTTGAGCCAGATTAATTCACATGCTGTTGAAGCCATTGCACGATACTCAGCTTCGGCACTGGATCTGGCGATGACAGTTTGTTTTTTACTCTTCCAGGTGACCAAATTTCCACCAATGAAGGTGCAGTAACCACTCGTGGATTTACGATCAATGGCATTACTTGCCCAATCTGCATCACAGTACCCCGTGATGTAAGTGTGATCGTTTTTTGTCATGAGAATACCACGGCCAACAGACCCTTTTAAATAACGTAGGATTCTCTTTACAAGATTCAAATGATCGATGGAAGGAGAGTGCATGAATTGACTGACAATGCTCACTGCATATGAGATATCGGGTCTGGTGATTGTTAGGTAGATTAGCTTACCAACAAGCCTCTGATATGAACTGATGTCCGAGAGTGGAGTTCCCCCCATGTTGAGTTTGAGTTTGCTATTGAGAGGAGTAATGGCGGGCTTGGACTCACTCATGTTAGCATCCTTGAGGAGATCTATGACATATTTCCTTTGATTAAGAATAATCCCTTGTGAGAAGATGCCATTTCAATCCCAAGGAAATATTTTAACACCCCAAGATCTTTGATAGCAAACTTTTGTTGGAGTGACTGCTTGAGTTTAAAGATTTCGACTGCGTTATCACCAGTGACTATTAAATCATCCACATAAATCAACACCACCAATGTGCCACCAGTTCCAATACGAACAAATAATGAAGAATCAGCTCCACTTCTTTTGAAACCAGCACTATGAAGGACTGAACTTAGTTTAGCATACCAAGCTCGAGGCGATTGCTTCAGTCCATAAATGGACTTATGTAACTTACACACCATATCTGGAACTTGACTTTGAGGGTGTCCAGGAGGCAATCGCATGTAAACTTCTTCTTCGAGATCACCGTGAAGAAAAGCGTTCTTTACGTCCATTTGGTACATAGACCAACCTTTATTGACAGCAACAGACAGCAACACCCTTACTGAGTTCATTTTTGCAACAGGTGCGAAGGTTTCTTTATAGTCCACCTCAAACGTTTGAGTGAATCCCCGAGCCACTAGCCTTGCTTTATGTCTCTCAATTGAACCATCTGCATTGAACTTGATCTTATAGATCCACTTGCACCCCACTGCCCTTTTTCCTTTTGGAAGTTTGGTGATGCTCCAGGTGTTGTGCTGGTCTAGAGCTTTGAGTTCATCTCGCATTGCTTCTTGCCACACTTCCTGGTTACTAGCCTCATGAAAACTTTGAGGTTCTCTGTGACTCGAGATGTTGTTAAGAAAGGCAGCATGCGAAGGAGTTACCATGTGATATGAAACATAACTTGACATTGGATGCTTTGGTTTGTATAAATCAAAATCTTGAAACCTGGTTGGAGGCTGCCTATCTCGACGGGGATTACGTCGAGGTTCTGGGAGAGATGGCTCATTCTCGTGTAACCTTTCAGCCACATCTTGAGATCTTTCTTGGTTCTCACTGTCTGCATCTTGTATGAATCCATCAGGCTGAGGGTTTTGAAGACTAGTCTCAGTGTTGTTGTGACTGAACTCTTGGTGATGTAGATTATCAGGTCCGATTCTTGGTAATGGGAACAGGTCCAGAATGCCATCCCCTTGGTCTATGATGCCACTTGTTCTATTAAAAAAACAGTTAGACTCATGGAATCTAACATCTTTGGGAACAATCATTTTCATTAGTTGGAGGTTATAGCACTTATATCCCTTTTGAGTGGAGGAATAACCAAGAAAGACACATTTAGCAGAGCTGGGATCCAATTTATCTCGGTATTGAGATTGAACATGCACAAAACAAATGCAACCAAACACTTTAAGATGAGATAAATCGCTTTTTCTTCCCTTCAGAACCTCTAGGGGAGACTTGAGTTCCAAGACTCGACTAGGTAACCTGTTGATGATGTATGCTGCTGTCATAACACCTTGGGACCAGAACCTCTTTGGTACATGCATTTGTAACATCAGTGCCCTAGTTTTCTCAAGAAGATCACGGTTTTTACGTTCGGCTACCCCATTTTGTTGAGGGGTTCCAACGCAACTCGTTTGATGCATGATGCCATGTGCACTCAAATAATGTTTTATGATATGGGACATGTATTCGGTGCCATTATCAGATCGTAAGGTCTGTATTTGAGATGAGAAATGGTTTTTTACAAGGTTATGGAAATCTTTAAAAACTTCTACAACTTCACTCTTAGATTTTAGTAGATACAACCAGGTGACTCGAGAGAAGTCATCCACCAAAATCACAAAATACTTGTAACCATCAAAAGATTCACTAATTGGTCCCCAAACATCGGAATGAACTAGTTCAAAACACTTACTGGTTCTAGAAAGAGAGGATTTAAAGGATAATCTAGTGTCTTTAGACAAGTGACAAGTTTCACAGATTATATCATCCTTTCCTAATTTTGGGAATAAAGCTGACAAAACGGGAGAGGAAGGATGTGCTAAACGTTGATGCCACAACCACGTATCACGAGTAGAGTCTAGCTTGGCTTGAAAACCCCTGGGATTGCTCTTTGACAGGTAATAGAGACCATCTAAGTAGAACCCTTCACCAATCATCCTTTTGGTGGCACAATCCTGAAAAATCACATTATGAGGAGAGAAAATGGCTAAACAATTCAACGTGTTTGTAATCCTTCCCACATATAGAAGTTGGAATGGAAAGGATGGAACATATAAAGCGACAGACTCTATTTCATCCGACATCAACTTGATTTTTTCTCTCCCTAAAACCTTAACTTGATTTCCATCTGCTATTGAGACTCGAGAAGGTTTGGTCAATCTTTCAAATTTTTGAGAATCAGACACATGGTTAGTCATGTGATCTGTGGCACCCGAATCTATAACCCAAAAATCATGCAACATATTTAGTTTGAGTGCAGTTTTAAAGGCTTTTATAATACCTGACATGTCTTCTTGGGGAACAGAATTTGTGTCTGTCAAGAACCCTGTGAACTTGCCAAGCATTGCTGTCGATGTTCTTTCTTCCATGTTATGAGTACTGTCTCTTTGAGCACCTCCTTTCTTGCCTTGAAGAAATGTCATGAACTCATTCATGAGTTCTGTCGGATTTGCTGTGAAGTTCTTAAATGAATCTGACTTGTTGGAGATGGAGGTGGATACATGATTTGCTCGATGTGGAGCACGATTCACCCTTTGTACACCTTTCATGAAATCAGGCTTTAATTCTGGATGTAAAATCCAGCAAATATCCTTAACATGGCCTGTGTTATTGCAGTGTTGACACTTAAGGTGATGGTGCTTTCCTTTGTACCTTCTTTCGTTGGTTACATATGCCCTCGATTCTGGTACATTTGGCATTGTACTCAAGTTCATGACTTTCCTTCTTACTTCCTCACGTTGAATAGTTGCACACACACTAGGAAAGGAGGGTAGTTCAGTGTTCATGAGCATGTGACATCACAGATCTTCATATGTTAAGTCAAGACTGGACAAGAGTTGGAATATCTTGTCTTCTTCTGCCCTATTTTGTAACAGCACTGCATCAGTTGTATGAGGACGATAGGTTTCCAACTCGTTCCACATGGTCTTCATGCTTCCCAGGAGTTGCACGAACGGCTTACCATCTTGTTGCAGCTCGGAGATGTCCTTCTTTAGTTGGAAGACCCGTGCAGCATTATTTTGGCTGCCATACATTTCCTTAACTGCTTCCCAGAGTTGATAAGAGGATTCTGAGTAGCTGAAAATTTCAGCTAACCTTCGCTCCATGGAATTCAGGAGCCATGACATAACTAGGTGATCCTTGCTCAGCCAGGATTCATAGGTTGATGAGGAAGCCTCAGGGACTTTGATGCTTCCATTTATGAACCCTAACATGGATCTGCCACCCAACGCCAACGATACAGCTCTTGACCATGGCAAGTAATTGAACTCGTTTGATACGACTGAGCTTAACCTTTGATTTGGATTGACATCCACTTCCTGTGCAATTACGGAGGAAACTTCCGGGGAGCTATCAGCCGTTGAGGCTGCCGGATTTTCTTGAGACATTTTTGAGAGTGAAAACTAAGGAAAGCAGTATAGCAGGAGCAGGTTAAAGTTCCTGCTCTGATACCATGTTGCTTTTCAAAGATTTTCTTGTATATGCATTGTAAAGATTACAAGAGAGTGAGAACACTCTTATAAGGAACTACAAACATATGCCACACAGGAGAAGCAAAACACAATCCCTTGGTTTCTGCCCTAGACCCGTGAGAAGCCATTAAAATAAGGACAAGGGACATGACAAGGTATGGTACGACAAGAGTAGGGTTAAGACCATCACTTTAGCCCATAACTTTAGCTAAAGTGAGGATGACAACCCATCCTTGAAACCCTTACACCATACTTTGGGAAGTAATACCAACCCCATGAATTAAGGGTTTGACAACATGTCACTAAGACATCAACCTCAGTCACCGAAACCCTAGAATACACTAAACAAACAACTGCCAATAGATTCTCTAAAAATGTTACGAGTAAGACTATCTATTTGTAATAACTATTAAGAAGCAAAATGTAAGAATAATCTGACCTTTAAAGATCAAAGAAGGTGAAGTCATACCGGACTTCAATAGTAAGCTTCTTCTCTCTTGCAAAAACAACATGCTCGACTCACAATAGGTTGAAGTCCAATTATGAGACAGTTTTACTCTGAGAGCAGTGACCTCTATTATATAGACATACAATCTATACAATTCTCCAATTAGAATCCTTGTAGGAAACCAACATTTTCTCCCAATTTTAAAATAAGTGAGTAATTTATGACCTATTCCCGGTCTCAATCCTCTATAAACTAGGACAACCAAACATCTTCTAATAAGACTCAAACCAATTTGAGCTCAAATATCTGGCCAAAATACTCCTACACTTGTGCTCATATTCTAACAAAAGATTCATCAAGACTGTTTAAATATATTAGTCTTTCTAACTAAACCCGACAATTCATCCACAGGGGACTTTGAACAAAAACGAATCAACAAGGTATTAGGAAAGTGCATTTAGGCCATTGAATGATAGAAGTGATACTCACCAACCATTCTTTGTGACCCGGCAGATGTTCTTGGTTAAGCCCTTTCACAGCAACAATCATGCCAGTACCAGGCTTGGCAGTTGTTAGTGGATTCTTGATGAGTATATTTTATATTATATATTTTACCCTATTCTTAGTATATTTTGGTTAATAATTTGGAAGAATTTTGATACTTTGAATTATATTTCCAATATAGGATTTTCGACTTCCTCTGGAGCAAAACATGGTCAAATGGACGAATTTTGTAGTAATTCCAATTGGAGGACGTTCATGAGTCCTTAGGTTGATCGTGTCAAAATATCAGATTTTTCTACCAAGCGAATATTTTCTGGTAATAAAATAAAAGAGCAATGTGCAGTGATGGAATAGTGACGTTTTGGGCTTGAATTGCATTTTTGGAGCCCAAGATGACCTCGGATGGGTTTGTGGCCTTCTGGAGATGTGTTCAGAATGTTCTTATCTTTAAAACAAGCTATCTTGGGCCGGATTTGGAGGAGATTTGAGGCTAAAACATGGCTGAACAGTTTCTGTGCAGTTTTTCCTAGGTTAATTAGGAATTTATTTTCTATTTTATTTTATTATTATTTAGTTTCTTAGTGGGAATAAAATACTTGAGGGTTAGGGTTTGTGTGTTAGCTTTAGGGAGATATTAAAAGGCTTGGCCGTTCTTAATCTAGGGCTTTTCTTTTATGCAACTTTTGGGAGACAGAGAATTTGGCTAGGATTCTTGGAGATTTTCTACTTTAAGATGTTTTCATTCCTTTTATTCTTAATAATATGTTCCATGATTTCAATTATGAATATGCGTAACTAATTCCTTTTGCTAGGGTGAAGCCGTAAGCCTTAGCATAAATATGTGATTTTTATTTAATTGCTTATGATTGATTGCATGCATAAATTGAATTATTGATCACCGTAATTAAAACTATCTAATTGTCTTAATGCCTGATCACCATTAGGATCTTTAGAAAAGTAATTTGATGCAATTTTGGTCGGAAGGTTCCCTGAAATTGATGCTGGCTTCTTGTGATTAATAATTGTAATTTCACTTAAGATGAACACCACATCTTAAGGGTTGCATGGTTTTTCAAAGGGTTTTCATAAAAGCATAATGAGTCTCTCATGTTCAGATTTTATCCAAACGTCCGAACGGATTGCATGTTAGATATACGTTCTATGTTGGAGGTTCCAAGTAGAATATAAATTAGGAAAACTTAACCTTCAAAGTGACATGTATAGATCATAAGTAATTGATAAAAATACATAGGATTGCTAGGTGATGGTGAAACCCTAGTGTTTTCTTAATTTGATTTTTTCCAAAATAGTTTTATTTTCCTTTCATCTTTAATATTGCATATTAGTTTATTTTTATTAATTAAATTCGTTTTAATTTAAGTAGGTTATAAAACCAATCATCTCAACTTTCTGCTTTACAGTAATTAATTGAAATTTAGTTTATTTCGAATTATTTAATAATCCCTGTGGAGAACGACCTTGTGAGAACCGTTTATACTACAACAACCTTGTCATTCTTGCAAGTAATATAGGAGTTTTTAACCCGTTTGCGTGTGTTCTAATCAAATTTACAGTTAGTTATTGTTGCCTATACACATAAAAAAAAAAATTACATTTCGTTTTTATTTTATTTTTACAGATTACAGTAGTACTGCAGATTACAACAATCTGTGCATGGTTAGAACTAGATCAGCAGCACAAAAATTGATTCCATTTGATCCAGAACCTGAGCAATCTTTAGGGAGGAGACGCAGGAAACAAAATCTGCAGTGGGTTCCTTCCCTGCAGGGGACTTTTCTACAATCTTTGTTTTCTGAGGATCTGCACAGTGAAAAAACAATGGCATTTGTCATTCCAGAGGATGGTCAACCATTAGGGGATTCATTAACAGCTCATGCCACTAACATACCAAGTTGCATTACTTATCCGGAAGTGGAGGAAGGGTCTGCATTCGAAATAAAGCAACACATGTTGAATATTCTACCTACATTTCATGGGTTATCAACCGACGATCCTAACATGCACATTGCAGAATTTTTAATGGGATGCAAGAATATTTTGGTGAGAGGATTTTCAGCCGAATCTATTAAGCTCCGTTTATTTCCATACACTCTGAAAGATCAAGCAAGGAGATGGCTCCTCACACTTCCATCTGGAAGCATTAGCACTTGGAACCAACTCAGTGAAAAATTCTTAAGCAAATATTATCCAGCTTCAAAGACTCTTAACATGAGAACTCAGATTTTATCTTTTGCACAAAAACCAAATGAAGAGTTTCATGAAGCGTGGGAACGGTTCAAAGAGTTGATTAGAAAATGTCCACATTCTGGTATTAATAGTACTGATCAAATGCATATATTTTTCTGAGGACTAAATATGACTACAAAAACTCTTGTCAATGCTTCATGCGGAGGTTCGTACAAGGATAAAAATGCACAAGAGGCTTGTTTGTTATTTGAAAAAATGGCAACAGATACACAGCAATGGGCAATTGAGCAGCCACAATCTAGGTCAGTTTTTGAGATGTCTAATGGTTCTCCATATGTGTCAGCACAAATTGAAAAAATGGAGAAAAAGCTTGAAAGATTTGATGCAAAATTTGACATGTTATTACAAAGAATTCTAGGTTCACAGTGTCACGGGCCATATGTTACAAACAAAGAAAACGCCCAAGACATCATATATATAAGCCCATAAAGCCTTGTCTTCATAGAAGCTTCTGGAACATCCCGGAAAAATCAAGAACATGGCGGAGCGTTCAAGATAATCTAGGACATTCCGGAACAATCCACACAACTGTACAAATTCAAGCCTCACCTAGAACAATCTAGATTAGGCAAGTTGTATCTAGAACTATACTAGATATTTTTGGATGTAAGTAGGGAATTCTAGAACCCTCCATTGAGGAGGTTACTTAGGCCTATAAATAGGAGGCAAGGCCATTTGGCCAAGGATCCAAGAATTGTAAGCAATTGTAAAGTTCTCCTAAGTTTCAATACAAAGCTTCCTTTCTCCCATCTTCTAAGTGATTTTAGCATTCTCCAAGCTATCTTAGCTTTCTTTGTGATTCAATCCGGGGAAGCGAGGCTTCGAAGGCTTACTTAGCTTGTTCATCGAGGTATTCAAGTATAAGTGCCGCACGGGCGGAAGGCTTAAAAAGTCATCCCGTGACAGCTGGTATCAGAGCCTAGTTCGTGAATCACTTGAAGGAAAGTAGGATATGGCAAGTGGAGAGATGGTGTCCGGAGTCTCCGATCTAAGGGAGCGTACTGCCGAGGTCCAAGACGTTACCAAGAGCAAGCCAAAGTTAAAGGACTTGCAAGCATCGATGGAGACCATGGAGGAGCGACTCGAGAAGGTGGAACGAACCATACTCGAGTTCGATACTCGACTTGATGAGGACGTTGTCGACAAGGAGGAAATCCAAACCATGGTGGACAATGGTAAGGATAAACTGCGTGGCTTGGTGGAAGGGCTACGAGATGAGCTCCTTGGCGCCCTCAACACCATGGCAGACAAGATGCGGAGGGAAGTCCAGGTTCACCTTGACAACATAGAGGCAAGGTTTGTGGTGCTTCAAGAAGAGATAAAAGACACAAGGGAACTTAAGGGAGATGTGGCGTTTTGTAAAGAAGCAGTCGTGAAGCAATTCGTGCAAGGGCCAAGGGAAATCAAGGCGTTGGACTCCAAGGTAATCGACTCCTTTAAACCCAAATCCTATAATGGGAAAAGGGAAGCAAAGGAGCTCGACACATTCGTGTGGAACGTGGAGCGATACTTCAAGTACCTGAAGCTTGAAGATGACGAGTCCAAAATCTCAACAGCAACCATGTTCTTAGCTGACAATGCCCTTATGTGGTGGCATCGTCGGAGCATGGAGATTGAGCAAGGTACGTTCTCCCTCACCACTTAGGATGAATTTAAGAAAGATCTTATGTTGCACTTCTATCCCCAAAATGCCAAGTACGAAGCCAAGGAGAAACTAAGGTGGCTCAAGCAAACGGGGAGCGTCAAAGACTATGTCAACACCTTCGTGAGTTTGTTATTCGAGGTGCCCAACATGTTAGAGGAAGACAAGCTCATGTACTTCATGAGTGGACTGCAAAATTGGGCAAAACTCGAACTACAAAGGAGACACGTGCAAACATTGTCTGATGCCATTGCCGCCGCCGAATCCTTGATTGAGTTTAAATCAAGCCACCAAGGTGATTCCAAGTCCACGGGGAAGAGGGGTAACCATGAGAAAAGTGGGAGAGAACATAAGCCGAAGGATAAGGCTGAGACAAGCAAACCGAAGGAGAAGAAAGCCAATAAGCATGACAAAAGCAAGGGTAAGTCTTGGCAACCCACTTGTTACTTATGCGACGGCCCTCACATGATGCGAGATTGCCCACAAAAGAAGGCCCTTAAGGCCATGGCTTTCAAGGAGGACAAGGCCGAGGAGAGTAACGATGCAAGGATGGGATGCATCCGTCTACTGAATGCCATCCAAACAACCCTCCAACAACCTAAGGCTCAAGTTGAGAGAGGATCATTGTTCGTCGACGTCAAGACTGGTGACAAGACAACGCGTGTGTTGGTGGACACGGGAGCAACCCACAACTTCATGACGTCGGAGGAAGCCACAAGGCTTGGCCTCCGAGTCACAAAGGAGCCCGGTAGCGTGAAGACGGTAAATTCCGCTGCCACCCCCATTGTCGGAATTGCGCACAATGTACAAGTAGACATTGGCGCATGGAAGGGAAAGATCGACTTCACCATAGTCAAGATGGACGACTATGGCGTAGTCATTGGGTTAGAGTTCATGGACAAGGTACGAGCCTTTCCCATTCCCTTCTACAATATTTTCTGTATCTTGGATGACGGAAGACAACCTTGCCTGGTGCCATTGGAGAGGCAAGCCAAGAAGTGTACCCAGCACTTGTCGGCAATTCAATTTGCCAAGTCCTGGAAGAAAGGCGAGGCCACATTTCTTGCAACCCTAATGTTGAATGAAGGGGAGAAGAAGTACGGGCCTTTTCCGAAACAAGTGGAAGCCGTCCTTATGGAGTTTGCGGACGTGATGCCTAAGGAACTGCCAAAGAAGTTGCCACCAAGGAGAGAGGTCGGCCATGCGATTGAGTTGGAGCCTGGTGCTAAGCCTCCCTCCAAATCACCTTATAGGATGTCGCCACCCGAGTTGGAGGAATTGAGGAAGCAACTCAACGAGCTACTTGATGCTGGCTACATCCAACCCTCCAAGTCCCCATATGGTGCACCCGTCTTGTTCCAACGCAAGAAAGAAGGTAGCCTAAGGTTGTGCATCGACTATAGAGCATTGAACAAGATTACCATCAAGAACAAGTACCCACTTCCGTTGATCGCCGACTTATTCGATCAACTTGGTGAAGCAAGGTACTTCACAAAGTTAGATCTTCGATCGGGATACTACCAAGTGAGGATAACCCCTGGAGACGAATCGAAGACGGCGATGGTGACCAGATATGGATCGTTCGAGTATAAAGTCATGCCATTTGGTCTGACCAATGCCCCTGCAACATTCTGCACATTGATGAACAAGGTATTCCATCCTTATCTTGACAAGTTTGTCGTGGTTTACATTGATGATATCGTTATCTATAGCAAGACATTGGAGGAGCACGTCAAGCACTTGCGCATAGTGTTCAAGACCCTTCGGGAGCATGAACTCTATGTCAAGAAGGAGAAATGCTCTTTTGCCACAAAAGAAGTAGACTTTCTTAGGCACAAGATAAAGGAGGGGAAACTTATGATGGAAAAGGGCAAGATCAAGGCCATTCAAGAGTAGGAACCGCCGACCAAGGTACCAACACTACGATCCTTTCTGGGGCTAGCCAACTACTATCAGAGATTCATTAAAGGGTATTCAGCCATAGTGACACCCTTAACAGACCTTCTTAAGAAGAACAAGGCATGAGAATGGACGGACCGGTGTCAAGAAGCCTTTGAGAGGTTGAAGAAGGCCCTAATGGAGGAGCCTGTATTAAGGTTGCCCGACCTTAGTAAGCCATTCGAGTTGCACACTGATGCTTCCGACTTTGCCATAGGAGGAGTGTTGATGCAAGAGGGACATCCGATAGCCTATGAAAGTCGCAAGCTAAACAATGCCGAGAAGAGGTACACGACCCATGAAAAGGAGATGACAGCCATCGTCCATTGCCTTAGAGTTTGGAGGCATTACTTGCTTGGTACTCCCTTCATCATCAAGACGAACAACGTTGCCATTAGCTATTTTCAAACCCAACAAAAGCTCACACCTAAGCAAGCAAGGTGGCAAGAGTTCTTAGCGGAGTTTGATTACAAGCTAGAGTACAAGCAAGGAAAGGAGAACGTGGTGGCCGATGCTCTAAGTAGACGAGTAGAGTTAATGGCTACGGTACTCAAGCTGCAAAGCCATCTCTTGGGCCGTGTCCGAGAAGGTTTATCACATGACGTCCAAGCCAAGAACATTGTGGAGTTTGTCAAGGATGGGAAGACAAGAAGGTTTTGGCTTGAGGACGGCTTGCTATACACCAAGGGCAAGCGGATCTACGTCCCAAAGTGGGGAAGCTTAAGGAAAGAAATCCTGAAAGAGTGCCATGACTCAATGTGGGCAGGACATCTTGGCACTCACCACACGTTGGCTTTGGTGAGCGATGCTTATTATTGGCCACAAATGCAGGATGATGTAGATTCATACGTGAAGACTTGTCTTGTGTGCCAACAAGACAAAGTGGAACAAAGGCAACCGGGGGGACTGTTGGAACCACTTCCCACCCCATCAAGACCATGGGAGTGTTTAACCATGGATTTCATCACACATTTGCCCAAGTCTGATGGATGTGGATCTATCTTCGTCGCGGTCGATAGATTCACCAAGTATGCCACTTTCATACCCGCACCTGTGGAGTGCACAGCCGAAGTAGCTGCACGCTTGTTTCTAAAGCACGCGGTGAAGTATTGGGGTGTTCCGAGGAGCATAGTCAGTGATCGAGATGCTCGCTTCACGGGTAGATTTTGGAAGGAGCTCTTCAAGCTACTTGGCTCAAAATTAGACTTTTCCACCGCTTTTCATCCCCAAACTGATGGACAAACGGAGCGGGTTAATGCATTGTTAGAGACTTATTTGCGACACTATGTTAGTTCCAATCAACGAGATTGGACTAAGTTACTTGATGTTGCCCAATTCTTTTATAACTTGCAACGTTCGGAGTTGACGGGGAAAAGTCCGTTCGAGTTGGCTATAGGGCAACAACCCTTGACCCCGAACACGGTCGTGACTGGCTACACGGGGAATAGTCCAGCCGCTTTCAAAACCGCTAAGGAGTGGCAATTTGCCCACGAACTTGCTCGAGCTCATTTGAAGAAGGCTTCAAAGAAGATGAAGAAATGGGTGGATCGTAAGCGAAGGAATGTGGAGTTCCAAACCGGCAACCAAGTCTTTGTGAAGCTTAATGCGTCTCAGCACAAGAGTACTCATGGCTTGCACAAGAGCTTGTTGCGAAAATATGAGGGACCATTCCCTATCATCAAGAAGGTTGGCAAAGCCGCTTATGTCGTGGAACTCCCACCCCGTCTCAAGTTTCACCCGGTGTTCCATGTGAGCAACTTGAAGCCTTATCATGCAGACAATGAGGAACCAAGCCGAGGTGAGTCTCATCGAGCACCCCCTTTGATGACGGAGGCATTTGACAAAGAAGTGGAGAGCATCGAAGCCAAGCGTGTCGTGGTGCGACCAAGACAACCAAAGCATGTGGAGTACTTTGTCAAATGAAAAGGGCTACCATACTCCGAAGCAACATGGGAGAAGGAGACGTCCTTATGGCAATATAAGGACCTGATTAATACATTCGAGAGGCAAGAGTCGACGAGGATGTCGACGGCTTAAGTGGGGGAGGATGTCACGGGCCATATGTTACAAACAAAGAAAACGTCCAAGACATCATATATCTAAGCCCATAAAGCCTTGTCTTCATAGAAGCTTCTGGAACATCCCGGAAAAATCAAGAACATGGCGGAGCGTTCAAGATAATCTAGGGCATTCCGGAACAATCCACACAAGTGTACAAATTCAAGCCTCACCTAGAACAATCTAGATTAGGCAAGTTGTATCTAGAACTATACTAGATATTTTTGGATGTAAGTAGGGAATTCTAGAACCCTCCGTTGAGGAGGTTACTTAGGCCTATAAATGGGAGGCAAGGCCATTTGGCCAAGGATCCAAGAATTGTAAGCAATTGTAAAGTTCTCCTAAGTTTCAATACAAAGCTTCCTTTCTCCCATCTTCTAAGTGATTTTAGCATTCTCCAAGCTATCTTAGCTTTCTTTGTGATTCAATCCGGGGAAGCGAGGCTTCGAAGGCTTACTTAGCTTGTTCATCGAGGTATTCAAGTCTAAGTGCCGCACGGGCGGAAGGCTTAAATAGTCATCCCGTGACAACAGGTTGCTGTACAGCAGCCCTTACAAGCTGCCTGCAGTATTTGCAGCATGACAACCCATGATTTTTTGAGCTGTCCACATAAAGCTGTTTATCCGGAGTTTGCAGCGGAACAAGTTAATGCATTTAATAATTTTCATCGTCCCCGAAATGACCCCTATTCAAATTTCTACAACCCTGGTTGGAGAGATCATCCAAATTTGATGTGGGATAGAGATGAACATGCAAACCCACAATTTCAACAACAGGTACAGCAACCTGCTGCACCTAAGGCTACTTGGGAGATTGCAATTGAAAAGTTAGCAATTACTACAAATGCAAGATTTGAACAGACCAATCAAGAAATCCAAAATTTGCATGCAACAATGAAAAATATGGAACAACAAATTGGGCAGATTGCATTTCAGGTTTCAGAAAGAGCACCAAATACATTTCCTAGTCAAACAGTACCTAATCCAAGAGGACGAGAAGAATGCAACGCTATACGGACTTTACGGTCTGGCAAAAGTTATGATAGCAGACATGAAAATTGTGCTGGAAATTCACAGGCAGCACCACAACCATAAATAGATTCGGGAAATGTTGAAAAATCTAATATTTTTGTAGATTCTACAGATTCTGCAAATTCTGGGCAGCCACAAGACATATCCAAAAATACTGCAGAAGCTACCACAAAAACTGCAGAACGTGTTTATGTGCCTCCAATGCCTTATCCTGAAAGGTTGAGGCCTAAAGCTAAAGATCAACAGTTGACAAATTTTATGAAGACTTTGGCTAAAGTTCATATTAATCTACCATTAATTGATGCAATTAAGAACATTCCATCTTATGCCAAGTTTTTGAAAGACGTTTGCACAAAGAAAAAGAAGCTTCTGGATTCCAAAAAAGTGATTCTAACAGAACAGTGCAGTGCGGTCTTATTGCATAAATTGCCTCCAAAGAAGAAAGATCCAGGGAGTTTTACTATCTCTTGCACCATTGGAAATTGTGATTTTAGTAGTGCTTTAATTGACTTAGGTGCTAGTGTTAACTTAATGCCTTATTATGTTTTTAAACGTTTAGGTGAAGGAGAGCTAAAGCTAACCTCCAGCATTATTCAATTGGCTGACCGTTCAATTACCTACCCTAGAGGAGTCATTGAAGATGTTATTGTTAAGGTTGACAATCTATATTTACCAGCTGATTTTATGGTGTTGGACATGGATGAGGATTTGACAACACCCATCATTTTGGGCCGTCCATTCCTGGCAACAGCCCAGACTCTTATTGATGTTGAAGTCGGAACTCTAACATTCCGGGTTGAAGATCAAACGGTTGTTTTTAGGTTGTTTGAAGCTACCACACATCCATGTGATAAACAAGAATGCATGCGTGTTGATGCATTAGATGGTTTGCCTCGTGCCAAATTTGTGACCAGATCATCAATTGACAATCTGCCCATAAAGACTCAAAATGTGATTCGTGAGTGTGATAGTAAAGCACAGCAACACAAAGTTCAATTGCTTGAAGTGCAAAAATCAAAAACAGATCCGAGCAACCAGATGGACCAAAAACACCAAAATGTCAAGAGCAAGAATAAAAAGTTGCATGGTAGTCCAAGTTATCAAAAAATACAGCCTGGAAACAAAGTATGGTTGTTAAGTTCAAATTTCAAGTCAATTCCAGGGAGACAAGAGTCTCGGTGGAAGGGCCCTTATATGGTGAAGCAGGTTTTTCATAACGGTAACGTGGACATTGAAAAAGAGGGCAAGGGTTGTGTGCTCAAGGTCAAGAAGTATTTACTTAAACCATGCATTGGGAAATTTGGTACAAGTGAGTCACTGACTCTAAAGGAACCAGTGCTCAAGGTCAAGAAGTATTTACCTCCCAGATGCACATATCTGGGTCCTGAGGGCCTTTCCTATTTTGTCCAGCGAGTTTATGTGTTTACTTCCTTTTTCCCTCGGCTCTATCATGGATCCGCATATCCCTACACACAGCGCACTAATATGAGTACATGCAGGACATAAAACGAACATCTATGCAGATCAGGACCCAACCAAAGTCTGGAATTAATCTTACTTTTACCTTCCTCATTTGCTGCGGCCAAAGCCTTTGCTGTTTATTTTTTACTTCTGGGACCACTGGATCGGCAGCTGAAGGGTTGTTTTTTTCTCGGCTCTACCCTGGATTTGAGTATTATTTTTTCAGTCATAATAGTGGTTTTATTGTTAAAATACCAGATCACAGTCAATCAATCAAAAGGGTTACGATTTTTACCTCAAAATTTGTAGATCCGTGAGTTTGGGGACTATTCGAGTGGGTCTTTTCAGTCTCTTTGTGAATCTCGGGTATCTAATATAGAAAAACATCAGAGTCAGCTTCTTCAGAGATTCATCACAAAACCATAGCTCTCAGAGCATTTTCGCCAGCCTAGAGATATGAATATTGAACCAAGTGGAAGATGATACCGTTGCATGTGCGAAATGGTTTCGATCTGCATGAATGGAACTCGAATCCGTGATGGTTTGAATTTGGGCGACACACTGTTTGGTTGAGAAAAGCTGGCGACTCAGGGTGTATTTCTTGTGTTGTTTGTCTCGGATTTGCAACAATTAGGGGTCTTCACATAGATGAAAACACATGCATGTGTTAGTTTACCACATAAATCTGAAAAGGAAAAAAAAATACAGACACACAGGGAAGAGGGATTTACTTTCATGCATCTCAATTTTCATGCTTACTCCACCATGGATGGGTTAAAGAGACACGGAAGTGTGTATGCTCCTTGGTTTTTGGTTGCAGAACGAGTGAAGAAACTGCTGCATATAGGAGGTTTGTACAAATGGGCGCTGAACTTGAGAGGAAATGGAGAAAAGAAACCCTTTCCAGATTTTTTAGAGAGAGAAAGGGCTACGAGGAATAGGTTTGAAATGAGAGTAGTGAGAGATGTCTCTCATTTTTCTAGAGAGAACAAGGGGCTGCGGGGTTTACAACAAATAATATTATTATCCTTCTGCACAGGGGATGGGAATGGACAGAAGAGAGCCGTTTGGCTCTGGGCTCGAGGCTAGTGAAAGGGAATCCAAAGCGTGTTCAAGAATAGCTAGGGTTTTTTTCAAATGACAGATGCAGCTGCTACACCAGCTTATATTGTAGCTGTTGCTAGGTTTTGACACAAGTGTGGACTTGTACGTGTTGGTCAGCGCGCCTTCGCTGGTCCCAACTACCAGGTCCTGCTTTCGAATCCCCAAAGTGTCCAGTAGTGTTTTTGTTCTCCACATTTTTGGTCAGCACACCTTGGCAAATTCACAGTTTCCCTCTTCAAATCTCTGGTGTGTTAGTTTCTTTTTCCTTTTCTTTTCTTTCTTGTTTTCTGTTTTATTTTATTTTATTTTCTTGTTTCTCTTTCCTATTTTGTTTGCTTAGGGTATTTTCTTTATTTTTGATATTTGTTTTACATTTTCTAGGATTTAGTAGTTTTGTTTATGTTCTTGTCTCTTCTATTTATTTTCCAGACCTTGAGGACAAAGTGTGAAATAAGTTTGGGGGTGGGAAATAACATTTTAGGTTTTTAATTTTTGTGTCAAGTTAAAATTTTCATTCTTTGTAAGTTAATATCCATAGATTATTTTAAACATTATAACAAATGGACATGGTGAAGATTAATCCCACATTAGAGTCTTTTCTGCTTATACTTTGACAACTTGCACATTCACATCAACATGGCTTGTGGGGAGTGAGATTGAAACACTTACTTTTAGTCTAAGTTTCACTTTTAATTTTTGTTCTACATAAAGTAAAGTTAGTTTGTGTTATAAAGTAATAATTGTCTCACTCGAGACTTTGCCTAGTAACCGGGCCAGTCCTGCCTAATCAGCATTGATTCTCGCGTCAAACAGTAGAGTTTTGGCATGGGGCAGGGTGGTTAGTTGTTTTCGTAGCCTTTTCAACTCGGGTTAATAAGTCCTTAGGGGTGTTCTACACCTAGTGCCCTAAAGCCCCAATGGTTTGGGAGTCATTGACCTAAAGCTCGCTACATGGGTTGGATCGAAAGCTTAAGTGAACTGACATTGCACGACTACTACTGTTACTAAAAAAAAAAAAAATTATATGAAAAAAAAAAAAAGATCAAGAAGATAAAGAAAAATAGTTATATTTAAGTTAGTATGTGTGAAATAAAGAAGGACAAGAGGTAAGGGTTTTAGTCGAGTCTCCTTAGCTATGTTGATTCACTTTACACCAAAGGAAGTTCGTGAATTATTTTCTAATTGATTCTAAATGGCTTAGACTCTGTGGTGGGATTGGTTGGAACTTTTGAAAAGATGTTCTGATTTTTAACATGTTCTATGGATTGCAACTTTGAAGGTGAAAATTTTTGTCAGTTAGTTTTAGTTAAGTTCTAGTTTGTTAGTGTTTATTGTTGTTTTCTAGTTTTGTTTTGCTTGAAGACAAGCAAAAAGCTAAGTTTGGGGGTATTTTGATGAGTATATTTTATATTATATATTTTACCCTATTCTTAGTATATTTTGGTTAATAATTTGGAAGAATTTTGATACTTTGAATTATATTTCCAATATAGGATTTTCGACTTCATCTGGAGCAAAACATGGTCAAATGGACGAATGTTGGAGTAATTCCAATTGGAGGACGTTCGTGAGTCACTTAGCTTGATCGTGTCAAAATATCAGATTTTTCTACCAAGCGAATATTTTCTGGTAATAAAATAAAGGAGCAATGTGCAGTGCTGGAATAGTGACGTTTCGGGCTTGAATTGCATTTTTGGAGCCCAAGATAACCTCGGATGAGTTTGTGGCCTTCTGGAGATCTGTTCAGAATGTTCTTATCTTTAAAACAAGCTATCTTGGGCCGGATTTGGAGGAGATTTGAGGCTAAAACGTGGCTGAACAGTTTCTGTGCAGTTTTTCCTAGGTTAATTAGGAATTTATTTTCTATTTTATTTTATTATTATTTAGTTTCTTAGTGGGAATAAAATACTTGAGGGTTAGGGTTTGTGTGTTAGCTTTAGGGAGATATTAAAAGGCTTGGCCGTTCTTAATCTAGGGCTTTTCTTTTATGCAACTTTTGGGAGACAGAGAACTTGGCTAGGATTCTTGGAGATTTTCTACTTTAAGATGTTTTCATTCCTTTTATTCTTAATAATATGTTCTATGAATTCAATTATGAATATGCGTAACTAATTCCTTTTGCTAGGGTGAAGCCGTAAGCCTTAGCATAAATATGTGATTTTATTTAATTGCTTATGATTGATTGCATGCATACCTTGAATTATTGATCACCGTAATTAAAACTATCTAATTGTCTTAATGCCTGATCACCATTAGGATCTTTAGAAAAGTAATTTGATGCAATTTTGGTCGAAAGGTTCCCTGAAATTGATGCTGGCTTCTTGTGATTAATAATTGTAATTTCACTTAAGATGAACACCACATCTTAAGGGTTGCATGGTTTTTCAAAGGGTTTTCATAAAAGCATAATGAGTCTCTCATGTTCAGATTTGATCCGAACGTCCGAACGGATTGCATGTTAGATATACGTTCTATGTTGGAGGTTCCAAGTAGAATATAAATTAGGAAAACTTAACCTTCAAAGTGACATGTATAGATCATAAGTAATTGATAAAAATACATAGGATTGCTAGGTGATGGTGAAACCCTAGTGTTTTCTTAATTTGATTTTTTCCAAAACAGTTTTATTTTCCTTTCATCTTTAATATTGCATATTAGTTATTTTATTAATTAAATTCGTTTTAATTTAAGTAGGTTATAAAACCAATCATCTCAACTTTCTGCTTTACAGTAATTAATTGAAATTTAGTTTATTTCGAATTATTTAATAATCCCTATGGAGAACGACCTTGCGAGAACCGTTTATATTACAACAACCTTGTCATTCTTGCAAGTAATATAGGAGTTTTTAACCCGTTTGCGTGTGTGGTAAAATCTCTATCAATTCTGATTATCCCAGTTCTTAAAGACAGGACCTGAATATCCTTCACCCCAAATGTAATCAGAACGGAAGTTCCTGGTGGCTGTTTTCAGTTCATTAAATCTGAATTTCTTCACATTGGAGGACTGCACGATCTCACCCTCTGTCCGAAAAGTTGAAGGCGCCGAGGTAGTCGACAGTTTGCTACTTGAACGCAATCCTAGACATGACAAATCCCATATAAATTGTAAATAAAGCTCAAAATTCAGTTATATGACAAAATAAGTTCTAAAAAGAATCTATAACATCAAAATACCAGAATACTATGGCTATGTTGGTTTGACTCCTATATCAAATCCAACTGTAAGAATGGAGGTTCATGTACTGCAGTACCTTCAATTTCACTTTGGTTCTGTACCACACCACTTCCTTCAATTGTCTCCACAACCGCTTTTTTATTCCTGACAGAAGGCAATGCCTCCTGCACATCCCTTGTTCCCCGCACATCCAGCATATCTAATCCAACTGTAGGTGATAAAGGTTCTGGTAATGCATTCCGAGCTCTAGTTTGAATTTGACCTTGAAGCACATCACTTTCTTCAATTTGCTTGATCACGGCCTCTATATGTTGCACTGAAGCAAAGGTCTGCTTCACATCTCTTGCTACTTTCACTTTCAGTATATTTAACAGTATTTGAAGCGATTCGTCCAATCTGAGAAGCCTGTCAGTGTATTTACACTGTTTGCAGCTGGCCCACAAGTGATCTTTGGCGCACTTGTCTATGAGCTCTACACCATTCTCCATTTGTATTCTAAAATCTTCGAGTCGCTCCTCTGCGCGATCTAATATCTTCTTATGTTTTGTTACCTCTTCAATCAATGGTTTTAAAGATTCTAGGGTGGATATAAGATTTTCAAATAGTGGTTTAAACATCACAATCTTGTCCTTTGCTCCTATAACAGCGTCAAACAAAGCCAAAAACACTGCTTCTAGAGAAGCTCCTCCATCAAAAGATGTCACTGCATAATTAGAACACCATCAAAATAAGAAAACTTGTAATTGTTTCAATCAAAAGTTCAGGATATGTGAAAGGAAAAAAAGTGAGACACCTCACAAATTTGGAATTAAATAAAAAAATTCATTTATAAACCAAGAACATAATCAAGTAAATATTAACTTTTTACATCCACTTATAAATCTGATCATTTGAGAAAGAATGGAAATAGCGAGAGTCATTCAAATATAGAGTTAACTGCTCTATTATCTTTTCCTTTAATAACTGATAAAGAACAGAACTGAGAAGAAAGAACCGTAAAGTTGTAAACATAGAGTTTACATCTCTATTCAAATAAAGAAATATGAAATCTCTTTTTGTGTTATCTTTTCAACACTTGACACCAGAAATAAATCCAAGCAGTCAAACCTAATCTCTCATTTTAAGAATACACATCAACCCAGAGAAATCACAACTAGACGCAGGCAAAAGTTCTGCCAAACCAGTATATATCTTGTGTGTTTCTAGTTATTCTCTATTCGCAAGTTTAGTCTATCGTCGGGTACATCAACAAGTTACATAAGGGAGTCGAAAGTCTTACACACTACTATCAAAGAAGGGTGTTAAGCTCTTGCTAGCCATGGGCGTCAATATTCAATGAAAGCAAAATCAATATCAGATGATCGGGTTTAATTACCATATGTCTGATCTAAAATTAGCTAAATATTAAGTAATGCTTATTGCTACAACAAAAGCTATATTCCAAAAAGGGCAAAAGAAAATCGACAGCAAGCATGTCTATAAATTTAGTTCCAATCAACTCACCTTGTTCCCCACCATTCCCTTGAGTTTGCTCCGGCGGAGCGGTTTCTGTACTACTTCCGGAAACCAAATTCTGCAAGCCACTCCCTCCTTCCCCAGCTCTCTGCTGCAGTAATTTCTGTATATCTAACAGTCTTCTGTTCACTTCATCCAATTTATCTCGGTTTTGCCTCGACAACAATAAAACCTCTTTCACATCCCTTGCTTCCTGCACCTTCAATTTTTGCAGCAATCTTTTGAGAGCCCTATCCAACTCAACAATTTGGTCAGTATAATCATACAAACAGCAATAGTTCCACATTCGAAAATTCGATAACTTTACAACCAGCTTTACGCCTTCCTCCATCTGCAATTTAAGACTTTCGATTTCGTCGTTGGGGAGACCCAATTCCACATTATGTTCTTCAATTTGTTGGATGTCTCTGGGTACTAGGGAGTCTAGTGTAGATTTGAGGTCTCCCAGAAGGGATTTAAAGGTGCTGCTCTTGCTCATCGCTTGCTTAACGCCGTCGTAGAGCAGCGTAAACAGTGTTCCGCCAATAAATTCTAGTGCCATAGTTACCAAGGCACTCCCAATACAGCAAAATTAGAAATATTTGTGTTTGATTGCAACCTACAATTTGGCCAACCTTATTCAATACGGTGGCGAATTGGGTGGCTCCGCTTGCTAATGGAGGAGGAGGCGCCATGAAGGGTGGAAGAGACGAGACCCCCATCCTCCTCCCTTCCACTCTTGGTCCCTGGAGGCTACCATCAGAGGTCAACGGACGAAGCTGGAGCTGAAGAGCCAAGTGAACTGGCCTCTCTTTTGGTATTTTGTTGTATTGCTTTCGCGTCTTTTAGATTGGCTTTTCTGTTGCGCCTCTGCTCTCTTTCGGATTTTTATGAGGGACAATTTTCATAGCAGAGCCACAGGCTACAGCTGTGCTCTCTCAAGTTTGAATTTTTTTTTTTCCTTGTCGTGTGTAACCATCCTATCGTTTTTTCTTTTTGGAAACCGTAACTATCCTATCTTTCGTCAACATAAAAAACGTTATCAGTAGGTCTAAATGAAAAGACGGGAAGATTTACAATGATTAAGAGGGAGGACTTTCCACTCAAAATACATGGGTAAAAACTTCACATGCATGGAGGCATTTACTGGACCACAAACATTCCAACAAAGGAATTTGGAAATGTAAAATACATATCACCAAATGTGGATTTTGTGTCTTCATGGCATATTGATAGGATTTTTACCATATGTTAAAAAGAGTTTAAAACATCTATAAAATACTTGTAAGAGAATAAAACAATTGTTGTATACACGGCTCAAACAAGGTTGGTATCCACAATCATTGATATGAATAACTTGTATCTAAAACCAAATCTTAGTTAACTATTCAACACAATATTTGGAAAAGATTTGAAATTGTGAAATCAAACAAAGATTCTTTGAAAAACAAAACAAAGATTGCAAGAAAATAAAATTAACTAAATTGACAGAATTAAAATTGCCACTAAGGAAAACAAAGGTTTTAAAGAAAGGGAATTGTAATTAGCACTCCAAAAATCTCATTTGGCATTCCAAACTTTATATTATTAGAAAGAAAAATACATTTGTGACGAGTGTAGAATGAGATTTTTAGAGTGCTAATAATAATTTCCTAAAGAAATTGCCATTAACATTCTGTTGACCCTAAAAACTACCAAGCCTACGTGGCGCATAGGCCGAGTAATTAATAAGCTAACTACGTCCTTCGATTATGTGCGGGGTGTGCCAACTCGTCGGCCGAGCTCGGCCGATGAGTAAAATGTGTTGATGTCGTGTTGAGCGCGCTGCTAACTTCTTGATCTTGCAACTGCGGGCAAGGAAGGAACACATCTGGGCCTTCGAGTTCTAGAGCCTAAAGACAAGGCTGCTAGTTCTGCGAAGTTCAATATCAAATTCGGCTTTCAATGTGCCGAATGTAGTAACCTGTAACATCTTACTTAGCCGAGAAGGCTAATGAGATGACCTCTGCCAACAAGGATTCGAAAATCCCTCTCGACCGAGATTTGGATAGATAATCAGTCGACCTCGACACAGTGCTATTTATCCAAACTAAAGGTGCTCTGTGGATTGCTGATTATACGGCAACAGTGTTGTTTATCCAAACTGAAGGTGTCATCGGTTGCCTTCACAGTGCTGTTTATTCAAACTGAAGATGTGTTGGCGGAAAAATAAAAATCTCAAGGTTGTTGAGAGGTTTTACGTAGAGCGAGAGTTTGCGCAAGGCAGTTTGTGTGTTGAATTGGAGGGGGCTCCTGAATGTTGTCTGTGACACTGTATTTATAAAAGCAAATGTTATGTGGCGCGGCTTCACACTAGTGTAGGATTTTATTTCAATTCAAACTTGTCAGCTAGGGTCCCAGTCAAAGACTTCTCAAGGTAAGCAACAGCCTATCTTTTAGATGCCATCATTATCTCCTTATTTCAAGCAAATAATTAGCATGCAACAGCCTATCTGATGACCTCCACGGTGCTGGAACCAAGGCATGCAAATAATCAACATGCAAGTTTATCCCCTAGCCATGCATTCCCACAGGACTCGGCAATAAAGGGGGCATTGCCTCTAGTAATTCAAATGCAAGTTTAACTCTTAATCTTTCCACCAAATCTGTCCAGGTGCAATCATGCATTTTCAAATAACCGACTCGATCACATATTCCAACCCTCCATGTCTATGCATGTGTCGACTAGAGAATTGCAAATGAATTGCAATTCTTTTCATGACCATTGGTTATAATATAACCATTCTTCTTTAATATTATCCCATGCCGAGAAACCCATTTCCAAACAAACGCCAGGATATTGATCATATTTAGTCTATATCAATTGATATATTATTAAAAGATAATATCATGGTTAAAACCACAATATATCCTTCGATAATAATTATCTTAACTATTCTGCCATCCAACGGTTGAGAGCTATGTTCATCAATGGCCTTGATTGCACGAGCCGATAGTGTAAAATTGGGTCCAAACACATTCTTATGTAGTTATATCAATTGCTTATTAGTTAACACATGCAACTTTGAAGGTTAGGTTTTCCTAATGCATATATTACATATGGCATTCAAGTTAGAACGTATATTTAACATGCAATCGGCCTGTGGCATTTAGATCAAGTCTAAAAATATAAGACTCATTAAGCTTTGTGAAAACCTTTTCAAAAACCATACAATCCTTAAGACATGGGATTCGCCTTAAGTGAAATTACAATTATCAATTACAAGAAGCATTAATCAATTTCAGAGGGCATTCCAATAGAAATTGCATCCAATTACTTGTCTAAACATCCTAATGGTGCATTAAGACATATAAATGATTTAAACACAGTGTTCTATAATTCAAAGTATGCATGCATAACTTCATAAGCAATTAAAAAGAAACTACATATTTATGTTAAGGCTCGTAATTTTGCCCTAGCAAAAGAAAGTTAGTTACTCATATTCATGATTAAAATCCAAATAAAATATTATTAAGATTGAAAGATAGAAAAACACCCTTGTAGTCTGAAGTACAAATGCAAAAGTTGTAGCAAAATTCTCCAAGTGATGCGAAGAAAAGCCTAATGCACGGCTAAGTCTATTTCTATTACTACAATTAAATTCTTTCTAGAAAAGTTTTAAAATAAAACTAGTAAAATAAATAATTAGGATAACTTATGAAAATACATTCTTATTCAATGATGGAGAATTTGCCCAGTCATAGATGCTCCACATTTTCAAACCAAATCAGCTCCAAATCAAGCCCAAAAGGATGGGTTGGAAAAATTATAACGTCCCCAGAAACTTCTAAGGGACAAACTTCAGAAAACACTATCTTCATAATCAAGATGCTAAATTAAGCCTGTTGAGCAAAAATTGTACACAATATGTAAACAAATAATTCACTTGACACAATTTCACCCTTGTTCATTTTTCTGAAGAGGGTTATTAATTTGAGTTCAATCTGTTCTAGACCATGCGTCTAGTAATTACAATCCTTCGTTAAAAAGGAAAAACCATTTGATTCCAGTATGAATAAATTGTAACTTGGGGATTTGGGTGTTTATTTGATTTTGCGACTGCACCTCGGTCGAGCCCTAGATTGCCTACGTACCCTCTTGAGCGATCAAGTCACTTGTAGTTCGTTTGATTTGATTTGAGATTTTTAGTGAGTGAATGACCCACTAAAGAAAGGATTTGGTGTTTGGTTTATTTGGTTGAATGAACCAGGGATTCGGTTTTGTGTTTGAGCTTTGCGATTGCGTCTAGAATATGGTACTAGATTGCCTACGTATCCTTGGCGGAATCAAAACGGCATAGTTCACAAATTTGTTGAGATTTGATGCCTTATGCAATTTCAACTCATGCATGTGAGGAGCATTTGATGCCTTGTGTAGTTTCAACTCGTGCAGGCAAGGACTTTATGCCATTGGAGCATTTGATGCCTGTTTAGGCTCTTGCAAGCAAGTACTTTGAGTCATTTGGAGTTGAACGCGACTTCATGCTATTTGAGTCTTATCACAGCTTCGTGCCATTTGATATTTGATACGGCTTTGTGCCATTTGGGAATTGACGTGGCTTTGTTCCATTTGAGACTTGACATGGCTTTATGCCATTTAATATTTTTGTAGTTTTAATGGGAATTTGACCCATTGATTTAATGTGGGGTGAGTTTCACCAATTGTTGGACGTGGTGTGAGTTCTCCGTTTTGAGATGGTAAGACCATCGAACTTCGTGCTTTGATATGGCTTGTGTTCATGGTATTTGAAGTGATTTACGTCCTCCACAGATTTGATGTCGGCATCGTCTTCACACATGATGTGGCTCCATGTTTACTTGCACCATCTTCAGTAATTGATGCCCATGCTTATAAGGTCCACGTGAGTTGCATTCCACGTTTTAGAGGAGCTCATATTTTCCTCCCTTGCTGCAGCCTTCAGTGTATTTGAAACTCCACAAGTTTGACTTATGAATCAAACATAATGATGGCTAAAATTAATAACTTAGTCATAGTTATGATTGATATTTAAGTCACGTGAGTTGCCGAGGCAATAGGCTTTGGACGCTTATTTTGGTTTACATCCACTATTATCCACTTGCTCTCCATGTGGTGCTTTCGGTGCTCAGCAGAAGCAAAAAGGATAAAGAAAGGTTTTGCCTTTTGAATCAAAGAGAGAACAAGGCCTTTTTTATTTGGACTTCTCAATTTCAAACTTTCAATGCCACGTGAGTTCCTTAGGGTGATCATGATCAGGATTTGCCATCTTTTCACCATTTTCTGATAATATTTTGCCTCTTTTTCTAGGGAATCGCATGCATTGGCATCCAATTTGTTTTGCTCTTCATCACGTGCTATTTGCACTCGCACTTCCTTTCTTCATCGAACTAGCGAGAGCTCCAGAAACTTTCAAGAACATTGCAGCGACATGTCCTCGACCTTCGAAGCAGCAACACGGTTTAATATTTAGAGCAGTGTTCATTATATGAGGAAGGCAACACTGCTCTTTGCTACGAAGTCCATCGAAACAATATGAAAACAGAGAGTCATTTGTTGCAGTAGATTTTTTGGGAGCCTCCTCAACACATGAACAGTGATCGATGACCAAACTTGAAGTCTGGCCCTTTGCTTGCTTCCACCGAACAGGAGGAATTTTGTTTCTTCCTATCTTTCTCCACCAGTTTACGGCGGCAGGAGCTGGGTTGTGGTGGAGATGAAGGAGTGCAGGCAAATTCTTTCTCAGGACGGAGCATGGACGATGAAGAGCATCGATCACTCAGATTTGATTGGAACTTCACACGGTGGTTTAGACCACCCACAAGAATTTCATGGGGCTAACGGCAGCGACAAGGAGCGGAGAGCGTCTGGCTATAGAACTTCGTCTCGAGCTCCGTCGAGTGGTATGGACCACTTAAAAATTCATGGCAGCGACGGCTCTGCAAGGAGTAGCACGGACTGCACTTTTTCTTCTCGGCATGGACGAACTTGCTGGGCAGAGAGGTCACATCAGGCTGCTGTTGGTGGAGAGTCCAGATCCTCTCTTTCTTCGTTTTTCTTTTAAGCGTTGCTGTCTTCAAAACCTTTGCTGTGTCGATAAAATGCCCTGACTAGCAGATTTCGACCGTCCTGTTAGATCCCACATCGCCTATGTACATGCATTTTGAAAGCTCACTGGTTTTGGACTTCATCAGAACTCCAAAGTTAAGCGAGTTTGCACGAGAGCAATCTCAGGATAGGTGACCCATTGAGTTTCCAGAAACAAAACCGTGAGGATATGGTCGGAGCTCAAAGCAGACAATATCATGCTACGGCGGAATCGAGCCCGGAATGTGATGAAGCCTGGGTCAGGATGTGACAGTCCCCTTAAAGATCATTTGCCGGCACCTCCGTGTCTACATAGAAACATGCTATGCCGAAAAGACAGAGAACAAAAAATAAAAATATAAACAATAAATTTATACCTAATATTTTTGCTCCCTTTGTGGTATCTTTCTTGATTTGTTTTGCTTTGCCGTCCGTTCTTCTCTGCTCTCTTCTCTGTGTCCTGTTCTTTTGTTTTTTTCTCCCCATTTGCTTTTGTTCGATGCCTTTTTATAGGCAAACGGTGGACATGGCAGTTGAAGTTAGTGCAATGCTACTTTTCTAGGATGTGGAGATGCGGAGAGAAAACCATCACTTGAGTGGAGAACGTGGGAGTTTTGGAGAGTTCTGGAAACACACGACCTATTTGGTTGCCATGTAGATGACAAACTTCACCAGATTTATCACACATTGAGGTCCACATGTATATGGGTTGTAGAGTTTTTTTTTTCCTCTCTCTCTTTATTTCTTATATATATATATAGGGTTTAGGACTCTACTATGTTTTTGAAGTCTTCCCGTTTTTAATAAGGAAAATTAATGAAAAGAACATGAAAATTTTGAGTTTTAATGATAAAGACAAAATAAAGGGTAAAGTGAATAGTACTAGGATTGACTTTTTAGTGTAAAAATGTGGTTTTTCGTTAAAGTGAACAGTATCGTAGACTTTTCGTTAAAACTCCATTTTTAATAAGACTTGCTAATATATTTTGTTTGTGAAAATATATGGCTCAACATAGTCCAAAAGGTCAATTTGCTAGCATTGCGCACTAGACCTTAATTAATGAGGTGTGATATCCGCATATTTTTTTTTACTTTTCACACGTTCTTCTAATTTTTAGTCATCAGATCAGATGAATTGAAGAAGATCAAATGACAGAATTTAACAAAGGGATGTGAGAAGTAAATGTGTGGATAGCACCCTAATTAATTCATCATGGTCCAACAGCTTGGTTTAATATTCTAGAACTTTGGCACGAACAATTTAAAAGACTTGTGAACCCCGCTTTAACTAGAAATACTCTCAAACTCATTTTCATTGCTTTTTACTTACAGTGGATTCACATGTCATACAATTGAAATATAAACCAAATTCCCACAAAATAATAAATTAATGCTAAAAATAGGATAAAAATATAGATTAATATCCACTCATCACATATCATATCTTGTAAGTGGCAACTGCTTGAGATCTAAAAGAGGCACGCACACCTTCTCACAACGGAGTAGGATTCTCTCCCTCTTTTTTTTTCCCTCTCCTTCACTCTTCTTCTATTTGAACGGTCACGGTTAAGCCACGTCAATATCTTATATTAATTTTTTATAGAAAGAGAAAGACAAAATAAAGAATGTAAGAGGAGAGGATGAAAATGGATGGAAAAAGGAGGGAAGAGAATTCTAGTCCTCTCACGACAAGATTAGTCAGACTTCGCTTGGTGAGCTCTTCTAGGTTTGCGATGCAGTCGATGTTTTCGTTGAGATCATGTAACTCAGCCAAGTGCCAATATGAATGAAGGCAACAGCAGGGATTCTTTGGTCTTCAAGAAATGGACCTAGGTCTAAGAAGCATTCCGTCCCAGAATGTTTACACCGTTTAAACAGTCTTTGGTGCCAGATCTCTACAGGCTGCCCACGAAGTGATCCCGCAACCACTGTAATTGCTAGTGGAACCCCCTACATCGCTCGACTATCTGTTGCTGGCCATTAAATATCTAAAATGAAGTCAATTACCATTCGAAGGTGAAGATAAGAAAATGGATAAGCAACTAGTGTGCTTTTAGTTGTTATTGTTTTTAGATCGAGTTCATAATTGACATACAGAAGCATATCTGTTGAGTACATTTGCAGACTCAGAATTACCTCTCTTGCAAGACCTTCTGGAAAGCATATCCGTTGACAAAACTTTGTAGCCAAAGTGGTTTTCCCCAATCCTCCAGGAGAAATCAGCATCAACATCAACACCTTTTCATTGTTCAATAACATCATCTTCGACCCGGCAAATCAATCTCATATTCAATTTGGCTGACCTCCGTAGATATATTCCTTACTGCCTCCATATCTCTTATTTCTGGCGCTCTAAGTATAGCTAACAGTCTTTGTAGAGATTTGTCCAAATCCACAAGTTCCTTGGAGTGTATATACATTTTGTAGCCTTTCCAAGGACTAAGCTTGGTGCATTTCTGAACATCTTTAAATTAACAATTCTATATGTAAACCAAGTGGTTCTATGTATACCTTGTACCACACTCTTCTCTTCAACGGGTTCGAGCTCCGTCTCTGTATTGCTTATTGAAACCACGGCCTCCATGATTTCACCTGCTTCCTGCTGCACCTCCAGAGCAGTATCTAGCGGTCTTAAAAACGACCCATGGAGTTCAACAATTTGTTCACTTTAGGCCTTCCTATGTGCAAGGTCTCTGCTTCCTCAGGCACCTCCAAGTACACTTTTCGGGATGGTCTTCTAGCAGTAGCGGCCTCTGCTTCCAATCAGGCAAGCGCTTCGCCATTTTTCTTAATATGTCATTCTTCTTGATGCAATCATGCAAATAATTGCCGAAGCTACTATACCAGCAGCCGGAACTGAACTTGATGCTGATAGCAGCGGGGAAATAGTGTACGCAATTTAATTGGAGGTTAGTGGGAAAGAGTTTTTGCTGTTGGTGAAAAACCAGTAAAAAAAAGAGAGAATGTGCAATAGATTATTAGCAAAGAAAATCAGATAGGTAGATTGAAGGCTCTATGCTATATCATCCCGTATACTATCCTTGGAGGTTGGAGTCTGTCTGTCTGTCTGTGTCATATATTTTTCAAACCTAGTTGTATATTTTTACTGTGGATTAAATTTGATTTTAATTGTTAATCTGACAACCTTTGTACCTGGCATAGCCGCCAGTTTACATGCGGGGTTGAGAAGTAGGCCATATCTGCTACATCGATAGAGCAACCACAAATACGAAGGCTCTGATCGAGTAGCAGGCCATATCTGCTACATCGGTAGAGTGACCACAAATACAAAGGCTCTAATTGACAAAGCGATGGAGAGACCGCACCCATTAGCCAGTAGATAGATGGTTAAGAGATGTGAGAAGCATGTAGGGGATGAGAGGGAAGTGATGAAAAAAGGTAGGCACTAGAGGGTTTTTCCTGTCTGTCGTGGGAAGAAAAAAATTAAAATAAAAAATTCATCAAATCTTAATCAGTATATAGAGAAGAAAACCAGGGAAATCCAAGCCATTGGAATGATGCAATATCTCATACAAACACCAAATGAGAAAAAGGAAAAAATAAACTGGAATACAAATCACACAGACCATTTGCTCCAATACTTATCGTGGAAAGATAGCTCTCAAATCTGCAGTCTGTGGAGCCAATTCAGGTTGAATTCTTCTTTAGCCACTGTTATTTTGTCGGGATTTGATAACACAGATTCCCAAAAATTTCTTGCGTCTTCATCACATATCACTTTCTCTAACTGCTGACCAAGATCATACACTGACACAGGCAGCACAGTCAATCTTGAACATTGTGCCATGTTGATTTTTCTTAAACCATTCATCTTACCAATGCATTCGGGCAAATCCTTAATGCCGGAACAATTATATATGTCAAGAAAGCACAACTTATCGAGTTTCTCAATCGAGCCTGGAAGCTTTTCCAAGTCTGTGCAGGACCTTAGCCTCAACACTTCCAAATTCTCCAGCTTTCCGATGTCTTCAGGCAAGACAGATAGCTTATGACAGTTGGTGATGCTGAGAACTTTTAGGCGGATAAGATCACATAGCTTGGCGGGCAATTTCACCAAATCGTTACAATAGTCGATGTGCAACTCCTCTAGGTATGGGAATGTCTCAAAAATTTGGATGGAAGAGTTTCCAAATGCTTGACTGACGTTACACATGAATAAAGATATCTTCTTTAGACTCTTCGATGGAATGATTTTCTTGCTTATCAACGGGATCGAAATACGCTCTAATCTTAGTCTCTTTAGATTAGATAAAGAACACAGCAGTTCAAACTCACTTAGCTCAGCAAGTGAGAAGCCATAATTTGTGACCACTAGAACCTTCAACATGTGCATTGTCTTCATAAACTTGGGTAAGGCATAGCTCTTTGCTTGAAAATTCAAAACTAGAACCTCGCCTTTTGGTAGATCCATGTTGTGCCACTCTGTTGAAGACGATTCGCCTGCAAATAAGCAATGTGCTATATGATGTGACTGTGGGGAGAAATTAATGTGAAATTACGTTTGTGAGCTTGTATGTACGTGATTGTACATATGTATGTATCTATTTTATGAAGAAGGAGTTCAGAGATGCCAACCAGTTAAGACAGATACTAAGCGAGCCTTCTTTGTTTTCTGCTTCTTCTCTGTCCACCATGGTGGAAGCTTATCTTCACGTATGTCTACAATCAGTCTATATCCTATTGGGTCTTCATCATGACTCGCATGGATTGATAGCAATTTAAGCATATCATGTTGGATAACAAAATGTTCACCATAGTATCCATCCAAATCCCTAGTCCTGGTTGTGATCACAATTTAGTTTCACAGAAGAAATTTCTGAAACGTGCATATCACAGTAGTAAATTGATAAAAAAAGTAAAGTTTGAATACCTTGTGACTACAAGACTGACCAAATTGCGGAAGGTGAGCTCGTATAGGTTCACCATTGACATGTTATCATTTGATCCCTCATATAACTCTGCCCACATATCAAGAAGGGAAGCAACGGGAATTCTTTGGTCTTCAGGAAATAAAGCAAGGTCTATGAAACAATCCTTGACAGGAGCCATTTCTTTATTCAAGTCATCTAAGCAACTTTTGAGGAGTGCAAGCAAATTTTTCTCTGAATCAAGAATAGAAGAACCTTTAGATAATTCTGTGAGTTTGATTTTCCATTTCTCCATAGGCTGATTGCGAAGTGACGTCCCTACGGTTGTAATGGCAAGTGGAAATCTCTTACAGTGGTCTACTATCTGCAGTCCAATTGTCCCAAATAAGGTGAATAACTATTTACAGATATAGTAAAATCTACGGGTTCACTTGCGTGCATGGGTGATTTGTGTGGTAAGTGGCATTTTCTATAAGCAGGAATGCATAAATAAGGGCATATACATTAGAAACTCGAACTAATAAATCACCTGTTTCTGAAGATCATTTGGTATGTCACAGCTCGTATTTGGCAGGTTTGCTGAAAGACGAAAAAGAGTCAGTGCATCTTTATCTGTCAATGCTTGTAAATTATATGGAGGCCCGAATTTCGAAAAAGAGTCAGTGCATCTTTATCTTTAGTAGAGTTACAATTTCAAGAAAGATGAACAGCTGTGTTTGTTCTCATCCCTTGAATGTATTGTGTTGCTGGATCCATTCCCAAGTGAAAGGATCACAACTCCTGATGCTCTAGAGGACTGAGATTGATCCCTGAAAAATAGGACCACTCCAAGCCTTCTATATGCTAGGGTTTTGGATGTATGAATTACAATGAAAAAAAATTACTCTCTCACTTCTGCCTCTCTGCATTTCTTATTCTTCGAATCCCCAATTCTTGAAAGCTAAAACCTTCAAGAAATTAAACAAAAAGATCATGGCCTAGTACCATTTCAACAGTATATGGAGAAGAAACTCAGGGAAATCCAAGACGGTGGAATGATGCAATATCTCATACAAACACCAAATGAGAAACAGGGAAGAATAAACCATACAAATCACACACAGGACATTTGCTCCAATACTTATTGTGGAAAGAGAGCTCTCAATTCTGAGGTCTGTGGAGCCAATTCAGGTTGAATTCTTCTTTAGCCACCGTTATTTTGTCGAGATTTGATAAGACAGATTCCCCTAAATTTCTTGCGCCTTCGTCACATGTCACTTTCTCTAATTGCTGATCAAGATCATACACTGACACAGGCAGCTCATTCAATCTTGAACATTGTGCCATGTTGATTTTTCTTAAACCATTCATATTACCAATGCTTTCGGGCAAATCCTTAATGCGGGAACAATTATATATGTCAAGAAAGCACAACTTATTGAGTTTCTCAATCGAGCCCGGAAGCTTTTTCAAGTCTGTGCAGGACCTTAGCCTCAACACTTCCAAATTCTCCAGCTTTCCGATATCTTCAGGCAAGACAGATAGCTTATGACAGTTGGTGATGCTGAGAACTTTTAGGCGGATAAGATCACATAGCTTGGTAGGCAATTTCTCCAAATCGTTACAATAGTCGATGTGCAACTCCCTTGGTAGGCAATTTCTCCAAATCGTTACAATAGTCGATGTGCAACTCCTCTAGGTATGGGAATGTCTCAAAAATTTGGATGGAAGAGTTTCCAAATGCTTCTCTGACGTTACACATGAATAAAGATATCTTCTTTAGACTCTTCGATTGAATGCTCTTCTTTTTTTTTGATTGAATGCTCTCCTTGCTTATCAAAGGAATTGAAGTACTCTCTAGTCTTAGTCTCTTTAGATTAGATAAAGTACACAGCAGTTCAAAGTTGCTTAGCTAGCAGGTGAGAAGCCATCATTTGTGACTATTAGAACCTTTAACTTGCACATTTTCTTCATGAACTTGGGTAAGGCATAGTTCTTTGCTTGAAAATTCAAAACTAGAACCTCGCCTTTTGGTAGATCCATGTTGTGCCACTCTGTTGAAGATGATTCGCCTGAAAATAAACAATGTGCTATATGATGCGACTGTGGGGAGAAATTAAGGTGAAATTATGTTTGTGAGTTTGTAGTACATGATTGTATGTATGTATGTATGTATGTATGTATGTATGTATGTATCTATTTTCTAAAGAGAGTTCGGAGATGCCAACCAGTTGAGACAGATACCAAGCGAGCCTTATTCGTTTTCTGCTGCTTCTCCGTCCACCATGTTGGAAGCTCCTCTTCATGTATGTCTATAATCAGTCTATGTCCTATTGGGTCTTCACTACTCTCAAGGATTGATAGCAATTTAAGCATATCATGTTGGATGACAAAGTGTTCACCATAGTAGCCATCCATACCCTTATTCCTGGTGGTGATCAAAATTTAGTTTCACAGAAGAAGTTTCTGAAACGTGCAGATCACAATAGTGAATTAGTTATCAAAGTAAGGTTTGAATACCTTGTGATTACAATACTGGCCAAATTGCGGATGGTGAGCTCATAGAGGTTCACCATTGACATGTTATCATTTGCTCCCTCATATAACTCTGTCCACATATCAAGGAGGGCAGCAACGGGGATTCTTTGGTTTTTGGGAAATAAACCAAGGTCTTTGAAACAATCCTTGACAGTAGCCATTCCTTTATTCAAGTCATCTAAGCAACCTTTGAGGGCTACACGCAAACTTTCCTCTGACTCAAGAATAGAACCTTGAGATAATTCTGTGCATTTGAGTCTCCATTTCTCTATAGGCTGATTACAAAGCGACCCTCCTATCGTTGTAATGGCAAGTGGAAATTTCTTACAGTGGTTTACTATCTGCAGCCCAATTTTCCCAAATAAGGTGAATAACTATTTACAGATATGGTAAAATCTACGGGTTCACTTGTGTGCATGGGTGATTTGTGTAATAAGTTATATTTTTGATAAGCAAGATTGTATATATAAGCATGTATGTTAGAAATTCAAACTAATAAATCACCTCATTCAACTCTTGCTGAAAATCAGCTTCGTTGAAGCTCGTATTTGGCGGGAATGCTGAACGACGAAAAAGAGTCAGTGCATCGTCTTTACTCAATGCTTGTAATTCATATGGAGACCCGAATTTCGGAAAATGGCATCTTGATGTCACCAAAATCTTGGAATCTGAAATGTTGATTTGATTAAACTCGTGAAGAAGGGATTCTGATGTAGACGGAACATCATCCAAGATTAATAGGAAAGGATTTTGCCCAGCCGCAATTTCTTCATTTTCTAAAGCAGGTGACCTGAATCCGGCATGTTGGCAGAATTCTTGGACATCAATGCTGGGGTTTTCGGAAACCGCGGTAAAGAAGATATTGTCCTTGAATTTAGCTGGATAGGAAAACAACATTACTCATTAGAAGAAAAAAAGATGGAAAATAACTGATATCATTAGTACATAGGTAGTAGTTGTGATTAGATGTTCTTGCGGACAAACGATCGACCACACATTGACAATTGTAAGTGCGCATAATCAATTATATCATCGAGTATGCGCATCTAAAAAATGTTAGCCGCAACGCATAAAAACTTTATAGACATACCTTTGACTTGTTGATCATGACAAAGCATTTTTGCCATATAGGTTTTCCCACACCCTGGCGGAGCAGTGAGCACAAGCATTGATGGCGCGATCAATGGTCTCCGAGACTCTAGAGACTTTAGCATCGAACTGAGATTGTTGTGGAGTTCTGGAAACATCTTAGCCGTCTTATGCGCCTTTCTGGCGGCACCAAACAGGAATCCAGATGCTTTTTTTGCAGCAGGCACTATAATTGACGTAAAGACCGCCGCTTCCATAATTACAACGACAACAGCAATCACCCAGCTCTGAAATCTAAATTCTAAAACAAGAGGGCAATTCTTTGGATCACAGATTCATGAATGTATTTGAAACCAGGGAGAGACTGCTTTCTTTTTATACAAGCGCTAATTCGCCTTCAACTAATCTAAACTGCAGGGAGAGGGATTCGAGCTCGGGTTAATAGGCAAGGCTACTCTCTAGTGTTGAGTTGGTAGCCAAGAAGAAAACAACGTATCAAGAAAATCAAAACCAAACACAATGCAAAATGATTCAACTTGAAGAGAAGACAAGCAAGAATACATATATACATATACATATACATATATATATATATATATATTGCAAAACTTGGTTGGTGTATAAATTGGAAGGAATACGGATCATCTTTATGGGGATCCGGATGATCCATCAATCGTGTCTGTTTATCGTACATCGTGCGGTTAGAAATTATTTTACATTGAATATAAATAGTACTTAACAAAAACTAACCGTACGATGTACGATGAATGAACATCATTAATTGATTCCCAATTTCTACAAAGAGGATCCGAAAAGGATCCTGCCCCAATTTGGAAAGCCCATTGAAACAACCTAGTAGGGCCACATTGACGAGTTTATTACATCATATTGCCGACGTAAACAAGCAAAAGCATAAAAGAAAAAGAAGGAAACAAACAGCATCTAAAGCCAAATGATATGCAATTTCCAGGAAACTTGCACTGCGGACAAATCACCCACAAAACAATAGAAAGGCTTAGAAATCCCACATATTACATAAATTAATACATTTTTTTTCTCTCCATAAAGAATAGTTACAATAATTCTACAGTGCTGCGATGTTATTTACAAACACATAAACCATATATAGAAGTAAATTACGAAAGAAAAAAAATCAAACATGAGACTTTGCACCAACACTCATTGATGAAGGATCATGGCCTTAAGAGGAAACGTTCCTTGATGATAGCCTTTTCTTTATCCAAGGCATCTAAGCTGCTATGGAGGCAAGCAAGCAAATCCTTGTCAGAAACAAGACTAGATGAACCCTTGCACCATTCCACTACTCTTTTCTGCCAGATTTCTAATGGCTGACCGTGAAGTGATCTCCCGACCAATGCAATGGCAAGTGAGCATCCCTTAAAGCGCTTGATAATCCGCAATTTAATTATCCAAATTGAATTCAATTACTATTATTTGATTAATTGTTGAAAATCAACTAAATGGTTTCATGAAGATGAAAAAACTGTAAATTGTCTACCCTTTCAATCTTCTTACTTCGTTCTTCACAGTTCATTAATGTGTGTGGATGCTCAAACGTTATTTCTTTACCCTCTTCTGAGGCATAAATAAGCATATACATATGTGCATTGCCAACTAAGGAATCACCTTTCTCGAATGATCTTCGTAAGTACAAGAGCTCTTACCTTTGATCAGCCGGCACTTAGGGAAGGTTCACTTTTCTGAAGCTGCTCCAATGTATTTACCACGTCGTTCATGTTTGGCCTAGACTTGGGGTCGTCTGCTAAGCATTGAATTGCTAGTTTAACTACTTCGCGAGCATCACTAGAAGGGTACTGGCCTTCAAAACGAGCATAAAAAATTTTGAAAACTTTGCGTTTGCTGGCAAGGTAAGGCTTGTCCCATTTAACTAAATTTTGTTCTTTGGATGGCCGATTCTTGTCCACAACTGGTCTGCCAGACAACATTTCGAGCAGAACAACCCCAAAACTATTCACATCACTTTTGGCAGTTAAAAAACCTAAAAAAACAAAAGTACAGAAGAAAAAAAAAGGATCAGAAGGGAGTGATCATGCATTGTAGATCAAATCTAAGATAAAAATAATGCGTTGTGGTAGCTGCAACGCTGGTGAAGGTGAAGAGTGGTGGAGACGAAGCCTCTTAAAAGTATAATCTAAGTAGAACAATTTGTTCCCATACAATTTTAACCTACAACACTTATCTGTAATGCAAATAAAGGATGGAGAATGTCCTAATCCATGAAACAATCACCTTTTTATTCTAAAGATGACGGAAGCGTAGCTCTAGTTTTCAGCTGAAAATATTTTGGATGTTGTTTTAAGTGGTCAAATTGAACTGAACTGATTAATAATACATGAAGTTGATGGCGCAAACACAAAATATTGCAAGAAACAGAACATGGCCATTCAAAACGTGCTTTCCCCCTTTTCGGGGTAGTTTGCTTTTGTAAGTGAACTCAATACTGTAAACTAAAGTACCTGTGGCTATATACTCAGGAGCTGCATACCCGTTTGTTGAGACATGGGTTTTATCACCGGCTGGCCAACCCCTGGCCAGACCAAAATCTGTATGTTTAGCATTGTTCATCTGTTGTTTTTCAATTAAAATTTGATGTGTGAGCAAATCTACACTAACTCTTCCAGAAGAAGAAAAAAGAAAAAAAAAAAAAAAAAAAAGTTAAAAGGGTTTTTATCACGGTTGGTTCCCAAAAATTGGACATTTCAATCAAAATTGTCCCTGAAATAAAAAAATCAATCAATTTGGTCCCTAAAAATAGATCTCCCAAATCAATTTAGTCCTTCCGTTGTCTTTCTGTCAAATTTTCCATTAGTGTAGTGATGTGGCACCGAGTAGGTCATCCTATCTAATCATATGGCGCCATGTAAATAAACTATAAAAAACTACTTATTAAAACAGGGTTTTTTTCGTTGAACTAAAAGTGTTAAAAAAATAAAAATAAAAAGAACAACATTGTTGTCTTCATCTCTCACTCAGGTGGAGAATTGGAGATCTTTTTCAAGCAATTCCAATCAATTAGATTTTCCCAGCAACCAAACAACAGGTAACAAGCTTGGGATCTCAAATTCAACGGCTAGGAGATTGGGCTTCAGCTTCATCGAGAGAGAGGGAAAAAAAAAAAAAGCCTTGTCTCGTCGCTGTCGTGGTAGTTCACAATCTTCTCCTCATGTTGAATCTGCATCGACTTCATGTCCGGTCCAATCGGCTATTATGGCTTTCTCACTGCCGTCAATCTTGGCAACGGACGGCGGAGATGAATTGGGAGGCTGCGTGTGTCTCAATGAAGAAGACGATGTTTCTTTTTTCTTTTTTTTTTTTTTTTAATGTGTCTAAAAAAATTAAAGCTTTTGTGGAGCAAGGTGGGTTCAATTTAAAGAAATTTATGAAGCGACAGAGGAGGTGAATACATTTCTCATGAGTTTTTAGATTTTTGTTCTAACATAGGAATGGAGAGGCAATTAACTTTTGCCTACTCACCTCAGTAGAATGGAGTTGTTAAGAGAAGAAATATAACCATTGGAGAAATGGCAAGGTCAATGATGGATGAGAAGAACATTCTTATGAGATTTTGGGCGAAGCACTTGGGACTGCAATGTATTTGCAAAATAGATGTCTTCCAACTGCAGCGAAAGACAAAACCCCATTTGAAGCTTTCACATGTAGAAAACCTGGCATAAAGCATTTGAAAGTGTTTGGTTGCATATGTTACACATATATTCCATCACAACTAAGGCATAAATTTGATGAAAAGGCAAGCAACGGCATTTTCATGTGATATGACTGCTGTGAGAAAGGCTATAGAGTTTATGACTTTCAATCCAAGAAAATTATCCTCTTTAGAAGTGTGGTGTTCAATGAAGATCGGTCTTGGAATTGGGAATGCAGGCAAGTTGAAACACTCTCAATACCTTTTATCTTGGGAAATGATGTGTATGGTACTGATATGTAGGAAAATTCAAATTATGAAACTCAAGTTGAAACTACTTAGAGTCCCTAACGAATTTTAAGTTATGCCAGTTCATCCACTAGCATGAGTGAAACTCAAGGTGAAAATTCAAGAGTGAAACTCAAAGTCGAAATTCAACTCCTAGTTCAACACATGTGAAGATGAAAAGCTTGGATGAAATATATGCAAGATGTCACATGTGCGTTGTTGAACCAGAAAACTATTAAGAAGCAGCACATGATTAAGCTTGGCAAGAGGCTATGAATGCTGAGATTGAATGATTGAGAAAAATGACACATGGCAGCTAATAGATAGACCTGCAGATAAGGCTATCATAGAAGTTAAATGGGTGCTTAAAACCAAGTTGAATTTGGATGGAACTGTCTAAAGGCACAAGGCTAGACTTGTTGCAAAAGGTTATGCTCAAAAGCCTGGTAGTGACTATAATGAAGCCTTTACCCCAATGGCAAAGGTTGGACACAATTCGAACTCTCATTGCCCTTGCAGCACAAAAATGGTAGAAGCTATTTCGGTTAGATGTCAAATCAGCATTCCTAAATGGAGTGCTTAAAGAAGTGTACACTGAGCAACCTAAAGGCTTTGAATTAAAGAATGCTAACCATAAGATTTACAAGCTAAGGAAAGCATTATATGGTTTAAAATAGGCTCATAGAGCCTAATATAGTGAGATTGATACCCACTTGATTAATTGTAAGTTCAAGAGAAGCACTAGTGAGGTTACACTATATACAAGATCTGATGAAGAATGAGGATTGCTCATTGTGTCATTGTATATTGATGATATTGTATACACTGGAAGTAGTGAGAGATTACTCAGTGAGTTCAAAAGAGAAATGATGCTGAGATATGAGATGTCTGATTTGGGGCTGCTTCACCATTTCTTGGGAATGGGAATACTACAAATTGATAAGGGTGTATTCATTCATCAAAGTAAGTACGCAAAGTCACTCCTGGTGAAATTTGGTCTTGAAGACTGCAAGCTTGTGTCAATTCCATTACCTATAGGAGAAAAACTCAAGAATGTGGATGGAAGTGAGTTGGTAGATGAAAACAAGTATAGAAAGATTGTAGATAGCTTGTTGTATTTGACAGCAACTAGACCAAATTTGATGTATGCTGCTAGTCTACTATCAAGGTTTATGAAATGTCCTACAAAGAAGCATTTTGGAGTAGCAAAGAGAATCTTGAGATATGTGCAGGGTACAATAAATTATGGAATTGAATATGTGAAAGACAAGACAACAATTCTTGTTGGCTTCTATTATGCTGATTGGGTAAGAAGTGAAGTTGATAGCAAAAGCACCTATGGATATGCATTTAGCTTTGGGAGTGGAGTGTTTTCATGGGCGTCTGTGAAGCAAAACACAGTTGCTCTATCAATTGCTGAAGCTGATTATGTATCAGCAGTAGAAGCAACTGCTCAATCAATTTGGCTGAGATTTGTTCTTGATGATTTTGAGGAAATGCAAACTGATGCAACACCTTTATTTTGTGATAACATGTGTACAATTTCTATGGTGAAGAACCTTGTCTTCAACTAGAAAACTAGACACATAAATAGGAAGTTTCACTTCATTAGAGAAGCATTACAAGAAGGGGTGATTAATGTGAAGTTTCGCAGAAGTGAGTAACAACTCGCAAATATTTTTACTAAGGCACTGCCTAGAGAAATATTCAATTACTTGAGGCATAAGCTTGGAGTGAAGCCAGTGAGCAACTTAGGAGAGGCTGTTGAGAATTAAGCTTCTCATAGACTTGAAATCAACCTACAGATGACAAATCCTGCAGATGAACTTGAAGAAATCGAAGATGATGGAAGTTTCTATTTTTAATATTAGCCATTATGTTTAAATATCCAACGGCTAGTAGAGTTACAATTTCAAGAAAGATGAACAGCTGTGTTTGTTCTCATCCCTTGAATGTATTGTGTTGCTGGATCCATTCCCAAGTGAAAGGATCACAACTCCTGATGCTCTAGAGGACTGAGATTGATCCCTGAAAAATAGGACCACTCCAAGCCTTCTATATGCTAGGGTTTTGGATGTATGAATTACAATGAAAAAAAATTACTCTCTCACTTCTGCCTCTCTGCATTTCTTATTCTTCGAATCCCCAATTCTTGAAAGCTAAAACCTTCAAGAAATTAAACAAAAAGATCATGGCCTAGTACCATTTCAACAGTATATGGAGAAGAAACTCAGGGAAATCCAAGACAGTGGAATGATGCAATATCTCATACAAACACCAAATGAGAAACAGGGAAGAATAAACCATACAAATCACACACAGGACATTTGCTCCAATACTTATTGTGGAAAGAGAGCTCTCAATTCTGAGGTCTGTGGAGCCAATTCAGGTTGAATTCTTCTTTAGCCACCGTTATTTTGTCGAGATTTGATAAGACAGATTCCCATAAATTTCTTGCGCCTTCGTCACATGTCACTTTCTCTAATTGCTGATCAAGATCATACACTGACACAGGCAGCTCATTCAATCTTGAACATTGTGCCATGTTGATTTTTCTTAAACCATTCATCTTACCAATGCATTCGGGCAACTTCTTAATGCTGAAACAATTACATATGTCAAGAAAGTACAACTTACTGAGTTTCTCAATCGAGCCTGGAAGTTCTTCCAAGTCTGTGCAGGACCTTAGCCTCAACACTTCCAAATTCTCCAGCTTTCCGATGTCTTCAGGCAAGACAGATAGCTTATGACAGTTGGTGATGCTGAGAACTTTTAGGCGGATAAGATCACATAGCTTGGCAGGCAATTTCTCCAAATCGTTACAATAGTCGATGTGCAACTCCTCTAGGTATGGGAATGTCTCAAAAATTTGGATGGAAGAGTTTCCAAATGCTTCTCTGACGTTACACATGAATAAAGATATCTTCTTTAGACTATTCGATTGAATGCTCTTCTGTTTTTTTGATTGAATGCTCTCCTTGCTTATCAAAGGAATTGAAATACGCTCTAATCTTAGTCTCTTTAGATTAGATAAAGAACACAGCAGTTCAAAGTTGCTTAGCTCAGCAGGTGAGAAGCCATCATTTGTGACTATTAGAACCTTCAACTTGCACATTTTCTTCATGAACTTGGGTAAGGCATAGTTCTTTGCTTGAAAATTCAAAACTAGAACCTCGCCTTTTGGTAGATCCATGTTGTGCCACTCTGTTGAAGACGATTCGCCTGCAAATAAACAATGTGCTATATGATGACACTGTGGGGAGAAATTAATGTGAAATTATGTTTGTGAGCTTGTAGTACATGATTGTATGTATGTATGTACGTATCTATTTTCTAAAGAGAGTTCGGAGATGCCAACCAGTTGAGACAGATACCAAGCGAGCCTTATTCGTTTTCTGCTGCTTCTCCGTCCACCATGTTGGAAGCTCCCCTTCACGTATGTCTATAATCAGTCTATGTCCTATCGGATCATCACTACTCTCAAGGATTGATAGCAATTTAAGCATATCATGTTGGATAACAAAGTGTTCACCATAGTAGCCATCCATACCCTTATTCCTGGTGGTGATCCAAAATTTAGTTTCACAGAAGAAATTTCTGAAACGTGCAGATCACAATAGTGAATTAGTTATCAAAGTAAGGTTTGAATACCTTGTGATTACAATACTGGCCAAATTGCGGATGGTGAGCTCATAGAGGTTCACCATTGACATGTTATCATTTGCTCCCTCATATAACTCTGTCCACATATCAAGGAGGGCAGCAACGGGGATTCTTTGGTTTTTGGGAAATAAACCAAGGTCTTTGAAACAATCCTTGACAGTAGCCATTCCTTTATTCAAGTCATCTAAGCAACCTTGGAGGGCTACACGCAAACTTTCCTCTGACTCAAGAATAGAACCTTGATATAATTCTGTGCATTTGAGTCTCCATTTCTCTATAGGCTGATTACAAAGCGACCCTCCTATCGTTGTAATGGCAAGTGGAAATTTCTTACAGTGGTTTACTATCTGCAGCCCAATTTTCCCAAATAAGGTGAATAACTATTTACAGATATGGTAAAATCTACGGGTTCACTTGTGTGCATGGGTGATTTGTGTAATAAGTTATATTTTTGATAAGCAAGAATGTATATATAAGCATGTATGTTAGAAATTCAAACTAATAAATCACCTCATTCAACTCTTGCTGAAAATCAGCTTCGTTGAAGCTCGTATTTGGCGGGAATGCTGAACGACGAAAAAGAGTCAGTGCATCGTCTTTACTCAATGCTTGTAATTCATATGGAGACCCGAATTTCGGAAAATGGCATCTTGATGTCACCAAAATCTTGGAATCTGAAATGTTGATTTGATTAAACTCGTGAAGAAGGGATTCTGATGTAGACGGAACATCATCCAAGATTAATAGGAAAGGATTTTGCCCAGCCGCAATTTCTTCATTTTCTAAAGCAGGTGACCTGAATCCGGCATGTTGGCAGAATTCTTGGACATCAATGTTGGGGTTTTCGGAAACCGTGGTAAAGAAGATATTGTCCTTGAATTTAGCTGGCCAGGAAAACAGCATTACTAATTAGAAGAAAAAAAGATGGAAAATAACTGATATCATTAGTACATAGGTAGCAGTTGTGATTAGATGTTCTTGCGGACAAACTATCGACCACACATTGACAATTGTAAATGCGCATAATCAATTATATCATCGAGTATGCGCATCTAAAAAATGTTAGCCACAACGCATAAAAACTTTAGGTATCGTTTGGTATGCAGACAGGACGGGACAGAACGGAATGGGACGGGACGGGACGGGACAGGACGGAACGGAACGGAGTGGGAGTAAAGATGCCCTCGGATGGAAACAAGGAGGAAGAAGAAGGAGACGGAGAGGTTATAATTTTGTGTTCCACGGATGTGGAACGTGTTGTTCCAGGGGGGGTGAGGTGGAACGAAAATTCACTCAAAACTCGTCCCGTGGAACAGCTCGTTCCACCCGTTTTAGGCGCACCAAACGTGGGACGGAACGCCTTATCCCACTCTGTTCCGTGCCGTCCCACGTACCAAACGGTACCTTATAGACATACCTTTGACTTGTTGATCATGACAAAGCATTTTTGCCATATAGGTTTTCCCACACCCTGGCGGAGCAGTGAGCACAAGCATTGATGGCGCGTTGTCCGTAAGGAATTTCATCTTGATCTCAGCCAATTGTGCATCCAGCCGAAGCGTATCGGATGGAAGGTAAGGAACTGCATACCTAGTTGTAATAAGGTTTTGGATTTGATTTTGTGCCACAAGATTTGCAGAATTCAGCTGAGGCAAGAGTATTTGAAGAGATTTCTCCCATTCCATAATTTTATTCGCATATTTACGCTGTTCCCATATGTTCCACATCCCGTGGGAAACCTTGTTGCACCTTTCGACCAGCTTCTTGCCATCCTCCATTGTCCTTGTAAACGTTTCAGGAACCGAATTGGTTCCGGTTTGGTTTATCTGTGCGATCAATGGTCTCCGAGACTCTAGAGACTTTAGCATCGAACTGAGCTTGTTGTGGAGTTCTGGAAACATCTTAGCCGTCTTATGCGCCTTTCTGGCGGCACCAAACAGGAATCCAAATGCTTTTTTTGCAGCAGGCACTATAATTGACGTAATGACCGCCGCTTCCATAATTACAACGACAACAGCAATCACCCAGCTCTGAAATTTAAATTCTAAAACAAGAGGGCAATTCTTTGGATCACAGATTCATGAATGCATTTGAAACCAGGGAGAGACTGCTTTCTTTTTATACAAGCGCTAATTCGCCTTCAACTAATCTAAACTGCAGGGAGAGGGATTCGAGCTCGGGTTAATAGGCAAGGCTACTCTCAAGTGTTGAGTTGGTAGCCGAGAAGAAAACAACGTATCAAGAAAATCAAAACCAAACACAAAGCAAAATGATTCAACTTGAAGAGAAGATAAGCAAGAATAAAATCAAAACCAAACACAAAGCAAAATGATTCAACTTGAAGAGAAGATAAGCAAGAATACATACGTACATATATATATACATACATACATACATACATATATATATATATATTCATGGTCAACGAAAAAAGAAAATTTTATTTGCAAAACTTGGTTGGTGTATAAATTGGAAGGAATACGGATCATCTTTATGGGGATCCGGATGATCCATCAATTGTGTCTGTTTATCGTATATCGTGCGGTTAGAAATTATTTTAAATTGAATATAAATAGTACTTAACGAAAACTAACCGTACGATGTACAATGAATGAACATCATTAATTGATTTTCAATTTCTACAAAGAGGATCCGAAAAAGATCCTGCCCCAATTTGGAAAGCGCATTGAAACAACCTAGTAGGGCCACATTGACGAGTTTATTACATCATATTGCCGACGTAAACAAGCAAAAGCATAAAAGAAAAAGAAGGAAACAAACAGCATCTAAGGCCAAATGATATGCAATTTCCAGGAAACTTGCACTGCGGACAAATCACCCACAAAACAATAGAAAGGCTTAGAAATCCCACATATTACATAAATTAATACATTTTTTTTCTCTCCATAAAGAATAGTTATAATAATTCTACAGTGCTGCGATGTTATTTACAAACACATAAACCATAAATAGAAGTAAATTACGAAAGAAAAAAAATCAAACATGAGACTTTGCACCAACACTCATTGATGAAGGATCATGGCCTTAAGAGGAAACGTTCCTTGATGATAGCCTTTTCTTTATCCAAGGCATCTAAGCTGCTATGGAGGCAAGCAAGCAAATCCTTGTCAGAAACAAGACTAGATGAACCCTTGCACCATTCCACTACTCTTTTCTGCCAGATTTCTAATGGCTGACCGCAAAGAGATCTCCCGACCAATGCAATGGCAAGTGAGCATCCCTTACAGCGCTTGATAATCTGCAATTTAATTGTCCAAATTGAATTCAATTACTATTATTTGATTAATTGTTGAAAATCAACTAAATGGTTTCATGAAGATGAAAAAATTGTAAACTGTCTACCCTTTCAATCTTCTTACTTTGTTCTTCACAGTTCATTAATGTGTGTGGATGCTCAAACGTTATTTCTTTACCCTCTTCTGAGGCATAAATAAGCATATACATATGTGCATTGCCAACTAAGGAATCACCTTTCTCGAATAATCTTCGTAAGTACAAGAGCTCTTACCTTTGATCAGCCGGCACTTAGGGAAGGTTCACTTTTCTGAAGCTGCTCCAATGTTTTTACCACGTCGTTCATGTTTGGCCTAGACTTGGGGTCGTCTGCTAAGCATTGAATTGCTAGTTTAACTACTTCGCGAGCATCACTAGAAGGGTACTGGCCTTCAAAACGAGCATCAAAAATTTTGAAAACTTTGCTTTTGCTGGCAAGGTAAGGCTTGGCCCATTCAACTAAATTGTGTTCTTTGGATGGCCGATTCTTGTCCACAACTGGTCTGCCAGACAACATTTCGAGCAGAACAACCCCAAAACTATTCACATCACTTTTGGCAGTTAAAAAACCTAAAAAAACAAAAGTACAGAAGAAAAAAAAAGGATCAGAAGGGAGTGATCATGCATTGTAGATCAAATCTAAGATAAAAATAATGCATTGTGGTAGCTGCAACACTGGTGAAGGTGAAGAGTGGTGGAGACGAAGCCTCTTAGAAGTATAATCTAAGTAGAACAATTTGTTCCCATACAATTTTAACCTACAACACTTATCTGTAATGCAAATAAAGGATGGAGAATGTCCTAATCCATGAAACAATCACCTTTTTATTCTAAAGATGATGGAAGCGTAGCTCTAGTTTTCAGCTGAAAATATTTTGGATGTTGTTTTAAGTGGTCAAATTGAACTGAACTGATTAATAATACATGAAGTTGATGGCGCAAACACAAAATATTGCAAGAAACAGAACATGGCCATTCAAAACGTACACATGTTTTCCCCCTTTTCGGGGTAGTTTGCTTTTGTAAGTGAACTCAATACTGTAAACTAAAGTACTGTTCAACCCATGGCCAGTTTGTTGAGACATGGGTTTTATCACCGGCTGGCTAACCCATGGCCAGACCAAAATCTGTAAGTTTAGCATTGTTCATCTGTTGTTTTTCAATTAAAATTTGATGTGTGAGCAAATCTACACTAACTCTTCCAGAAGAAGAAAAAATAGTTAAAAGGGTTTTTATCACGGTTGGTTCCCAAAAATTGGACATTTCAATCAAAATTGTCTCTGAAATAAAAAAATCAATCAATTTGGTCCCTAAAAATATATCTCCCAAATCAATTTAGTCCTTCCGTTGTCTTTCCGTCAATTTTTTTTGTTAGTGTAGTGATATGGCACCGAGTAGGTCATCATATCTAATCATATGGCGCCATGTAAATAAACTATAAAAAAACTATTTATTAAAACAGGTTTTTTTTGTTGAACTAAAAGTGTTAAAAAAATAAAAATAAAAAGAACAATATTGTTGTCTTCATCTCTCACTCAGGTGGAGAATTGGAGATCTTTTTCAAGCAATTCCAATCAGTTAGATTTTCCCAGCAACCAAACAACAGGTAACAAACTTGGGATCTCAAATTCATCGGCTAGGAGATTGGGCTTCAGCTTCATCGAGAGAGAGAGGGAAAAAAAAAAGCCTTGTCTCGTCGCTGTCGTGGTAGTTCACAATCTTCTCCTCATGTTGAATCTGCATCGACTTCATGTCCGGTCCAATCGGCTATTATGGCTTTCTCACTGCCGTCAATCTTGGCAACGGACGGCGGAGATGAATTGGGAGGCTGCGTGTGTCTCAATGAAGAAGACGATGTTTCTTTTTTCTTTTTCCTTTTTTTTTTTTTAGTTTTAGTTTTTAATCTTTTAAAAAATTGGTTTTTATGATTGATTTACATGGCGCCATATGATTGGTTGTGTAAGACCCACACTAATAGAAACTTTGACATAAATACAACGAAACGATTAAATTGATTTGCAAAACCCATTTTCAAGGACTAAATTGAATTTTCTATTTCATAAATCATTTTGATTGAAAGGTATAATTTCAGAGACAACCGTGCTAAAAGTTTCACTTACCGAATCCAGCAGGATATCAGAAGTTTTGAAGTGACGAAACATCACTCTCCTCTCAGCACTGTGAAGAAATGCTAGACCCTTAGCAGCACCAAGGGCAATCCTCATACGAAGGTTCCACGGAAGTGGTTGAGAAGAAGAAGACTCTGTTCCACCAACAACATTTAGGTATCTAAATTATACTTTGTAGTGAAACAGTTGATCTCCTTAGCAACGGTAATGCTGATTTTAAAGATCAAATGGCTAAAGAGTGAAGGAAGTTCATAACTCACTGCTAATGTCTATCCAAGCTTCCGCAAGGTATATATTCATACACCAAAAGTCGGTAGGTCATCCTCTAAGCAGTAACCAATCAACCTCACAAGATTTTCGTGATGCAGCTGCCCATGGTAGCTGATTTCCGCCTATTGTTCAAGAGGCTCCACAAAATTAATAAATGATTCTCTAAAAATGTCACGTGTAAGACTATCTATTTGTAACAACTATTAAGGAGAAAAATGTAAGAATAATCTGACCTTTAAAGATCAAAGAAGGTGAAGTCATAGCTAACTTCAATTGTAAGCTTCTTCTCTCTTGCAAAAACAACATGCTCGACTCACAATAGGTCTAAGTCCAATTATGAGCCAGTTTTACTCTGAGAGCAGTGACCTCTGTTATATAGACATACAATCCGTATGATTCTCCAATTAGAATTCTTGTAGGAAACCAACATTGTCTCCCAATTTTAATATAAGCCAGTAATTTATGACCTATTCCTGGTCTCAATCCTTTATAAACTAGGACAACCAAACATCTTCTAATAAGACTCAAACCAATTTGAGCTCAAATATCTGGCCAAAGTACTCCTACATAATGTGCTCATATTCTAACAAAAGATTCATCGAGACTGTTTAATTATATCAGTCTTTCTAACTAAACTTGACAATTCATCCACAGGGGACTTTGAGCAAAAACAAATCAACAATGCATTAGGAAAGTGCATTTAGGCCATCAAATGATAGAAGTGATACTCACCAACAATTCTCTGTGATCCCCCCACAGATATTCTTGGTCAATCCTTTTCACAGCAACAACCATGCCAGTACCAGGCTTGGCAGTTGTTAGTGAATTCTCATCAACCCACCCCTTAAAGACAGAACCTAAATGTCCTTCACCCAAAATACAATCAGAATGGAAGTTCCGGGTGGCTGTTTTCAGTTCATCAAATCAGAATGCCTTCAGATTGGAGGACTGCACGATCTCACCCCCTGTCCGAAAAGTTGAAGGCACCAAGATAGTCAACAGTTTGCTACTTGGACGCAATCCTAGACACGACAAATCCATTATAAATTGTAAATAAAGCTCAAAATTCAGTTATATGACAAAATAAGTTCTAAAAAGAATCTATAACATCAAAATACCAGAATTACCATGGCTATGTTGGTTTGACTCCTATATCAAATCCAACTGTAAGAATGGAGGTTCATGTACTGCAGTACCTTCAATTTCACTTTGGTTCTGTACCACACCACTCCCTTCAATTTTCTCAGCAGCCTGCTTTTTTATCCCCGACAGAAAGCAATGACTCCTTCAAATCCCTTGTTCCCTGCACATTCAGCATATCTAATCCAACTGTAGGTGATAAAGATTCAGGTAATGCATTCCGACCTCTAGCTTGAATTTGATCTTGAAGCACACCACTTTCTTCAATTTGCTTGATCACAGCCTCTATATGTTGCACTGAAGCAAAGGTCTGCTTCACATCTCTTGCTACCAGCACTTTCAGTATATTTAACAGTATTTGAAGAGATTCGTCCAATCTGAGAAGCCTGTCGGTGTATTTATACTGTTTGCAGCAGGCCCACAAGTGATCCTTGGCGCACTTGTCTATGAGCTCTACACCATTCTCCATGTGTATTCTAAAATCTTCGAGTCGCTCCTCTGCACGATCTAATATCTTCTTATGTTTTGTTACCTCTTCAGTCAATGGTTTTAAAGATTCTAGGGTGGATATAAGATTTTCAAATAGTGGTTTAAACATCACAGTCTTGTCCTTTGCTCCTATAACAGCGTCAAACAAAGCCAAAAACACTGCTTCTAGAGAAGCTCCTCCATCAAAAGATGTCACTGCATAATTAAAACACCAACAAAATAAGAAAACTAGTAACTGTTTCAATCAAAAGTTCAGGATATGTGAAAAGAAAAAAAGTTTGCCAAACCAGAATATATCTTGTGTGTTTCTAGTTATTCTCTATTTGCAAGTTTAGTCTATCGTCGGGTACATCAACGAACAAGTTTCATAAGGGAGTCGAAAATCTTACATGCTACTATCAAAGAAGGGTCTTAAGCACTTGCTAGCCATGGGCGTCAATATTCAAGGAAAGCAAAATCAATATCTGATGATCGGGTTAATTACCATATGTCTGATCTAAAATTAGCTAAATATTAAGTAATGCTTATTGCTACAACAAACGCTATATTCCAAAAAAGGCAAAAGAAAATCGACAGCAAGCATGTCTATAAATTTAGTTCCAATCAACTCACCTTGTTCCCCACCATTCCCTTGAGTTTGCTCTGGCGGAGCGGTTTCTGTACTACTTCCGGAAACCAAATTCTCCAAGCCATTCCCTCCTTCCCCAGCTCTCTGCTGCAGTAATTTCTGTATATCCAACAGTCTTCTGTTCACTTCATCCAATTTATCTCGGTTTTGCCTCGACAACAATAAAACCTCTTTCACATCCCTTGCTTCCTGCATCTTCAATTTTTGCAGCAATCTTTTGAGAGCCCTATCCAACTCAACAATTTGGTCAGTATAATCATACAAACAGCAATAGTTCCACATTCGAAAATTCGATAACTTTACAACCAGCTTTACGCCTTCCTCCATCTGCAATTTAAGACTTTCGATTTCGTCGTTGGGGAGACCCAATTCCACATTATGTTCTTCAATTTGTTGGATGTCTCTGGGTACTAGGGAGTCTAGTGTAGATTTGAGGTCTCCCAGAAGGGATTTAAAGGTGCTGCTCTTGCTCATCGCTTGCTTAACGCCGTCGTAGAGCAGCGTAAACAGTGTTCCGCCAATAAATTCTAGTGCCATAGTTACCAAAGCACTCCCAATACAGCAAAATTAGAAATATTTGTGTTTGATTGCAACCTAAAATTTGGCCAATCTTATTCAATACGGTGGCGAATTGGATGGCTCCGCTTGCTAATGAGGAGGAGGCGCCATGAACGGTGGAAGAGACGAGACCCCCATCCTCCTCACTTAACCTCTTGGTCCCTGGAGGCTGCCAGCAGAGGTCAACGGACGCAGCTGGAGCTGAAGAGCCAAGTAAATTGACCTCTCTTTTGGTATTTGTTGAATTTCTTACGCGTCTTTTTGTTTGGTTTTTCTGTTGGGCCTCTGCCCTCTTTCAGATTTTTATGAGGGACCATTGTTTGATATATATATATATATATATTTTTTTTTATTTATTTATTTATTTTTTTTTTTTTTTTTTTCCGTGTTGTGTGTGGCTATCCTATCTTTCGTCAACACAAAAAACGTTCACTGGGTCTAAATGATAAGACAGGAAGGTTCACAATGATTTATATATATATATATATATATATATATATATTTTTTTTTTTTTTTATCCGTGTTGTGTGTGGCTATCCTATCTTTCGTCAACACAAAAAACGTTCAGTAGGTCTAAATCATAAGACAGGAAGGTTCACAATGATTTAGAGAGAGGATTTTTAGACTCAATATGCATGGGTAAAAACATTAGATCACATGCATGGAGGCATTTTTTTGGACCACAAACATTCCAACGAAGGAATTTGGAAATGTAAAATATATATCACCAAACGCGAATTTTGTGTCTTCATGGCATATTGATAAGATTTTTACCACATGTGAAAAGAGTTTAAAACACCTATAAAATACTTGTAAGAGAATAAGATAATTGTAATATACACTGCTCAAGCAAGGTCGATCTCTACAATGATTGATATGAATAACTTGTATATAAAACCAATTCAACACAATATTTAGAAAAGATTTGAAATTGTGAAATAAAACAAAGATTCTTTGACAAAAAAAAAGAACCAAGATTGCAAGAAAATAAAATTAACTAAACTGACAGAATTAAAATTGCCAATAAGAAAAACAAAGGTTTTAAAGAAATTGTGATTAACATTCTTATGTAGTTATGTCAATTCCTAATTAGTTAACACATTTAATTTTGAAGGTTAGGTTTTTCTAATGCATATACTACTTATGACATTCAAGCCAGAACGTATATCTAACATACAATCGGTCTGTGGTATTTAGATCAAGTCTAAAAATATAAGGCTCATTAAGCTTTGTGAAGACTTTATGAAAAACTATGCAATTCTTAAGACATGGCATTCGCCTTAAGTGAAATTACAATTATCAATTACAAAAAGCATTAATTAATTTCAAAAGGCATTCCAACAGAAATTGCATCCAATTACTTGTCTAAACATTCTAATGGTAGCTAAGCATTAAGACATATAGATGGTTTAAAAATTAAACACAGTGTGCTATAATTCAAAGTATGCATGCATAACTTCTTGAGAAATAAAAAAGAAACTACATATTCGTGCTAAGACTAGTAGTTTTGCCCTAGCAAAAAAGAAAGTTAGTTACACATATTCATGATTGAAATCCTAATAAATATCATTAAGATTGAAAGATAGAAAAACACCCTTCTAGTCTGAAGTACAAATGCAAAAGTTGTAGCAAAAAATTCTCCAAGTGATGCGTAGAAAAGCCTAACGCATGGCTAAGCCTATTTATATTACTACAATTAAATCATTCTAGAAAAGTTTACATTAAAACTAGGAAACTAAATAATTAGGATAACTTAGGAAATACATTCTTCTTCAATAATGGAGAATATACCCACTCAAAGATGCTCTACATTTTCGGACCAAATCAACTCCAAATTAAGCCCTAAAGGATGGGTTGGAAAAATTTTAGTGTCTCCATAAACTTTCAAAGAACCAACTTCAGAAAACGCTATCTTCATAATCAAAAAGCTATATTAAGCCAAAAAAGTCAATCCGCCAGCATTGCACATGAGACTTTAATTAATGGAGTGTGATATCCACACATTCTTTTTTACTTCTCATATATCTTTCTAATTTTCGTTGAGATCATGTATCTCTGCCAACATATCAATGAGGGCAGCAGCAGGGATTCTTTGGTCTTCAAGAAATGGACCTAGGTCTAAGAAGCATTCTGTCTCAATGTTTACACCATTTAAACAGTCTTTGGTACCAGATCTCTGTAATTGCTAGAGGAGCCCCCTACTTCACTCCACTATCTGTTGCTGCTCATTAAATATCTAAAATAAGTCAATTACCATTTGAAGGTGAAGATAAGAAAATGGATAAGCAACTAATCTGCTTTTGGTTGTTATTGTTTTAGATCGAGTTCATAATTGACATACAGAAGCATATCTGTCGAGTACATTTGCAGACTCAGAATTACCTCTCTTGCAAGACCTTCTGGAAACCTACTATCTCCCAGAAAAAGGCGGAACAATTCCACTGCACTACTATCTGTCAAATATTTATAATGGAAGGAATATGGACAGTCTTGCGTTGGATAGTAGGTACCTGGGAACCCTTGCGTTGATGTAGTTCTTGTACAATACGTTCCAAGTTGGGTGTTTTTTCGAAACAATGACAAAGTAGATATTGTTCTTGAAAAGACCTATCCAAATACAAGTAAGCTATCACCGAGCGGGCATTTAAGTACGCAGATATATGATTACGCAAACATAAAACATACAAGATGGTGATGTTGAGGTCTTACAAATGAATCATTCCTTGAACATTCTTCAGAGTCTTTGTACTGGGAAGGTTGTTCACACAATTTTTCCACAAGAAGACTAACTATCAAGTTATAGTAGGCTTGAATCTATCAAGTTATAGCTAGTCTAGTGGTGGATAAGGTTTGGGCATAGTTAACAGTAACTCTCATAAGAACGACAATGATATTCTTAAGATTAGTCTGGTTGTAAAACAGACATTCCTTGACGCGCTGCAGCAGAAAGAACGTCTATATATACCATAATAAGAAGTTAACTTTCAGACTAAAGCACTACAGAAGTTTGCGATTCAGAAGTAGGACTAACAAGAATAAAAAGATAAAATGATGATACATGTGTGATCGCACGCACACAACATACCTTTGATTTCTTGATCTTGTCAAAACTCTGTTGCCAAAGCAGTTTTCCCCAATCCTCCAGGAGAAATCAGCATCAACATCAACACCTTTTCATTGTTCAATAACATCATCTTCAACTCCTTCAAAGGCAAATCCAACCAAAATAAAACGGTGGAACGTGAGGTACTGCATGCCAATTTGGAGTGTCTACACTTTTTGTAGCCTTTCCAAGGACTGAGCTTGGTGCATTTCTGAACAAGCGCCGCCCCATTCTTCCTTTGATTTTCAAAATGTTGTAGTTCCTCTTTTGGACGATCCAACACCTTCTTGTACTTTTCTATCTCTTCAATCAGTGGTTCTAAAGAGTCGAGCGTGGATTTTATGTCTTCAAGCAGAGGTTTAAAGAGCGTGGTCTTTTCCTTCACATTCATAAGGACATCAAACAACACTTTGAATGCTGCTCCAAGAGTATGCCCTGCGATTAACGAGGTCTCTGTCGTAATTACACCACCACCACCATACATTGTCAATTGATTATATTGGTATCTACCATACATCTTTAAATTAACAATTCTACATGTAAACCAATTAGTTCTATGTATACCTTGTACCACACTCTTCTCTTCAACTGGTTTGAGTTCCGTCTCTGTATTGCTTATTGAAACCACGGCCTCCATGATTTCACTTGCTTCCTGCTGCACCTCCAGAGCAGTATCTAGCGGTCTTAAAAACGACCCCTGTAGTTCAACAATTTGTTCACTTTAGGCCTTCCTATGTGCAAGGTCTCTGCTTCCTCAGGCACCTCCAAGTACACTTTTCAGGATGGTCTTCTAGCAGTAGCAGCCCCTGCTTCCAATCAGGCAAGTGCTTCGCCATTTTGCTTAATATGTCATTCTTCTTGATGCAATCATGCAAATAATTGCCGAGGCTACTGTACCAGCAGCCGGAACTGAACTTGATGCTGATAGCAGCGGGGAAATAGTGTACCCAATCTAATTGGAGGTTAGTGGGAAAGAGTTTTTGCTGTTGGTGAAAAACCAGTAAAAAAAAAAGAGAGAATGTGCAATAGATTATTAGCAAAGAAAATCAGATAGGTAGATTGAAGGCTCTATGCTATATCATCCCGTATACTATCCTTGGAGGTTGGAGTCTGTCTGTCTGTCTCTGTCATATATTTTTCAAACCTAGTTGTATATTTTTACTGTGGATTAAATTTGATTTTAATTGTTAATCTGACAACCTTTGTACCTGACATAGCCACCAGTTTACATACGGGGTTGAGTAGTAGGCCATATCTGCTACATCGATAGAGCAACCACAAATACGAAGGCTCTGATCGAGTAGCAGGCCATATCTGCTACATCGGTAGAGTGATCACAAATACAAAGGCTCTAATCGACAAAGCGATAGAGAGACCACACCCATTAGCCAGTAGATAGATGGTTAAGAGATGTGAGAAGCATGTAGGGGATGAGAGGGAAGTGATGAAAAAAGGTAGGCAATAGAGGGTTTTTCCTGTCTGTCCTGGGAAGAAAAAAATTAAAATAAAAAATTCATCAAATCTTAATCAGTATATAGAGAAGAAAACCAGGGAAATCCAAGCCAGTGGAATGATGCAATATCTCATACAAACACCAAATGAGAAAAAGGAAAAAATAAACTGGAATACAAATCACACAGGCCATTTGCTCCAATACTTATCGTGGAAAGATTGCTCTCAAATCTGCAGTCTGTGGAGCCAATTCAGGTTGAATTCTTCTTTAGCCACCGTTATTTTGTCGGGATTTGATAAGACAGATTCCCAAAAATTTCTTGCGTCTTCATCACATATCACTTTCTCTAACTGCTGATCAAGATCATACACTGACACAGGCAGCACATTCAATATTGAACATTGTGCCATGTTGATTTTTCTTAAACCATTCATCTTACCAATGCATTCGGGCAAATCCTTAATGCCGGAACAATTATATATGTCAAGAAAGCACAACTTATTGAGTTTCTCAATCGAGCCTGGAAGCTTTTCCAAGTCTGTGCAGGACCTTAGCCTCAACACTTCAAATTCTCCAGCTTTCCGATGTCTTCAGGCAAGACAGATAGCTTATGACAGTTAGTGATGCTGAGAACTTTTAGGCGGATAAGATCACATAGCTTGGCAGGCAATTTCACCAAATCGTTACAATAGTCGATGTGCAACTCCTCTAGGTATGGGAATGTCTCAAAAATTTGGATGGAAGAGTTTCCAAATGCTTGACTGACGTTACACATGAATAAAGATATCTTCTTTAGACTCTTCGATGGAATGATTTTCTTGCTTATCAACGGGATCGAAATACGCTCTAATCTTAGTCTCCTTAGATTAGATAAAGAACACAGCAGTTCAAACTCACTTAGCTCAGCAAGTGAGAAGCCATAATTTGTGACCACTAGAACCTTCAACATGTGCATTGTCTTCATAAACTTGGGTAAGGCATAGCTCTTTGCTTGAAAATTCAAAACTAGAACCTCGCCTTTTGGTAGATTCATGTTGTGCCACTCTGTTGAAGACGATTCGCCTGCAAATAAACAATGTGCTATATGATGTGACTGTGGGGAGAAATTAATGTGAAATTACGTTTGTGAGCTTGTATGTACGTGATTGTACATTGTATGTATCTATTTTATGAAGAAAGAGTTCAGAGATGCCAACCAGTTAAGACAGATACTAAGCGAGCCTTCTTTGTTTTCTGCTTCTTCTCTGTCCACCATGGTGGAAGCTTACCTTCACGTATGTCTACAATCAGTCTATATCCTATTGGGTCTTCATCATGACTCGCATGGATTGATAGCAATTTAAGCATATCATGTTGGATAACAAAATGTTCACCATAGTATCCATCCAAATCCCTAGTCCTGGTTGTGATCACAATTTAGTTTCACAGAAGAAATTTCTGAAACGTGCATATCACAGTAGTAAATTGGTAAAAAGAAAGTAAAGTTTGAATACCTTGTGACTACAAGACTGACCAAATTGCGGAAGGTGAGCTCGTATAGGTTCACCATTGACATGTTATCATTTGATCCCTCATATAACTCTGCCCACATATCAAGAAGGGAAGCAACGGGAATTCTTTGGTCTTCAGGAAATAAAGCAAGGTCTATGAAACAATCCTTGACAGGAGCCATTTCTTTATTCAAGTCATCTAAGCAACTTTTGAGGAGTGCAAGCAAATTTTTCTCTGAATCAAGAATAGAAGAACCTTTAGATAATTCTGTGAGTTTGATTTTCCATTTCTCCATAGGCTGATTGCGAAGTGACGTCCCTACGGTTGTAATGGCAAGTGGAAATCTCTTACAGTGGTCTACTATCTGCAGTCCAATTGTCCCAAATAAGGTGAATAACTATTTACAGATATAGTAAAATCTACGGGTTCACTTGCGTGCATGGGTGATTTGTGTGGTAAGTGGCATTTTCTATAAGCAGGAATGCATAAATAAGGGCATATACATTAGAAACTCGAACTAATAAATCACCTGTTTCTGAAGATCATTTGGTATGTCACAGCTCGTATTTGGCAGGTTTGCTGAAAGACGAAAAAGAGTCAGTGCATCTTTATCTGTCAATGCTTGTAAATTATATGGAGGCCCGAATTTCGGAAAATGGTATCTTGATGTCACCAAAATCTTGTAATATGGAATTTTAATTTCATCAAACTTGTCAAGAAGGGATTCTGATGCAGACGGAACATCATCCAAGATTAACAGTAAGGGATTTTGCCCTGCTTCCCTCAAAAATCGCGGCAGCCAGCTAAAAGCAATTTCTTCATTTTCTAAAGCAGGTACGCTGAATCCGGCATGTTGACACAGTTCTTGGACAACAAGGTAGCTGGGCTTATTGGAAACCGTGGCAAAGAAGATATTGTCCTTGAATGTATCTAGCCAAGAAAACACATAGGAATGTAACATTACTAATTAGAAGAAAAAAGAGAGAAAAGAAGTGATTAACTGTCCTTGCGGACAAACTATCGACCACACATTGACACTTGTAAGTCCGCAATACCAATTGTATCAACAATATCGAGTGTGCACATCTAAAAAATGTTTGCCGCATCGTGCATTAACTTTATAGATAGATACCTTTGACTTGCGGATCATGACAGAACATATTTGCCAAAGTGGTTTTCCCACATCCTCCCGGAGCAGTGAGCACAAGCATTGACAGCGCGTGGTCTCGAAGGAGTTTCATCTTCAAGTCCGCCAAAGGCTCATCCAGTTTTAGTGTATTGCTTGGAAGGTCAGGAACTGCACACCAAGTTGTAATAAGGTTTTGGTTTTGATTTTGAGCCACAAGATGTGCCTCAATTCGGTTGACCACCACCGCGTTATTAACTCCTAACTGGAAAGTCAGCAGACGCAAGAGTCTTTGAAGAGATTTGTCCAATTCAACAATCTTTCTAGCATATTTATCCTTTTTAATCCAGTTCAGCTTCCCCTCGCAGCTTTTGACCAGCTTCTTGCCATCCTCCATTCTTCTTGTAAAATTTTCAGAAACCGAATGGTTCCGGTGTGGTTTATCTGTGCGATCAGTGGTACCAAAGACTCTAGCGTTGAACTGAGATCGCTGTGGAGAGTTGGAAACATCTTAGCCATCTTGTGCGCTTTTTTGGCGGCATCAAACAGCTGTTCAAATGGTACTTTTACAATAGATCCTACAACTGACGCAAGGGCCGCTTCCATAATCACAACAGCAACAACCACCCCCCAGCTCTGAAAATCTGAATTCTGAAACAAGGGAGAGGCTGCTTTCTTTTAAACTAATCTAGACTGAGGAGAGAGAGGGATTTGGGCTGGGCTGAATAGGCAGAGACACCTCTCAAGTTTTAAGATAAGTTTGGAAGCCAAGAAGCAGCGGGCGCCGCCGGGATTAATCGGGAGAGAAAACGGGAAAGGAATTAGGCGGACGACTGGGACTGGGCGGTTTAGGCGGGCGTTGGGCGGTAAGTGAAACTCGGACTTCCTCTCAACTCAGTTCCTCTCTCGGCGACAGAAAGAATTGACAACAAATCGAAGAGCTTGATGATTAATCGAAGAGCCCATCTAAAACTACGAGTTTGGAAGAAAGAAATTCAATACAGAGGAGATGCGGTGGGTCGCGGCGCTCTTGCTCGCCAAATCGATCTGAACCCTTTCTCCGAAACTCCAAGCTGGACAAGCAAGAATGCATACATACGTATATATGTATATTCATGGTCAATGAGAAAAGAATATTTTATTTGCGAAACTTGGTTGGTGCGTAAGAGTAAATTGGTGTATATTCATAGTCAATGAGAAAATAATACTTTTAACTCAATTGAAGCGATGATCCCTTAATTAAAAATTTATTACCATTGATCGCTCAAACAATAGAAAGGCTCAAAAATCTTAGAATATCTTGGTTGGTGCATAATTTGGAAAGTCCATTGAAACAACCAAGTAGGGCCGCATTGACGAATTTATTACGTCATATTGCTGATGTAAACAAGCGAAAGCATCAAAGAAAAAGAAGGAAACAAACAACTAAAGCCAAATGATTTACAATTTCCAGGAAACTTGCATTGCGGAAAAATTACCCATAAAACAATAGAAAGGCTCAGAAATCCCAGAATATGTTGGTTGGTGCATAATTTGGAAAGCCCATTGAAACAACCCAGTAGGGCCGCATTGACGAATTTATTACGTCATATTGACGATGTAAACAAGCGAAAGCATCAAAGAAAAAGAAGGAAACAAACAGCAACTAAAGCCAAATGATTTGCAATTTCCAGGACACTTGCATTGCGAAAAAATCACCTACAAAACAATAGAAAGGCTCAGAAATCCCACATATTACATAAATTAATACACTTTTTTCTTCATAAAAAATAATGATTTTCAACTCTTATTTTCTTTCCATGCACTTATCTCTGTTTCTCTAGCCGTTCGATTGATAAATCAAAGGAGAATCAATGAAGAGTTGAACAGTGAGAAGTGCAGAAGAGAACAGGGGGTGCGAAAGTCACTACCCAGTGTGAATAGTTACAATAATTCTACAATGCTACAATGTTATTTACAAACACATAAACCATAAATAGAAGTAAACTGGAAAATATGTCCGCGTGTTACTGCGGGACTTAAATGCATCAGTCTTAACTACATGAACAAGACACATTTAACCTAAAAAAAAAAAAAAAAATTCAACATAATCATGAACAAACAAAAAAGATAGATCTAGGAAATTATAAAAAGCATTGTAACCATAGATCCAGGAAATTATAGAAATCCATCCAGTCAAGAGCCAATATAATAGTTGTGGGAAGGTGAGCATGCAACTAAGAATCTAAGATATACTTAATTTGCAATTCCATTATAATTTCACACAAAAAAAAAGACCAAATTTTGATTGAAACATCAAACAAAACAATCTCATTTGTTACAGATTGGACCAACTAAATAAAGAATCTATCAATATGATTTTCAACCTAACTATAAAAAAGAGCTTTATACACAATCAACATTATTTGAACTCAACTAAAAAGAAACTGATTGCATGTTATAAATTCCACGGGTAATTTTCGAAGAATATTGAAAATTACTAAACCCCATCACAACGAACTCATACCCATACTTCCGTTCCCTTCAACCCTTTCAGAAAATCCTCCCATCTCTCTCACCCTTGTCCCATCTCTCTGTCTCTGCAAATCGCAGAAAACAAACCCTAAACCAAATCCCTGAAATCCCTCTTTTAAATCCTCCCACATCTCTCTTGGACACCCCCTATCTCTGACTCTGCAAACCCTAAATCAAATCTCCTTATCCTATCTTGGACCCCCCATCTCTCTGCCAATCGCACAAACAAAAACCCAAACCTAATCATTCAAATCCCACCAAAACCTAATCCTTGAAACCCCACCCAAACCTAATCCCTGAAACCGCTTGTCTCAAACACCCAACACCTTTCTCCCTCTCAGATATCCGTAAACGAAGTGCCTCGTAGCATTGAATCGACCTGCAACACCCTCGGGCGAGATCGAAAGCGGCAGAATAAGATATTTGTCAGAGAGCTGCGAAACAGAAAAGTAAAAACGATAGGTAAAGCAAACAACGCAGTCAAAAGAGAGAATCGAGCGATGATCGGTTTTACTTTTCATATTTCCATTTATAATGTACCAGCAAGGAAACGATAGTATATTTTACAGAGAAATATAAATATTGTTTTCAACGAATTAATATGATTGCAAATGTAATAGCTACATACAATGAGGTAGGAGAAATGATGGAAGACGCACTGAAATTTGAGGTCCATAGGTTGAGAAGAGTCCATAGCATTGATCCATATATGGAAATCTTGCACAGACCTACAGTTCAAGCTCCGAACAAAGTATCAATTTATTAGCAATTGTGACATTCATTATTCCTAAAAAAAGTTATTGATTCACAAATAAACAAATGAAAGTAATCGGAAAAGTAACGCTTACCACATGCTGGCTAAATCCGAACTCAAAATGACCACGATATTTTCCTGGCGATGATTACAGAGAGATTGCTGCCTGGGACTTCTGTCCATCCCCTGAAAACAATGTCATGAACTTATTTATTGGATAAATGTTTGTGTACCCAAGAACTACACTGAAACAACCACAAAGATTCAAACTTCCACGGTAAAAATGATCTGCAACTAATTAAAAAAAAATCAACTGGAAATCACATATAAACCCAAATGAAATCTGAACCCCCCAAGCAAAACTAAAAAACACCCTAAATAGACAATCAAACAGAACCAAATGGGGGTTCAGATAAATTTTTTTGTTATTGTTTCTCTCCTTCATGCAAACTTACATCAGTAAAGGAAGCCAGAGATTTTAACCTTTTACCTTTTACCTTGGGTCTGAGATCCTCAAGTCGTGCACTCTCCAAACATTTCTAGAAAGCAAAAAGCACTGTTTCCTAGAAAAGCACCAATATTCAAACATTTGCACAACTAATGGTCCACTAATTGAGTTCCCAACCTCTAAGGATGCTAACTTCATCATATAGCACTACAGTTAAGCACATTTCTTTCCGAAATTAAATTAAGAACAAATTCAACATTCACATGCCACAACAATTACACTGTTCCATGAAGTAATCTTACTATCACAGCCAAATTGACACAAAACATGTAACAGTCCTTTTGAAAACAGAACTCAACCCATTAATCATATACTCATTTAGCACTCTATATACAGATCACAGAGTTTCAATAATTTTCCGAAAACAACAAACCCAACAAACATGAAAAAAAAAAAAAAGGAAAAAAGGGAAAAAATAACTAAGTTCCCAATAGTATAATCCATCGGAAACATACAAACTTGCACATGTTTAAGGACCATGAGAAAGAAGCAAGGTAGTTAAGCATATCAATATTTGCATAAGATGAACCAACATTTGAAAAGTATAAGCAGATGGACCAACACAGAGAGAAAACACCTAAATTTACAGCAACATGAAAGCTTAATGGGAATTACACATTTCCATTGGACCTAAGGATCATACACCCAACACCAAACACCTCATCGTGATCAAACCAAACTAAACTTTCATTCAATTAAGTCTCAAACACTTTAATTAAGTTAAAAAGAACAGTCCAATTCTACCAAACCCACCTCATCGTGATCAAACCAAACTAAACTTTCATTCAATTAAGTCTCAAACACTTTAATTAAGTTAAAAAGAACAGTCCAATTCTACCAAAACTATATACAGAAACCGAGAAAAACAGAACAAACAGTGGTGCAAAGGTGTGTAATGACACTAAATCTTCAAATGAAATTAAAAGAATTACCCAAACCAATATAAAAGCCAAAGTCATCCCTAGCAACTGTAAAATAACAATTAAAAAACGAAACCCATATAAGTTCACAACAAATTAAAACGTCTAGATCAACATTACCATTAAATTAGCTACAAACCTAGATAAACCAATACTAAATTAGACTAAACTAATAACAAATAAGCTTCAAATCAAATTCCAAATGAAAAATTTGGATAAAACCAACAACAAAACCACACCTTGTTCCTGTTCTGTCTCCCTTCTCTTGCTTTTCTCTTCTGCCGACTCCCCATATTAAGCCTTTTTTTCCTCATTTTTTCTCTTTTGGCTGCTCACTTAATCCCCATTTTTTTTTTCTCTTCACTTTCCTCAATTTCCAGTCTCCCCCTTTCTTCCACATCTATCTTTTTTTCCTCATTTTTTTTTTCCATCACTACTCTTGACACTAATTCTCCACTCTTTGTTATCTCTTAATTATTTCACTCAATCAAAACATGGGATCACATTTTCTCAAGCAGCCCAAAAACACTGACCAACCCAAAATCAGAAAAATATCCAAACTAAAACATACAATCACCATTGTCAAGCAGCAAACGATAAATTAGAAATATAAAACAAAGAAAAAAAAAACAGAAACACACTAAAACTTGCCATCGGTGAACACCATACCTTGGAAGGAGTAGACACACGCAGCTATTTGAGACCGATCCCACTGAAACACAATTTGTGCACTTCGACAAAAAGGGGAGAAATCCAAATCTCAACCAATTGGCCCGTCGTCTGAAAATCGAAAGCGCAAACAAAATCCCAAAATAAACCAAAAGCAGGGTTTCCTTGGTGGGTATTTTGTGAGAGGGAAAACGGAAGATTTGAGGGTGGGAGAAACGAAGAGAAAGGTGGGTTCGTAGTGAGTGAAGGGGCGAAAAGAAATCCCAGGAAATCAGACTACCCCATACTTCTCCCTTACTCTTTCTCCCTAAACCCATATCTCCCTGCCAAAAATCCTCTCCCCTAACCCCATACTCCCCTGTCTCTCTCTGCAACGGACAGAACTGTCCCTTTTCCCGTACACGTCCAGCATGTTTGAAGCTTGTCGACCGTCACTACTTGGTTTGTAGGCTCCAAGGAGCAAGATGTAAGAATACTCTGACCTTTAAAAATCAAAGATGAAGTCATAGCGGACTTCAATACTAAGCTTCTCATCTCTTGCAAAAACAATATGCTCGACTTACAATAGGTCCAAGTCCAATTATGAGCCAGTTTTTCTCTGAGAGCAGTGGCCACTATTTATATAGATAAACAATCCCTACGATTCTCCTATTAGAATCCTTGTAGAAAACCAACATTGTCTCCCAGTTATAATATTAGTGAGTAGTTGATGATCAATTCCCAGTCTCAATCCTTTATAAACTAGGACAACCAAACCTCTTCTAATAAGACTTTTAAAAACCAATTCAAACTCATATATCTGGCCAAAATACACCTATACTTATGCTCATCTTCTAACACAAGATTCATCAAGATTGTTTCAATACATTAGCCTTCCAAACTAAACTCGACTATTCATCCGCAGGGTACTCTGAGTAAAAACAAATCAACAAGGTATTAGGAAAGTGCATTAGGCCATCAAATGATAGAACTGATACTCATCAACCATTCTTTGTGACCCTGCTGAACTTCTTGGTGAAGCGTTTTCACAGCAATAACCATCCCAGTACCAGGCTTGGCAGATGTTAGTGAATTCTCGTCAACCCACCCCTTCAAGACACAGCCAAAATGTCCTTCGCCCAACACAGACTCAGGACGGAAGTTCCTGTTGGCTGTTTTCAGTTCATTAAATCCGAATTTCTTCACATGGGAGGACTGCAAGATCTCACCCTCTGTCCAAGGAGTTGAAGGCACTGAGAGAGTCGACACTCTGCAACTTGAACGTAATCCTAGACATGACAAATCCCATATAAATTGTACATAAGGCTCAAAATTCAGTTGTAGGACAAAATAAGTTCCCAAAATAATCTATAACATCAGAATACCAGCATAGTATGGCTATGTTGGTTTGATTCTATATCCAATCCAACTATAAGAATGGAGGTTCATGTACTGCAGTACCTTCAATTTCACTTTGGTTCTGTACCACACCACTCCCTTCAATTTTCTAAGCAACTGCCTTTTTATTCGTGACAGAAAGCAATGACTCCTTCACATCCCTTGTTCCCTGCACATTCAGCATATCTAATCCAACTGTACCTCTGATTTGAATTTGACCTTGAAGCACACCGCTTTCTTCAATTTGCTTGATCACCGCCTCTACATGTTGCACTGAAGCAAAAGTCTGCTTCCCATCTCTTGCTATTTTCACTTTCAGTATATTTAACAGTATTTGAAGTGATTCATCCAATCTGAGAAGCTTGTCATTGTATTTATATTGTTTGCAGCTGGCCCACAAATGATCCTTGGAGCACTTGCTGATGTGCTCTACACCGTTCTCCATTTGTATTCTAAAATCTTTGAGTTGCTCCTCTGCGCGATCTAATACCTTGTTATGTTTTGTTATCTCTTCAATCAATGGTTTTACAGATTCTAGGGTGGCTATAAGATTTTCTAATAGTGGTTTAAACATCACAGTCTTGTCCCTTGCTTCTACAACAGCGTCAAACAAAGCCAAAAACACTGCTTCAAGAGAAGCTCCTCCGTCGAATGATGTCACTGCATAATGACAACACCAACAAAATCAGAAAACTCGTAATTGTTTCAATCAAAAGTTCAGAAAGAATATGTGAAAAAAAAGTGAGATGCCTGACAAATTTGGAATTCAATATAAAAAAAAAAATTCATTTGTAACAGAAGAACATAATCAAGTCAATATTAACTTTGTACGTTAATTAAATCTACGTATAAATCTGATCATGTGAGAAGGGATGGAAATAGAGAGAATCATTCAAATATAGAGTTGCCTGCTCTATTATCTTTTCCATTAATAACTGGTAAAGAACAGAACTGAAAAGAAAGAACTGTGAAGTTGTAAGCATAGAGTTTACATCTCTATTCAAATAAAAAAAATATATGGAATCTCTTTTTATGTTATCTTTCCAACACTTGACACCAAAAATAAATCGAAACAAAGGCCATTTAGAACCCCAGAAACAATATACCAAGAGGCTCGAAGCCAATCAACACAAACGAACTAACGTGTTCTTACTTTGTTTGTGATCATACAAGAGAATATAAAAAGAATCTGTTCAAAGAAGGGTGTTAAGCTCTTGTTAGCCGTGGGCATCAATATCCAAAGAAAACAAAATCTATATCAGATGTTCGGGTTTAATTACCATCTGTCTGATCCAAAATTAGCTAAATATTGAGTAATGCTTATTGCTACAACAAAAGCTATATTCCAAAAACGGCAAAAGAAAATATACACCAAGCATGTCTATAAATATAGTTCCAATCAACGCACCTTGTTCCCCACTATTCCATTGAGTTTGCTCCCGTGGAGCGGTTTCTGTACTACTTCCGGAAACCAAATTCTCCAAGCCATTCCCTCCTTCCCCAGCTCTCTGCTGCAGTAATTTCTGTATATCTAACAGTCTTCTGTTCACTTCATCCAATTTATTTCGGTTTTGCCTCGACAACGATAAAACCTCTTTCACATCCCTTGCTTCCTGCATCTTCAATTTTTGCAGCAATCCTTTGAGAGCCCTATCCAACTCAACAATTTGGTCAGTATAATCATACAAACAGCAATAGTTCCACATTCGAAAATTCGATAACTTTACAACCAGCTTTACGCCTTCCTCCATCTGCATTTTAAGACTTTCGATTTCGTCGTTGGGGAGACCCAATTCCACATTATGCTCTTCAATTTGTTGGATGTCTCTCGGTACTAGGGAGTCCAGTGTAGATTTGAGGTCTTCCAGAAGGGATTTAAAGGTGCTGCTCTTGCTCATCGCTTGCTTAACGCCGTCGTAGAGCAGCGTAAACAGCGTTCCGCCAATAAATTCTAGTGCCATAGTTACCAAAGCACTCCCACTACAGCAAAATTAGAAATATTTGTGTTTGATTGCAACATAAAATTTGGCCAACCTTATTCAATACGGTGACGAATTGGGTGGCTCCGCTTGCTAATGGAAGAGGAGGCGCCATGAAGGGTGGAAGAGACGAGACCCCCATCCTCCTCCCTTCATCTCTTGGTCCCTGGAGGCTGCCATCAGAGGTCAGCGAGCCAAGTAAACTGGCCTCCCTTTTGGTATTTTGTTGTATTTCCTCCGCGTCTTTTAGGGGTGTAGCCAAACTGATTTTAAAGGATTTTAAAAGTGATAGATTTGATAAGATTTAAGGGGTTGAAAACTCCTACAAAATTTATATGGATTTTTAAATAATTTGAATGGATTGCGGTGGATTGTGGTGGAAGGATTTGAAATCCTATGGCACGAGGTTGGATTCTTTTTAGCCTTGGTTATATATAGTTTTAGCTCTCAAATCCCACAAAATTCACAACTTATTGAAATCCTCCAAAATCTTAGGGTCTGTTTGGTACTCTATTTGAATCCAACTTTTTAAACCCAAAAACAATTTTCAAGTTTTAGACCTTAAAAACTTGTTTGGTAGGACTATTTTCAAAACTGAACTCATGATTAACTCAAAAATATAGTCTATTATCTATAAACATAATAAGTGAGTTTTTAGAGTTTTTAAACTTAAAACTCACTCATTTATTTGTTTTTCCCTTCTCCATTCTCACTCCAAATCTATCTCTCTCTTTCTTCTTTTCCTCTCCTTTTTTTTTTTTTTTCTATCTTTTTCGTATTTCTTTCAATCCGCTCTCTTCATTGTCTTAATTCTTTCTCTTTCCTCTTTCTCTTTATTTCGTCCGATCCTCTCTTTTCTTTCTCTTTCCTTCAATCATGTCTTACTTTCTTTCTCCTCTCTCCTCTTTCTACCTCTCCTGCTACGTCCTCTTTTTATATCTCTTTGTCTAGTTTAAGTCGTAAGATTTAAAATTTTAAAATCACAAACCAATCAAGTTTTTGAGTCTTAAAGTCTAGTTTAAGTCGTAAGATTTAAAAATTTAAAATGACAAACCAATCAAGTTTTTGAGTCTTGACAAAATAGGGGATAAAAAATCGTATCACAATCTATTTACATTCCTTGCAATTGTTTTAACTATGATAACTTTTTACTTATTCTTTGTCAATAGTACTTCTTTGCAGGATTCGTCCTTTGAGTTCTCTTGAGTGAGGTTGAGTGAACTTAGTTATAGGGTTTTGGTTATTTTGTCAAGGAAAGTCAAAATGGGAGATTGTGAAGTCTAGTTTTATTGTTTGGCTTCCCTTTGTCAAATGTTGTAAATTGTACCACACATGCTTTAGTTAGATTTAGGGTTGAAATGCTACTTTTGGGATCGTGTTGCTGGAAATATCACTTCAAAAGCTTAACTTCTCTCATCAAAGGTGTCACGCCCCAATCCCGACATACGTCCAGAATTGACACGTGGCGTCAACAAAAAATCCGTATCTATCATATCCCACCTCCGGGATATGGGTAAGCACAACTCAATAATCGAATCACATAGTTATTTTTCGTATACATTATGGCTGCATCTAACCTCCATGTTAGACTGCCTACGTACCCTAGACATGGATCAAGCCATTCGTAGTTCGTCATGCACAATAATTGACATACAACATAGTCCGATTAAGTTGAAATGCATAACATTTCTCAATCAATCAATAGAACTTAACAAGCATGAAATTACTCGACTCAGGGTTACATAACAAACCCATCTGAAAATCATGATTTCCCCTTCATCAATATATAGGCCATTATGTCACAACATGATACCGCAATTCACAACAAATATCATTTCAAGGAACCAACGAAGCATAATACCATTCTCTAGCCACATTTATCAACAAGTCTAATCATAACAATAACCATGATATCCAACATAACAATTCCACATGACGATTAACATTTCCACTTCATCCATCACATGAATCATCACGTTTCCCACATAAAATCACATTTCATAGTGTGTAACATAGTTAAGAATTAACAAAGTACACTTTATTCTCTAGAAATATTAATCAACTAAAATACTCATGATAATCACTCATATCCAACGTCATTCCGTAATCACATTAATCAATAATGTCAACCATCACATCATCAATAACACATACTACATGTCAAAACGCAAGGCTAGAGCAACATCATTCGGTTGAAGACTACATCTTTGGAAAATGGGATTTTGGACCACCCAACGGACCAAGGCACCAAAGGGGATTCCGGACCATCACTCAACGGAATCCAAACAGAACTCAGTTCCAGACCACCCAACCGAATTGAACGGAAGTCCAAGAAACATAACAACGGCTCGAAGGAACAAGACATGATTCAAGTTACTCAATTCCCAAAAACTCAACGAAACGAAACAATATCGAGCAACAAATCCACATCACAATGGGTTATCGGCCAATTACTAGACCTCACATCTCCCAAGCAATTTAATATGCATTTCAATCACATGTCACAACTATTTCCAATACACAAGTCAAATCACATTTCACTTCATCTTACCAATTCACTATACTTCCAACATTATATCTCAATACATAGCTTGTAACATATCAAGGAATCACAAAGCACAATGTTAATATTTAATTATGTTAATCAATCAGTGAGATAACATATCATTTCACGAATTTAATTAATGAACTCTACATAATTCCTAACTTGGTTTATGAATAATATCATGGCGATTCTAATTTATTTTCACAATATCTATTGTAGGTAATTCCCATCTACTCGAATTTAGGATTCTAAGATCACCTTACTGAATGAACAAGAGCAAGGATTCTGAACCACTCAACGGAATCCAACAACATTGGGTTCCGGACCACTCAACGGAACCAAAATACCAAGCGGTTTCTCATAATCTACCCAGACCTATCATATGTAAAGTCAATGCCAATATTATGGAATTGGTGCACTGACAAATCAGGCACTCAGATAAGCTGAGAGGCTCGGGTGATGGACAATAAAATAAGCATGTGATATAATAATAAAACCAGCCATCAATCATACTTTATAAACCTTGAATATAAATCTTTCATAAGAAATCAATACCAAACTTTTGAAAACTCCGAGGGAGTCACCCAGACATCCAAAAGTTCATTTCAAACAACCATAACATCTCACACCCATATTCACATACACACAATGAAAGTAGAATTAGGGCAACCCAATTCATCCAAGCCTACACCTTTGCAACCATCTCAAACTAAACTCAATGAACTAAGGTGGATACAATCCCGGACCATCATTCAACGGGATTGCGGAGTAAGAGGGATTTCGGACCATCACTCAACGGAACCCAAATCAAGATACGATTCCTGACCATCACTCAACGGAATCGCAGAGTGGAGTAGGAAGGATTCCGGACCATCATTCAACGGAATCCAAACCAGGATACGATTCCGGACCATCACTCAACGGAATCGCGGAGTACATTGCATAACCACCAATCAATGAAACAACACATGAATCAAGTTACTCCAGTTATAAAGGCTCAACGAAACAAGATATGAAATAATAAAACGAGCATTGACACATGTTTCAAAACAAAAAACCCCATGACAATGGGTTAACGGTCCACCACTAGCCCTCACCTTCATCAAATCAAGCCAATCATACAAAACAAACCATATTTCCAATATGCACATCAAATCCCACTTCATATAACAATATCATTGGCTAAATATGAAAATTAACAATTTATAGGAAAAATGAGTATAAAACCATTTCATATTCACATAAATTAAAGTCACTCACATTTCATCATATCATACCATCTATGTAAATCAACCACCTTTCGAATATGCACGTCAAATCACATACCACGATCATCATCAGTACACAAGCCAAATCATGTTTAATAAACTTAGGTCAATGGCTAAATCTAAAATGAATACGAAAGCACAAACTAAGCATACCCACATGAAGATTATGAAGAGTAGATGAAGTTTCATACCTCACTCGAAGGAAATCGTTGCCGGAATTGCCGGAAAAACGATAAAACTGCCGGCAAAGTCGTGGACTTTGCGACCTCGAGCTGCAAAGATGGAAAAGAAATGGGGAAATCTAAAATCACAGAGATGTAGGGCTCGTCAAGAGCTTTCCATGGACACCAAGATCATCCAAAACGGAGCTCGGATGAAAAAGATACAAGCGGGTCAAGTTTGGTGGGTTTATGGGTCAATTTCTCCCTAAAAACGGGTTAGGCAGCTCTCCCCCTTCCATTTTCTGAAAACCTCCCCCCTTTTTTGGAGGTTTCCCTCCCATTTATAGCATTTTGGTAATATTACCAAAATGCCACCAACTTTAAACGACTCCAACTTCTCCGTTCGGACTCGGAAATAAGATTTGTTTACGCCTACGCGCTCGTAGAATCGAACTCTACCTAACCAATTCAAGAGTTAACCGAAAAGGTCGAGAAAATTAGACATGACTAAATTACCCCTCACTTCATTTTTCTGAAATTTGGAGAAATAAAGAACTAGTTCCAATCAAATCTTCGAAATACGTCAAGAATAAAATAAAATAATAATTTTGGGGACGGGATATCACAAAAGGTTTGTTCATTCATATGCATTTCATGTTATTATTTCCAGTACATTATATCTAGTGGTTTTGTCTCATTAAAACTTCTCGCTGCTTTCATACAAGTTGGGCACACATTTTAAGACAACCCACATGGACCATCTGACAGCTTATTCCCGAAAATGGTTTTTCAACCCTAAATCTTTTCAAATTGATTTTTCACATGACATGTGGCCTTTCATCCCCTCTCTTTGTCTGAAACTCAGCCTTCTTCATAAATATCAATCTAGGGTTCTCTTCAACTTGGCTATGAGATTTATAAGGGTTGTTTTCAGCTTTGAGCTACCCCTTTGTTCTTACTTGAAAACCCTAGCCACAAAATCACACTCTTGCACTAAATACCTAGATCATTGCATAATAAGGTAGCATTGCTTTCGTGATTTTGATATTTGTTTTAGGTAAGCTTTTCTAGTTTCAAATCTTTGAGCTAACATCTTTTTGGATTCACGTCAGTTTCATCTTTCAAGTATTTGATTGGTGAAACTGACTAGACATCGAATCCAGATTTGCATCAACTACATCATAACATCATTCACATAAGTTGATTTGATTTCGATGCCACAAGGTGAAGAGCTGAGGAGAAGCTGCCACTTCGTGATGACTGAATGAATTGATCTCATGAAAGGCAAGGTT